TGATTTTCGGGAAAACAAGAACTGATACCATGTGATGATTCCACGTGTAAAAGGGTCCCACAGGCCATTTGACGCGAATAGCTATACGAACTAACCGTACCCCACGGAGACAGTGGTCCCCTTAATCCATGTGATTCTTACACGTGTCGTGTCTTTTATCCGGTAGGCCCTAAGACCCTTCCCACCGTTGACGGCCGTCGTATGGACCATCTCAAACTACCGCTCCATGGTTACATTACATGCTCTCTCTTCTTCTTTTTTTTTTTGTCGGCCATGGTTTCATGTTCTAACTGTTCTGTTACGTCATTTTCTCTACATTTCAATTTATTTGTTCGTTTTTCTGCTAAGCCACTTCACATTAATTTATCGGATGCATAATTAAATTTATGGATTTTTTTCCTAAGCATATGCTCATGCTCTATTAAATGCATAGGTTTCACAAGAAATTTCTGTATGTATGTATGTTTACCATCAAGGAGAACACAAATATCTAAAGTTTCGTACTAACAGTAATTGGATTGCTTATCGTCTTTTTATAAAACACTGCTAAACCCAGCGAATTCTATTAAAATATGGACTAACGCATAAATTAGAAAGCTTTGATTCTCTTATGATTCACGCTAATGTATTTAATTATCTTTTTGTCAAATTTATTCTCTCCGAGAAATATCTTTTTGTCAAATTTATTCTCTCCGTGAAATCGAGATGTCAACGTTCTCCTTTTACTATTAAAAATATGACCTGGCTTTATCAAGGATATAATATGCTCTGGCATTACTATTATATGTCTATATGTATATGTTGTATGATTGTATCGTCTTCAAAATGATCGATTGATCAGTTAGGCGCTTATATTTATATATCTCAACCTAGCGATTAATAAATTTATTTCACTTGGTGCTTAATTATATCTTAGTCGTTATAAAACCTGTCGAAATTAGATACATATATAGTTAAAAAAAACAAAAGTAGATACATATGTCTATACCTTGTACAGTGTAATCAAGTGCTTTCGTTGATTAGTTAACCAAAAAGAAGGGTGCGCTCATTGAATCCTTTACTTTTATTTATATATAAGATCGTAGAAGACAATAAATGAAAATGGTGTCATATCACATGTCATGAATTTTAGTGTGATTTGATTGAAATATTAACTTTTCATAAAGAAAAATAGAAGCCACGATACATACGGGATTCATGTAAGCATAGAATACCACAACACGAAAGAGATATGGACCAAATAACCATAAACTGATATGTGACATGGAGACCACTCGAGTCACCTACCAATTGCGCGAATGTCGAAATTGCACCCACTCTTTTTCTCCTTTCTTCCACTGATTAACACTTAAATGCATAGTATTAAAGAAGTAGTTAACTCTTGTTTACTGGGAACCCAAAAAATAAATAAATTAATATGTACATATTTCAGAACAAGAGTTGGTTATAAGTAAGTATATCTTACGAGGGATAACGTTCAAAATGGCTTTGGAAAAACAGACTATATGTAATATGTCTATAGTAACAAGGGACCTTTGTGAGTGGGCGCGTGAGGAATACAAATAAGCTAAATCGCGTGGGGTAGAGAAAGATAAAAGACAGCCTGGAAATTGCATACACGACTCCAAGCATGAAAGTTAGCGTTCTTCTGTTACTGTCGTCGATCTGGAAACTGAAGCGTACGGTCAATTGTGGTCCATTCACGTGGCGCTCTCGTACCAGTGTCACTCAGCTTACCATACATATACGTCTACTTTGGCGTTACGAGCCTGTATTACGTTTTGGATAAGATTCTAATTACGTGTAGACTAGCAAAACAAAATCAGGTATTACTTAATAATATTTTCTTGTAACACTTACGCATTAACTTATTTTTAGCTTTATTATCTTAATTTACATTTAACCACAACAAAAATATTATCTTACAATTTATTTTCAAATCATATTTTACCAGAATGATAAAAAATAACTAAACGAATAAATCGTTTTGCAAAATAAAACAAGATATAATGTTTGCTCGTGCTCAGTTAACGGTAAAACCGTAAATGATTAATAACCATACATGTCATGAAATTCGTATAACTTACAAGTTCTAGGCTGCACACGATCGAGACGAGTAATATTCACAAATAAACAGTGTAGAGAGAAGATCTAGGCAATCCACACCACAACTGACTATAGTTATTGGAACATCTATAAATATGTAGTTTTTGGATGCGCTTTTAGGTTTGGTAAAAAACAAATAAAAAATCCTGAATGGATGCGAGTAGCGGATAATTAATTACATTTTTTAAAAAAAAACTTCAAGAAGATTAGTAAAAAAATTATTAATAGAGCCGGCAAATCTGGAAACGGACTGACACAAGGTGTCGTGCGATGTCTTTGGGGTGGGAGAATAGAATATATAAACATTAATGGTGTGAGGCCATACGCACGTGTCCCTACATCGAATATCACAGATACTCTTGCTTAGTTTTTTATTTTTTTCTCTCTAATGCTTACCAGATTTATGCATCTCTACAGACCTTGACCATAGTCTGCCCATGTGAACTTCACATTTACATCATCATGTCAAACTTTAGAACTGCTGCTTCAGCGGCTAGCTTGTGAAATGCCAAGAGATAAAACATATTACTAATTACGATTTTATTTGTTAGTCACATAATCTGTAGATTCGTTATCAATAATATTGTTCTTTATTTTACAATCAATTTATGTTTTTTCATTTGATATATAACTTCACCGTTCTGTTTTGTATTTGTTTTGTTGTACAGTTTTTTTGTTTAACATTTTCATTTCATAAATAACATGATATCAAGTACACAAAGAAATGAAAGTATATATTATATAAGATGATAAAAAAGTATTTGATTCAAAAAGACTAACGAATAACGATTGTATCGTAGTATATTAGCACTTTATATGAAAAAAACACTGTCAATGTTATCTTCTCGATTCATGTACGCACGCATTGCAGGGGAGGAGGGACAGAGAAGAAATAACATTTTGCTTTCGTTGGCGGCTGATCACGTGATAAATAAAAACGAACTGTCCTTGTTTTTATTCCACTTACCCATTCAATTACATGGAAACAACGTATAATTAAATTCTTTCGGCAAGTACGTGTAACGTATGTACTCCCTTTCTTCCATCGTGGGTTTCATCCTTAACGATACTTAAATATATTGTGACTGAACGAATTAAATTACTTCATATGTCTTTAACTTAATATTCTAACATATGTACATGCAAGGGTGTACATGTAGGTAGAAGCCGTCATGCATGTTCAATAAAGTATTATGCATTCATGCATGCGGATAAGAGAAGGATTATGCTAACCAGTCACAAGTCACGTTTAAGAGATCATTGCCGGGCCTGGGTGATTGTTATCATTAAATCACCGTTTTTCATATATATATTTTTTAAAAGTATATAGTAAAATTGATTCAACTTTATCAAAACGTTCCCGAAAAATAATCGGTGCCAATTGCCAAATTCAAGATAACAGCAATCAACAGGCTGAGCATATGTATTCTCCTTGCAAGTCGTCTGCTTCAGTTCAGAAAAGAAAACAGCCAACTAGTCTAAATTTGAATCAACTAATCAGCAGTAAGAGTAATGGTTAACCTTTGGAGCTTGATGGGCTTGTTGGTTCAAGCATCCATAATTGGACTAATCCTGGCCCATAATATACTACTTATTAACTGTAGGATGAGAATATGGCGACATGTGACAGCACATTTCCGCTGATTCGGTAAAGGTTGCATTCATTACGAGTCTGTAATTTCAAACAAACAACCCAACGAATTAAGTAATTAGCCATAGGAGGAAAATATGTTGACAACTACATCCACTGACTTGGTAATGTTATCTTACAACCTCTTTGTAAAACGAGAAATGAATTAAAATTGAATCAACCAATCGGAAATGTCAACGAGAGTATTAATGTAACCAGAGCTGCACCAATATACAACTCTATGACTATGTTTCTGTCACCCACCAGTGTTGGTGGTGTTGCTTTTCCATGACTTCTTTGGTACCCCATAAAAGAAACTTTTGCTTTTGAAGAAGACAACCCCACATTCACTATTGTTATTATTATTGTTTGTATTGATCATGCTATGATCTGTTTACATGTCTAATTAATAGTACAACAGCGAAATATATTATGACATTGAAATAGTGAGTAGAAAGTAAATATTAATGAAATGTTACAGTATCACTTATAAAATTTTAATAGCCTGGTAATGGATTGAGTAAAATCACAACTGAAAGTTAAAAAGTTATGTCTAAATTATCACGGTTTCTAAATTGAACGTGCAACAATATTTAATAGTGTAAATGTGATTGAAAATTATGTGGTACAAATGTACAATGTTGCTCAAGAAACTATTTCAATACACATCGAAGAAGGAACATTAGCTGAAATTTTCACCAAAATTTGTATAGTCTTAATAATGATTATTGATGTCAACGTTTGATATAAGATGGGTTAGTGTAAAGCTGCAATATTAGCACACAAAAAGAAGGTTAAAGAATTAAACAATTTTAGTTTTCGTATAAGTAGTGGAGAGACGTCTATACATCGGCCTATCTATACACATGGCTTTGTGAATGTTGAATTGCTGATCACATAAGAACAGAGGGACAATAGGTTAGTCTTCCTCTGGTTTTTTCCGGACAATGTTAGTCTTCCTCTGGTTTTTTCCGGACAATGTTAGCCTTCCTCTGGTTTTTCCCAGTGATATGCTTTGCGTCTAAATTAATCAAGAATCACTTTTATCATTTCTTTCTGAAAATTACGTACCAATACGTTTAGTACTAAGAAATCAATAATCATAAACATAATTATGAGAATGAAGCTTAAAAAACCGACCTAAAAAGAGAGAAGTATAACAGAATCAGAAGTCAGTTTAATTTTATAATTAAAATCCAAAAATTAGCAAAGAAAAAGGAAACAAATATAACAACATGTGACGAATCCAATTTTTCCCCTCATTTTGCTCCTTCTCTTCCTTGTTTCTTTCTTCTCAGTCTCTCTGTACCTTGGATTTTTCTCAGAGGTTTTCTCGGGGAACAACACATCTGAGAAGAGAAGATTCGAGAGAGAGAGAGAGAGAGAGAGAGAGATCTGATTCGCGTGGCCTCTGATGGGAACGCTTCAGACATGGCGAAGAGCTTATGGAGCTTTAAAGGACACCACCAAAGTCGGCCTTGTCCGAGTCAACAGCGACTACGCCGTTCGTGCCTTTCGATTTTACCTTCAAATTATTCAGCAATCCTATTGAATTTGTTATCATATCCTTCATCCCCGGAAGTTAATCTCTGATAGATTCGATAATTTTACATAATCTCAGGATATAGATGTTGCCATAGTCAAAGCTACTAACCATGTCGAGTGTCCTCCCAAAGACCGGCATCTCAGGAGTAAGTGATTGTTTCCCTCTGTTTTGTTTTTTCTTTTTCAGAAAATTCTGAGATCTTAGTTTTTTTTTTCTGTTAATTGTTGCAGAAATTTTCGTTGCAACATCAGCAACTCGGCCTCGAGCAGATGTTGCTTACTGCATTCACAAGCTTTCCCGGCGATTGCACAAAACCAGAAATTGGACGGTACTGATTTACCCTACGATCTGAACTTCTTAGTGAAATGTGAATGTGCGTTATAGGAGTTGAAATTCTTCAGAGAGTTTTTGTCATCAGATCGATTCTGTTAGTTAGTCGTTGTTTGAAACTGGTGTTTTCAACTTTGTTTCTCGATGATGGTCTATGTATAGCTTTTGGTTATGTTCTTCAAATTCAACAGGTTGCACTAAAAGGACTGCTTGTTTTACACCGGCTTCTAAGGGAGGGTGATCCTACATTTAGAGAAGAGCTATCGAATTTTTCTCAAAAAGGACGCTTCCTGCAACTTTCTAATTTCAAGGATGACTCAAGCACAATCGGTGAGTCCTTACTCCAACCTACCTACATTCATGGGGCTATGTGTTTAGAAGCGAAAACGAGGTTACTTCAAGGCTTCTTCCAGGAGTTAAACGCTGATTGGACATTTGCTATCTGTCTCTCACAGCTTGGGATTGTTCAGCTTGGGTACGCGCTTACGCATTATTTCTCGAGGAACGGCTTCAATGCTTCAGAGTTCTAAAATATGACACTGAAGCTGAACGTCTTCCTAAACTTTCCCCTGGGCAGGAGAAGGTATTAAATCTTGCGTTTACTTGGTTTGACTGCCCTCGCGTGCGTCTTTTCTTCTCTGATGGTATTCGCTTTTGGAAACTGATGGCCAGGGGTATAGCAGAACAAGGGGTATAGATGGTGAAAAACTCTTGGAACAGTTACCAGCATTACAGCAGCTTTTACATCGTCTCATTGGTTGTAAGGTGCTTCTTTCATGTCACATTCCGAGTTTTGCACTATGTTTCTGTTAAGCCATGTAATTCTCCATGGTGACATTGTGTTCGAACAGCCATTTCGGAAAAGATGAACTCATTTTGCTCTATTTTCCTTTTCAGCCAGAAGGCGCTGCTAACCACAATCATATCATACAGTATGCACTCGCTCTGGTACGTTAAACTAAGCGCGGGCAACTTACATGTTTACATGTACCCCTAGTTCCTAGTTCCGTGTCAAATATTTTCTGTCCGAAAAGAACATCTTGAATTAAGTTTTGAGATCGTTTGAAAATTGTATTTCAGGTGCTAAAGGAGAGCTTTAAAGTTTATTGTGCCATCAATGAAGGAATCATCAATCTAGTAGAAAAGGTAGGCCCTATTTTTATATTGTCTCTCAGAGTCTCTCTCTCTCTCTCCATGTGTTGTTTGGTTTTTCCCTGTTTTCATATATGCATATATTGCAGTTTTTTGAAATGCCAAGACAAGATGCCATCAAGGCCCTTGGAATATACAAGCGCGCGGGTGTTCAGGTAATGTTGTTGGGTTATGTTCTCTGCTGGGTCCATTTAGGTTTCAGTTAACAAGGGGGAGTCTACCGATGCAGGCTGGAAACCTTTCTGATTTCTATGAAGTATGCAAAGGATTAGAACTTGCAAGGAATTTCCAGTTTCCAGTTTTAAGAGAGGTATCGTATAAGAACTCATTTGTTACATTTAAATGTGTAATGACATGCATGTTATTTATTGTTACGATATAACTGTGTGTTTGTTTTATCAAGCCTCCGCAATCTTTTCTTACAACTATGGAGGAGTATATGAGAGACGCACCTCAAATGGTGGACGTCTCATCTGGGCCACTGGTATGACTATATTCTCATGTTTATGATCCTGGAGAAACCATACGGTTTTTTTTTTTGTAACTTATTTTCTAAAAACTTTGTCGACATACAGCTTCTGACTTATGGGCCGGATGAGGGGCTTTCTGGTGAAGGTATTGAACCTTCGGATGCAGAACATGAACCATCATTTCCTTCAGATAGTACTATTATTCCCTTTGAAGAGACACAACCTTCTCTCCAACCTCCTGCTTCAGCGGAAACTCCACAGAATATGATTGATACAGATGATCTATTGGTGAGATATGCTTATTACAGATGATCTGGATTTTCGTTTTTATGTGACTGTTGTTCTTCTGTCCCTGACTCTCTTCCTTTTACTCAGGGTCTGAACAATGATGCACCTGATCCATTAGAAATCCTGGACCAAAATGCACTTGCTTTGGCATTGGTTTCTACTGATGGTGAGCTTCTTAGACTACATACTGGAGCGCTAAGTTTGCCTTTTCTTGTTTGTCTTTGGTCGCATTTTTGAGTTTGCTTCTGTTTCCAGTTGAATCGTCGATGTTTGGTTTTGGTCAAGCAAGAGCCTTGGATCCGTCAGGATGGGAGCTTGCGTTGGTCACAACACCTAGCAATGATATAACCGCAGCCACGGAGAGGCAATTGGTAAGACGTATTCTTTAGTTTTCAAAATGGCATGCACAAAATAATCGCCATTTTCCTGTTATAACCATTTTTGTCGTCTGCAACAAATGCTAGGCGGGTGGTTTAGACACGCTCACCCTGAACAGCTTATATGAGGATGGAGCCTTCAGAGCTGCCCAACCTTACGGCGATCCAGCTCCCAATCCATTCGAGGCCCAAGACCCATTTGCATTTTCTGACAACGTTGTACCACCTTCAGCCGAAAGCAACCCATTTGGTCCCTACCACCAGCCAACCTATCAGCAACATCTTGAGGTTGCACCAACAAGCGCTGCAAATCCTTTTGGTGATTTTGGGGAATTTCCAGCACTCCCGGTTTCAGAACTCCAGATCTCCACCGGTTTTGTGGAATTTCCAGTAGTAGCGGTTTCAGAACCGCAAAAGACCACCGGTTTTGTGGAATTTCCAGCACCGACTGTTTCAGAACCGCAAAAGACCACCGGTTTGGGGAATTTCCATCACTCACGGTTTTAGAACCGCAAAAGACCACCCGTTTTGGGGAATTTCCAACACTCGCGGTTCCAGAACCGCCAAAGACCACCGATTTTGGGGAATTTCCAACACTGACGGTTTCAGAACCACAAATGACCACCGGTTTTGGGGAACTTCCAACACTTGCGGTTCCAGAACCCCAATTCCCCACCGGTTTTGGGGAATTTCCAGTAGTCGCGGTTTCAGAACCGCAAAAGACCATCGGTTTTGGAGAATCTACCATAGTCACGGTTTCAGAAGCCCAAAAACCAACCGGTTTTGGGGAGTTCTCGGCTAATGCAGGTATTCCGCAGCAGCATAACAGCAACCCTTTCGGCGACACTGGAGTCTTGTGATCGCATTCGCATCATCATAAATGCGTCATCGTCTTAAATGATTCTATTGATTTTGAGTTATAGAATGTGTAGAGTAAGACCCTTCCTGGGTGAATATATAAATGTAAAATTGTTTTTCTCTTTGGTGGGAAAGAAAGAAAGAAATAAAGTATTTGCGGTGCATTTTTACCAGTTTTTGTATCATTTTGAATGTGATTTGCTAAACGTCTATATGACGGAGCCTGATAGTCTCATTTGTCCTTTTTGTGTGTGTAGTACTAGTAAACCAGTTAGACTACGCCACGTAGGATTTCCGACGAGCGTAAACACCAAATTATTGGCCAATACCCAATTCTTGTCTCGATGTGTAAATATAGTCCCGTGTAAATAACATGCAATTAGGGGTCATTACGTCATTTCGTTTAAAGGTCAGAAGTCATACACTTTTGTCCACGTCAGTAATCCTGCAGGAGAATGTGTTATATACTCACAGCCGTTGGATTCGTCCATATTGTTGAATACCCCAACCGTCCGATCACTCGACGACTTAAATAATCGGATTTTTTTTTATTTATTCATCAATTTTTTTTTGTTCTTGAATTCTGATGATGATGAGGAAAACCACTTTCCCAATTGTTTTTTAAAATCCCCTCCGAACACAGATTCCTTCCTTCACCACGCCACACTTCTCTCTCTCTTCCTCACACAGTCTCTCTCCAAGTTCACACATGGCCTTCGATCTTCACCATGGCTCAGCGACGGATCAGCAGCTTTCATCAGAATTTCAGAGTCCGCCTCAACAGCCACCGATTACTCTCCCGCCTTATCCTCAGGTAATAAATCCATGGAATCTTGCGAACTCTCTCAGATTCTCACACTTATATTCTGAATTTACATATAATGCCTTTTGCGTATAGATGATAATGGAAGCAATCGAGTCCCTGAACGACAAGAACGGCTCCAACAAAACGACGATCGCAAAGCACATCGAGTCAACTCAGCAGACCTTACCGCCGTCTCACTCGACACTGCTCAGCTTCCATCTCAACCAGATGAAGAAGACCGGTCAGCTTCTCATGGTGAAAAACAATTACATGAAACCAGATCCAGATGCTCCTCCCAAACGCGGTCGCGGCCGTCCTCCCAAGCAGAAAACCCAGACAGAATCTGCCGTCGCTGCTGCCACCGTCACTGAAACAACCGTCGCCGCAGATCCGCCTAGATCTCGAGGTCGTCCACCGAAGCCGAGAGATCCGTCGATTCAGCCCGAGGAGAAGATCGCCAGCGGATCTGGAAGACCACGTGGACGACCACCGAAGAGATCCAAAACAGATTCGGAGACGGTTTCAGATGCTGCTGCGGCGGCGCCGGAACCAGCAGCTCAGTCGACCGGTGAGCGTAGAGGACGTGGGAGACCGCCGAAGGTGAAGACGAATGTGGTTGCGCCGGTTGGGTGTTGAATTCTTTTTGGGGATTTTGCAACTCTCAAAAGCTTTACTTACTAAAAATGGAATCTTTTAGAGAGAAAGAGAGTGCGCCTTAGCTTAAGTAGATTTAGTTTAGTTCCTTTTGCTATTTGATTGTAAAATTTATATCTTCTATTTCTGACTAGTCTTGTGTGTTGTTGTTTAGTCCTTTTGAGGATTTAGTCCTTTCAGAGACTGAAATATTAAGTGTATTGTGATTTTTGCATGTTTTCTGTAAACTTTAGTTCTCTCCTTTGTAGTTTGAACAAAGCGCTTCTTTAATTTCATCATCGGTTTGCCGCTTTAGGCTCATTATAATCGTCTTTTTTTGTTTGTCTTTTTTTGTTTATCTTTTCATCAAATCTTTAACACTGATATGTGCTGCATTTACGAGAAGAGTGAATCGCTGGCTGTGGAAATCAGCGCGGGGTTGAAAACTTTAAACGGGATTCAAACTTAAAAAGTTTTGTGACCTTAAATGGATTGTAATCAAAATTATCAAATGGAATTGAAATATAAACTATATGATTGGAGTTTGCAAGCTTTTTGGTCTTTTGTTGATAAGCTTATACTCTTACAGTAAATCAGCAAACTTAGTACATACTATCTTTTTTAACGTATTCTCGATGCAAATTAAATGGAGATTCTAGCATGATGTCACCGTCCAATGAAGAATAAGAGGAGAGCAAAGCGCCATTGGCGCGCGAAGCGCATGCGGAGCAGGCACGGAGAAAAATCGAAACGCGAATGATGCTTGTTCTAAAACCATCAATATTCTATCTAATTATGCATATAAAACACAAATAATTGTATCAAATGATTCATACCTAAGAAAATTTCACAACTGTAATTGGTTACTATTATTCGGCACAGGTCATAATAACAAAAACAAAAACACAGTGCGAATTTGTATATTGGCATATCCGTGAACAAAATGGACCAGACCATGTTTTCATAAAAGATATGAGTGGGGCCACAAATAGACAAACTTAGTGGTCAGACTCAGTCACGGTTAGATGTTCTAAACTTCTAATCATCGATCACGGGTTTCATTTCCCGATAGATATGTCAAAATTTCATCCCTATCATCATATCCAACTTTATCAAAACCCAACTAATCGGGTTTATTCTAGTGTATTCATACTTTTCATCAAAACTATCTATAATTTATCTGTTTATCTCCATCATTCATGTAATACACCGATATAAACACATACGACATCTACTAATAGTCTAATACAATCAAACTTAGCTTAATGCAACACACAAACTCAGAGTTCCAACTCAGTAAACTCGATCGATTTCAGAGCCTCGAATACACACGAAAACCTATAAGCACACTGATTACATATCATAGTTATATATGTACAACAGTACAAGTATTTGTAGCTTCATTTAAAGGCCTAGCTAGTGCTAGGCTCCATTATTGGCGTATGTGTTAACGAGAGCAAGCGCATTACTCGTGAACCTCTTTACGTCGGCGACTCTCTCGCAAACCGCCGTTTTCGTCTCTCCGTCTTCCATCTGCTCCGTGATCCCATCAGTACACGTCTCCTCGTCCGTCAACGCCGCGCTCATCCACGTCTGCACGTTACTCATCTGAAACTCAAACGCCGGAGCTCCGGGACGACGGTGGTTCATCTCTCGGAGCTGGCGTAAGGAACCACGCATCTGCTCCACGGCGTCTCCCACGTTGGAAACGCAGTCGTGGACGGCGGCGGAGGCGGCGGCGCGTGAGAGCTTCGAGAGGTATGCCGCCGTGTATTTTGCGCGGGAGAGAGAAACGCCGATTGCGAGCTTAGCAAGCCTCGCCGGATTATCTTGTACGGCGGTGGCGTAGCCAGATAATGACGTGAAACAGACTTCCGGGTAGAGCGTGGCGTTGCAGCTCGTGCGGATGAAATCTAGATCGTTGGCTGTTGTTGGTGTCGGAGGGAATCGGACGGCTGAGATTGTCCGGAAAATGAAGAGTAAGGTGGCTAAGTGAAGAAACGTCGTCGTGTTAAGCTGCCTTCCCATCTTCTTTTAAGACTAGCTCTGCTTTTGTTTTGCGGTTTTTGGGAGTTTACATGGAAGAAGATTCTTGGGTTTATGTAGGCACTGAGAGTGGAGAGATTTGACATGTTTACCCATATAATGCTCATTATAATCACATTATTGCCACTAATCATTTTGTCTGGTGTATTTTAATCATGGTTGGTGTGTAGATTAAGGCTTGGTAGTTTCAACTCTTAGCCGTACCTTAAAAGAAATCGCCTGCTTTATGTTTTTAGTATATAATGAGAGATATTTTTGTGTGTGTAGTTATCTCTTACATATTAAACTTTTATTAGTTTCGATTTTAATTAAAATTATAACACTTCAGGCAGTGCCATGGTGATAACAAAAATCTAGGGATATGGCGTTAATTCACTTGTTCCTTCTTTGAGATTCGATTTATACCCAAAATTTTAACTGGCTACTCAAAATAGTATCATATTTAAATCCTAAACAAACTACTCGATAGCTTATATTCACAAGTTTTCTATTTAGCATGTGAGTAATAAACACGGTTGTTATATAGCCTTTTCAATAAAACTGTGGTTAGCAAGTGAGATTTTGGAAGAACATAATCAGTTGCAATCTCGACCACGAAAGAATCGTACGGTGAATTTTATGATGATAGTATACTCGCCAAATAGGGATGGACTGTGTGGAGATTCGCCTACCCTCATTGTTTCTGTCATATACATCCCAAGAACTCATCCGTGAAGAAAATATCCGCACGCGTAATAATTGACATTCTAATTAGTTTCTTAAAATGGTCCACTTAATTAATATAATGTCCTAAGCTTTTTTGTACTATTCGTACTTTTCATGATCCCAAGAGCTATCGATTCGATAATTAGAACTTAAATAATTAATTTAAGACTGTTGGCACTATATACTTTTTTGTGTGCCGTTTTATCAAATGTACAGGAATGACGAAAATAGATGATGCCTTATTGCCATGATCGTTTTAGCAAGTGATCCACACTATGCTTCTTAAGAAGAAAAGTCCACTTAAAATGCCACTTTCGGAAAAAAGAGTGTGTATACAATATAGTGGGGAGGTAGCCGACTTGATGTTATTATATATTATACTATATGATTTGATTGTTGGTATATTATTATACCATCACGGCGTATACTACTACCCTTTTTTGAGTAACAAATTAGTAAGGTGATAAAAAGAGGGTATTTAAGAAAATGATGGTAAATAAAATAGTACATAGTTGGTGGTATGCTGGCGGTAAAAACTTTGTACCACCATTAGTTTGACACCTCTCTTTCAAATACACCATCTCTAATTCTCTAGTGGTTCGCTGGTTCTTGTACTAATCTTTTTTTCATTCTCTCTAAATATCTCGTAAAAATTTCTGCTAAGCTTCACCCCAAAAAAACAAATTTGTTAACAACATTTGAGCCCGAAATATTTATATAGGCCTATTCCTCCAAGGCCCATTAGCATCAACACTTATATATATGGGAGCAAAGGCTCACTGTCTCATCTCGATGCATTTGCATCCCCCAATTTAACTGATGATTATTGTGATGTCTGTTCATGTTTACGTCCGAAAGACAGTAAAATAACACATCTTTACTTTCCCTTTAACAAATGTTTTTTTTAGATTGCTGTTAAGAATTTGAAAAATAATAATTTGGATGTTCTTGGACACTTTTATTCCTAAACGAGTGCCTTAATGATCTTTCTCTTTATTCTCTTTTTAAGGAAAAGGTTTCAAATTTAGCGAACAAGATTCCACGTTTAAATAAGAAACATCTCATCATTCATAATGAAGTTTAACATTGTACTTAGATGATGATGTTTATCTATTATTTATCATTTTCCATGGTTATTATATAATGCATTATAATTCTTTTCAGTCATGCTTTGATTACTTTACTAAGCCATTTTCTTTGTTTTTAGATTGTGTTAATAAAGGTGATATTAACTTCGAACATATGCCCAATATACAGATCTGACTACTGTGGACCAAATTTTAAGTTGGGCTTATAAACATATAGCATAGATACACCAAAACTAATTTGAATAAATAGATCATCAGCCTTGTATACTACTAAAGTATTTCATAACGAAAAACAAGTTGGAAAATTATCGAATAAAAAACATCTAACATTTCAAATGGCGGCTCTTCCTGATTTTAAAATTTGCCATTTTATATTTTTCGTCATATTTATATAAAAAAAATTATTCTATCATTACTCAGTTGTATATTGGTAATGTTAATTTATTATCGATGATGGTTCATCATTCTAATTATTCTATTTATTTTCCTCGTCGTAACGACTTGGAATCTTTAATATAGTCTACATGCTAAGGACGACTTGATCAACATACCTCCCAGTCAACACGCTGTTTCTAATTGCGGATAGCCACCCATAAAGACAAAGCGACCAATGAGCTCGCACATCATATATATATGGGTCCATCTTTAATAACGATTGACGATGATACATGCACTTCCCTTCCCTTGTTTCGTATCGACTGTTAATTTAACTCGTCTACTTACAAATTCACATGCGTTTAATGTCCACACACAACTCACACATTTTTAAAAAAATTTCAGCTTGCGGTATGAGTGGTGCGTTGTATGTTGTACCATCGTGCTTCACGGGTCGTGGATGCATTTATAGATGTACTCATGCTTTTACCCAACCAAACGAGAAACCAATATAATCTTAAGGGTATCAATGTGGAGATTGTCTCAAACATTTCTTTTGTGAGCTTCGTGTCTTAACCCAAGCCTATTGATAGCTCGACAATTTGGGGTTTCGATGTCACCCTCGGTATTACTCCTTATTTATTAAGGCTTTAATATATACATGTTTATTAATCCTTATTAAATTTCATTTTTTGTTTAAAAAGAGTGTCATTTTGCATTTTCAATGTAATTTTTTACTCTTATTTCCTGTTTTATCCCTCATTTAAAGATAATAGTCTTTGTAATTAAATGTTATAAAAGTATATTAATTAGGGGTATATTTGTATATTTTTTTAATTTCTTAATCTATGTAAAATGTGTTAGAATGACACTTATTATGAAACGGAGGGAGTACAACAATGTCTAGTATTTTTATCGCTTTGCTGAGCTTAAAACTCTGTTTTAATATCGCAACTACGTATTAGGAAGGTATGTAGGAAGGTATGGAAACGTTGAATGTTAAAATGGCGGCGTTGCAATGGGTGGCCCGGTTTTAGAGGGAGGGCGGCATGATGAGATAAATTATACTCCACACGTATAACCTTATCTTTTATTTTCCTGTCTTTTGAATTTTCTTTGAGTATAATAATATTGTTTTCTTGAAAATAATGAGATTATTCGGGTTTGGTTTGTTTCTCCCTTGTTTATTTCCCCCTCGGCTCTTGTGTAATTTGGCTGTACAAGTTTTGTTTAATTCTTCGTCATGCATTTATGACTTTGTTATAACATGAGTCGTGAAATTGGTTAAACTTTGGCAAAAAATTGAGAATATAGGACAAACAATGAATGTTTCAAGAATTTATTAACCTTTTGAATAATGTATATAGTTGGGACTTGGGATCTATATACATGTTCGTTTTGCTATTTAGTAATATATAGAAAAATTAGGAAATGTATATGCAAAATGATTGGCGGGGACCTGGAAATAATAATTATTAACATGTTTAATCAATAAATAAAAAACTATATTAACATCAGATAAAATATCTTTTTAAAAATATTCGGTCAAGGATATGATCATACGACAATAGGAATAGTCACTTGCGTGCCATTAGACATCTTCGATATGCTTTCGTCGTGTCTTAGATAATATTGGTACTATAGACTTCAATTACTTCTGTTGACTTTAACCTATTTAAAATTATGTTCCTACTTCTATAATTTACACAGTTTTGTTAATGCAAATTCTAATAATTCTACTGCATAATTTTTGTACTTTTTTATCCAATCTAATTTCACTAGTTCTAACGTCCAATTAAAAAGGCCCAGTTTTTATTTATTTATTTTAGAGTCAGGTATGTAGGATTTTCTTAACATATTTGGATTTTAATATAGTTAAGATTATCCAATGAATATTTCATGGGGAAATTTATATTAAAAATTTTTAAAAGAGAGACTTAGTTAATTTTTAGCAAAAAAAAAAAACTAATAAAAGAACTATCAATTAGAAAAGTCAGTTTCATTTCAGAAAAGAAAAAATCAAATTTATTTTTATCACTCTGAATTAGTAAAACATATATTTACTTTAACCATTTTGAAAAGTCTTCTGCTTTGTTTATCGTAATGGTGTTGACTGTTCAAATGAAAGACTTAAAATAATATAATAGAAAAAGTGACTGATTTAGAAGAAGTTTAGAGTCATAATTATCATTCTAACTCCATGTATCTACAGTATTAAATATAAAAAATGACGTTTTTAGCAGTGTTTATTGTCTGTATAAAAGTTTTTTTTTTAAATGATTATTTTAGAAGAAGTTTAGGTCATATCATTGTAAGTCTCCATATGTAGTGCTACATGTCTACATCTAACAAATATTTTTTTTTGGGTGAAATTATGAAAAATATCGTTATTATAATGAGTCATCCATTAAAAAAATAGATTCCTTAAAAAAACTTAAAAAGAAAAGATAAAAGTCAATGAAAATACTAAGTAATGGCGATGGCCACTCTCAAGATAAGAAACTTAAATTATGGTTTAAAATAGTTTGAGGTTATTGACGCGTTAAGAAAAATAATGGAATTAATGGCCTTATAAATACAAGCATCATTTTTCGTGTTTGATACAAGACCTTAAACACATTCTAGTGTTTTCTGTTCAAAGGTTAGACTCTGTCTCTCTGTCTCTCTCTCCCTCCCTGTCTCGATGGAAGCTCAGCGCTTTCATGACAAGCCTCAAGCTGAAGGAGAATGGTCTACAGGCTTCTGTGATTGCTTCTCCGACTGCAAAAACTGTAATAAAATAAACTCCATTCTTATTTTTCATTTATCTGATTTTACACTTATCGTTGTACGTATATATATATAATATTATGGTTGTTCTCAATATACAAGTAGTTATGATTTTACCTATTTTTTCTTTATCACTTGATACTTTTTTTTTTATGAAAAAAAAAAGGATCGACGAGAAAACTTCTAACTTATCATGCAATAAATGAATGGACAGGTTGTATCACATGCTGGTGTCCATGTATTACATTTGGCCAAGTCGCTGAGATTGTAGATCAAGGAGCGACCAGTAAGTTTTACTTATGCTAAATAAGTGAGAATAATTGTCAATTAAGTTATAACGAGGCTAGCGATCAATAATTTTCGGCTTGGAAATTGCAGCGTGCGGTACGGGTGGAGCAATATACGCGTTGTTAAGTGCAGTAACGGGTTGTGCATGTATCTACTCGTGTTTCTATCGTGGAAAGATGAGAGCTCAATACAACATTGGAGGTAGTCATTGTGGAGACTGCCTTCAACATTTCTTCTGCGAGCTCTGTGCTCTCACCCAAGAATACCGTGAACTCAAGAACCGCGGTTTCGACATGACTCTTGGTATTTATACCTTTTTATACCGGGATTTTTCCATTTTAAAAAGAGAGAGAAAAAAGACAACCATTTGTTTACTTATTGTAATTCTCAAAACATTGACATTTGTTTTTAAAAATCATTTTGGTATTTTTAGGATGGGCGGGGAACGTACAGAGGCAGCAGAACCAAGGTGTGGCGATGGGTGCTCCAGCCTTCCAAGGCGGCATGACCCGCTAAGATTTGTTTCTTTTATGTATTTCAATTAGTCATGTAATAAGAAACAAGGTTTAATCCTCTGTTTTGTATAATATTTATTATGCTTGTTAATGATGAAAGTGATTGATTGTATATTAATATTTGGTCAAGGATGAGGTTTGGACTAGTCAATTTGGTTTGGTATATGTTTTTTTTTTCTTTTAAGTTTATGTTTATTTTCTTATCTGGATATACCAAGAGCTGGTTAATGCTACACCAAATAAACGATTACATGTGGGTGTTAAGATTGAGAATTAAGTAAGAGCTGGTTGATACTACACCTGTTCAATATGGATGATATATTGATATAGATGATGATGTCACATGCTCATTTAGGGATGGATACTTGAGTTCTTTTTTACATCAGATTTGGTTTAGTTTCAGTTCAGTTCGGCTATGGATAAACTTTAACAGGAGTTTTATCAGTTAAGTTTAATTCAGTTTGGACTCGGTTCAATTTGGTTGGTTCGATTTGGTTCAAATGCTCGTCGTCGAGTTTAACTAAATTGTATAACATAAAGAAAGAGGATGGGGGGGAGGGGGGAATGGGGTCGGTGCCACATGAAACGTGTGCTTCCCCATTGGGCTTATATTGGGCTCGAAGGTATAAATTTGAGCCTTTATTGGGCTTTATATCAAAGGTTTGGATTTGTTGTTAATTTTGTGATTTAGCCATTCGGGACGGGCCATGGCAACCCGAAATTTAAGAGTTTTTCAACGATTTACCAATTGTGATTTTAAGAAATCACGATTGGTGATAAACTAAACTCCTTTCTGATAAGCTAAACTCATTTCAACTACAAAGAGACAACATAAATGACGAGAAAAATATTCTAGGATACGTTAAATCCTATAAAGGGATTGGGTCTGTATATTGAGAAAGATCAAATTAGACTGCGACGGCAAAAACAATATGTTGCTAAAATTTTCGTAATTATTACTACTACTAATACTGATAACTTTTATGCGTTTTTGGCAACTTTTACAACATGTTTTTTTGTTTTCCAAAAATTTGCTTGTTTGGTAAGATATAATGAGAAACAATTTTTTATGCAGACAAACCCGGCCTATTGCGCCCAAAAAACAATTTTTACAAATTCCCTAAGTTGTAATTTGGTACAGTCGTACGCGACTGTGACCAACCCGAAATATATTGAGATTGAATAGTAGACCGAACCGAGTTGTTTTTGTATGATTAGTAAGGTGTCAACAAAGAAAAATGGACCCAAACGGTCGAATTTTCGTTTGATTCTAAAAATCAAATACTACAAAGTTTAATCATTTCGTATTAGCAGAAGTTGATCGTCATTCACATACTGTAGATGGCGTGTTCCAGCGGATGACATTTTTCTATGTACCGATAAAGTGGATGACATTTATTCTGTGTACCGACAAAGTGGATGACATTTAAGACGTGGAACATTCGAGTATTCCACATTTGATAATAGTGATAAAATCGCTGTCAACTCAACGATTTATAATTATTTTCAATTTTTTTTTTCAATTTTCACTGAATTAGGTGAGGAATACTAATCAATATTATTGGCTGATGACACTTTAAAGTTGTTGGTTCTTCTATCAACAAATGTGAACGGAAGGAAGTTTTCTAAAAGCTAAATGACTCAGCAAGTCCCTAAGCTTATCACGTGTAATCCATCACCATCATCAATGATGTCACCAATTATGATCTTAATATTAGACAAGAGGGAGTATATTCTGCTGTCAACAAGTAGAGTTAAATTTGAACTAAAATGTCTTTAGTGATGTAATTCTGAGAAATTATTTCTGGATATTATTGTCTTTATTAATTTTATTTAGATCATATATTCATTGTCAAATGATTATAATCTGATAGGAAGATGGGGAGAGATACAGAGAGAAGAAACATAACTATACAATTTTTTGTTTGCATCCCTGATTTTCATCTTCTTCCTCTCATCCTAAGCAGTTGCACAAGGATTATAACAACAATCACAAAACATTAGTCTTTGGAAACTAATCCCCACGTTTCTTATCGGTCGAGTTCACATGAAGTAGTCTTGCTATGGCGTAAGATGATGTTATTTACAAAGATCAGACTAAAAGTGATCAAGAGCACGTCTCAGATTTGTTTTCTTGTCAGAAGATAGAGACCAATGGAATGGTCTTGTCTTCTTCCATAGGCTTAGTTGATGTTGATGAAGAAAGCCTGTGGACCAAAACATCTAACGCTTCCTTCATCCACCAATCTCTACAAGCTTCTCTTGCTTCATCTACTTTCATCCACATTCTTTGCCTAAGATGTTGTTCAGGCCAAAGATCAAGCTCTTCTGTCACAAGCATTGGGAACATTAATCCTTCATAGAATGTTCCTCTGCTTTTGCTCAAGAAATCCCATTTTCCAAGTTGTCTCTGCTCAAATGTCAGCGCAGATGCTTTAATTTAGATGATCAATCCATGTAAAACAAGCCCCAAAATGAAAACCATGTGATCGGTTTCAAATTTACCTCAACGTTTCCCATAACTCCAGCTTCTTCCAGAGATTCTCTTGAAGCAGCTTCTTCTACAGATTCATCAAGCTCCCAACCACCCTGACATTATTCAAATCAATTACAGAGCAAAAAGTTAATACCAAAAGTTAAGAGTTTTTTTTTTTTGGTTTCTTTGTTCTTGTTGGGGGTAAAAAAGTTAGTACCTTTGGGAACATCAGAGCGTGACCCTTCTGTGATGAGATGACCAAAACTTCAAAATCGTCGCTGATTGTGCCATCGCTCGAAATTTTGAGCCTATACGGAATACACCTGCAAATCTCCCCCAAATTTTCCAAATTTAGAAACTTTGATCATACAGAGATCAAATCCTAACATTGGTGTATTTATATGATCAGATCTATCTACATACCCGACGACTTGACGGCGTCCCTTGTTGTATCTTTGGAATTGACGACCCGTACGAGAGACCACACACACCATTTTTTACAAAACAGAGGACTAGAAGAATCTGAAGATTTGTATAAAAGAAGAGTGATCACGTACGGTTTTGTTTAGACGGCTAATCCGGAAGATGAATCTCGAAAAGAAAAGAAGAAGGCACGAATGTTTTGCCGGTTTGTAGATCCAAGTTACAAAATTGTTTTGAGGGTTTATAAGAAAAGAGTGGATAGGAATTATCAAGTTATGATGATAGGTGAGTGAGGAACAGAATGAGATGAGACAAAAAGCGTTGTCTCTGCCTCTTGTGGCTTTTTCTTTTATAGAAAAACGGCCGCTTTATCTTTATCTTTGTTTATTTGGTAATTTTAATTAAGTTTACCTTGTTGAGGTTTATCATAGAGCTACAATTTGTATATTTTACCTTGGCGTGGTAGATGCGTGTAAGTGTGGATATAGTGAAATCATTATTGAAGTCAAAATTATGAATGGTAAATTATGTTTGTTCATTTTTTAAAAAAAATATTTAAATTAAGTCTGTTCATTTCATCAACTTTTCCTATAACAATGCGAGGGAAGCAGTTGAACAACATCCCAACTCCAAATACATAATTTTTTTTTTACTATAAATAACATTAAGGCCTATATTCTTAGAAAAAAACATTTCTTTGAAACAGCTCACATCTCTATATAAAATCATCGTTTTAAAAAACAAAAAAAATCACATGCGAGATACAAGTGATACTGAAAATGATAACCATACATAATGTTTTAATAAAAAGATAAATGGGTGATGAAAAAAAACCTTTCAGAATTGATGATTCACCATTCTAATTTCTACATATGGCGGATATAGATTTGTTAGTGACTTAGTGTAGGTCCAGTATATCTGGCTTACTTTTACAATTTTCTACATTTGAAATCAGGTATAAGAAAATGAGTAAATATTGGGAGATCAGTGAGATGACCATACCGATATTATGGAAATCATAAAGATCAAGAAATATCCAGAAGATTATGAAGATCTTAGTTTAGGAAATTTACCTTTATCTCTAAATATATTATTTACATTTATGTTTATCTTAAATTATGAAATTTAGATCTCTTATCTTTATATAAGAGAAGACACTTGTAATATTATTCTCATGAGAGTCTAATATAATTCTTCTTAAAATAATTTTGTGTTCTTACTCTCATTAATTTATCAGTAAATGAATGTGAATAACCAAAAAAATTTCTGTTGACGCATATCAATATGGCAATGTTCTAATAGACGTGAAGTTCAACAATATGAAATTCACAATTGCTGAGGGGCTGTGGGCAAGCTTGGCCTTGATTAACTCCACGACCCCTCATCTCCTTCGATCTGAGAGCGACCCCTTTGAATGGAAGCAACCATTCTCAAGGGCCCTCTTACAACCCATATGGCTTACGCGATCTGCTCCCCTTTCCCTCTGAAGGTACCTTCCGGAGGTTTCAGAAAGATGGAGTTCCCTCTTTCTTTGCGCCGGAAACAGAGTGTTGTGCTATCTTAGCATTAGAGCTAGCTGATAAAAAAAAAGGGGAAAAAACATTGAAGGGAGGGAGAGAGAGAGAAAGAGATAACGGATGATGAACAAAAGTCGCTATCCAGACGCGGCTCGCTTATGTTTACACGGAGGGACGACGCCACGTGCGTCAAGCCCCACCTTCCTACGACATGTTTTGATCGCAATCGCTCTTTTCCCACGTAAGCGTCTGAGTCTGTGTCCATGGAACATAGCCCATGGAAAAGAGATATACCATGCATCGACAATGGATCAATGTTAGTTTTCAGTTTTTCACTAGCTTCGTGTGATATTATGGTTCGTTATATAATCTGAAGATCAGAATTCAACGATTTTAGTTATGTTTGTGTGTCATTGTACCTAGATGCATCAAGGTTCAACGATTTTTAGTTATGTTTATTCAGAATTATCAAATATCAAAATAGGTGTGGATACAAGTTCTCATTATTGTTTCCACTTTTCAGCCACTCTTTTAGAAATTTTCATCCAAAAACTATTCACCAGCACACAAGTTTATTTAGGGGTTTGAGTGATCAACTTCTCTTTAAATACGATAATTCACCAAAAATGGCACATGCTATTTTATCATATGTAATGCTTAAACCCGATAGGCTAGTTCAACGACGTATAGGTCAAATTGATAGTTCCATTAGGCCGTTCCAGATTCAAGACTTTCGAAATTTTGCTCGTGCGTAACCAACATCAATTGATTCTAGTTTATTTTCTAACCTTTTAAAGAAGTTCAGATAACAAAGATGATTTCTTACAAAAACAATTGAAAAAAGTCCATAATTCTATACGTCAAAAAGTAAATTCCGATTAAAACAGAAGGTAAACACGACCACACGAGGCTATCTTATGATTCTATAAATTGAAACAATAACATGCTTATTATCATCCATTATTGTTTAATACAGTATTAAGAATCCTTAATGATTAATTATCCTGAAGGATCCTACTACTAAATCAATAAATCTTGATACATAATTAACTTTGTTTGTAAAATAAAGAATACTAATATAAGGGTAGAGTAGTTAAATGTTTGAACATCCTCCAACATGAATTGGGATTATGTAGCAACCATAACTAAAAATATAATAAGAAATGGTGAAGTGAGATTCAGTTTCTGATACTGCCGGTGAGGTTGGTCGCGCTTAAACCATGTGCACTCATGGACTGTCCCTAGACAAGTGTGGGGCAATTTTGTTGGATCAACCAAACTTTTAATTGACAATTATTTTTACAATTATTACAACATTCGAAGCGATCTGGTAGAGTCAACATTTTTGTTTTCTTTTTGTTCCACTAAGGCAAGTTAATATCCATGACTCACTTCTCCAAAAGAGAACTACCAGTTACAAAATATATTACATACTTCGATATTATTAAGTTCTTCTTTGTTGTTGCTAAATTAGGCTTAGAGGGTATTATGTTGATATGCATGTGAGGATTACATAGCTATATATGATCCATGGATCAGAATTCAGACATTGCTAAAGTTTGAGAATAACAAATCATAAAACTGAAAACGTTGTGGATAAAATAGATGTGATAACAGATAATCCAAGCACACCACCACATAAAAACAATGGGAATATAATATGACACCCAAGATTCTTATTCCCAACGCAAAAGTTAAGCAACGACTAGTAAATAAAAGTGTCTGAGCATTTCCAAGAAAATTAACGTCCAGTGATTTGAATGATGTGATTTCACAATTATTTTACTCAACATTTCGATGAAATCATTTCAAATTCTTCCGAAGAAGCTAGATTCCTCACAATTCCCATGCGGCCATGCCACTGTATTAGACCAAACAAGAGAAGGTAAGAAAACTCTCGATGTCAACCTCGCGAGCCGCATTGTTCTGAAAATTCTGATTACAACTTTGAAATTTCTTTTGTTGCTCTCTTGTTTTGACGAATAAATACTTTAAAAAATCGTTTAATTGTTTTGGGTTTTCTATGCTACAAAGGGAGATATACGTACTTATACAATGAATATAAAAGTTGTAATAATTTTTGAAACCTGGAGATGTGTCTAATAAAATATTAAATTTTAGTATTTTTGTTTTTTACACCGACAAGATTTTTGATATATGAATAATATGAAATCATTTTTCGAAAAATAACAAAGCAAATTGTGTTTAATACCATGGTTCTTTCACATTTTTGTGACCATATTTTAGATCGGTTCTTACGCTATCTTAAATAATAATACTAGCAAATTTCTAATAGTTTCATACAATTACAAACAGTTTTTGAAATATAAAACGTGACCTTGGTACAAATTTATTTGGAAATAATTTTGTCCGAATAATTTATTGTTGTTAATATTTTTTTTTTAATAATAATAACCCGACCCGGGCAACGGCAAAGTTCGACCCGATAGATAGACTTGCCGGAGAAAGGAAAATCGAAGTTGATTTCCCGAGAAACCCTCCGCATAAACCCTCTTTTTACTGTGGGCTTTGTTCGCAGACACTTTTTCCCTTCTCCCTCTCTTCTTCTCCAATCGGATTTTTCGCTCCGAAATTTGAACAAAACAGCTCGAACCTTCTCTTGTTCCCGCTCTTGTGGTTCGCGAGGGAGCCAAAATCGATCTAGGGTTTTGGTTTTCTCGCTCCCCAGAATCCACTAGGGTTCTCTGGTTCGATATCCGATTCCGTCCAGTGTTGTTTGTTCTTCCAATAATATGTCACAAGACGAGGAGATTGTGATGCGGGATGTGACGAACGCGGGTCTCTGCGTTGGTGACCGCATTGGCCGAGAAGCCGCATCTCAGCTCGATCTTGAAGAAGCTCTAGAAGCTTCCAGATACGCTAGTCACCCCTATTCGACTCATCCCAGAGAGGTTAGCTTCAGGAACGATTCGAGTTCAGGATTTTGTATTTCCGAATCAATTAGCTCAGTTTTCTTTCGATTGGAGAAAACTTAGTTGAAATCGAGCTATTGCAAGATTGAGAACTTGAGCTTAGTCTTATATGGTGTGTGTCTTTGTTGCAGTGGCCGCCGTTAATCGAGGTTGGTGAGACTTGGGAATTGCCTTCTGTACTTATCGAGAGGTATAATACAGCAGGTGGGGAAGGGACGGCCTTGTGTGGAATTTTTCCAGAGATTCGACGGGCGTGGGCATCCGTCGACAATTCATTGTTTCTGTGGCGTTTCGACAAAAGGTAAACTTTGGCTTTTCCTTTTTTAGTTACAGGGGAATTCAGAGCTTGAGGTGCATCGTTTTCATAGTTGTTGCTTTGTTTTGATAAACGCATGTCGATTAGGGATGGGCAATGTCCTGAGTATAGCGGGGAGGAGCAGGCTATTTGTGCCGTTGGACTAGCGAAATGTAGACCTGGAGTTTTTGTTGAAGCTATTCAATATCTTTTGGTGCTGGCAACTCCTGTTGAGGTGACACTTTTCAAAGGCGCAATCTGATCACAACCTTCTTCTTTAGTTTTGTCTACTACTCTATATAATTTTCTGAGAAAAAAAATCTCTACTTCTCATCAGTTGGTTCTTGTTGGAGTTTGCTGCACTGAAGGACCTGATGGTAGAGATCCTTATGCTGAGATTTCAGTACAGCCTCTGCCTGACTATACTATATCATCAGATGGAGTGACTATGACATGCGTTACGTGTACCAATAGAGGGCGCATTTTCATGGCTGGACGTGATGGTCATATATATGAGCTATTATATACAACTGGTTCAGGCTGGCATAAACGTTGTCGTAAAGTATGCCTTACTGCAGGTGTTGGTAGTATGATCTCCAGGTACACTACTTCTCTTTGTCTTTCTTTTTTCTTTCTTCTACTGTCCTCTCTGATATTTGATTCTGGAATCTGGGATAAAGCAAGCTTCTAGCAACCCATTTGGTATCTCTAACTCCTTGTGCTCTACTATTCCGACATATCATATTCTTTATGTTCGTTTTTTTAATATTTATCCTCAATTCTGTCAATTTTAGGTGGGTTGTGCCAAATGTGTTCAAGTTTGGAGCTGTAGATCCTGTTGTAGAGATGGTCGTTGATAATGAAAGGCAAATTTTATATGCCCGCACTGAAGAGATGAAACTTCAAGCATATGTTTTTGGGCCAAATGGGGAAGGCCCTCTTAAGAAGGTTGCAGAAGAAAGGAATCTGTTAAATCAGAAGGATGTGAGCCAAGGAAATCGACAGTCAACAGCGGCAGGTCGATCTAACAAGCCAACCATAGTCAGCATTTCGCCACTGTCCATGCTGGAATCCAAATGGTTGCACCTTGTTGCGGCGTTATCAGATGGTAGGAGGATGTATCTCTCCACCTCTTCAAGTGGAAGTAGTTTCAGTGGGTTCAACAACCACCGGCAGACTCCAAGCTGTTTGAAAGTCGTTTCAACTAGGCCATCTCCTCCATTGGGGGCCGGTGTTGGGCTTGGTTTTGGAGCTGCATCTCTTGCTGGTAGAACCCCAAATGAGGATCTCTCCATGAAGGTTGAAACAGCATATTATTCTGTTGGAACTCTTGTCCTTTCAGATTCATCGCCACCTGCTATGTCTTCTCTTCTTGTTGTTAGCAGAGATTCAAGCGTGCACTCTCAGGCTGGCGGCAGTTCAGCTTCAAGTTCAAGGAGTTCTCGGGCTTTACGGGAAGTTGTGTCCTCTCTACCCATTGAAGGCCGTATGCTTTTTGTAGCCGATGTGCTCCCCTCTTCTGATACTGCTGCTACTGTTCAATCATTGTATTCAGAACTTGAATACTGTGGACTCGAAGTCTCGGGAGAGTCTTATGAAAAGGCATGTGGAAAACTCTGGGCCAGAGGTGATCTTTCGACCCAGCATATCTTGCCAAGGCGAAAGATTGTCATTTTTACCACCATGGGTATGATGGAACTGGTTTTTAATAGACCTGTTGATATCTTGAGAAGACTTCTAGAATCCAACTCTCCAAGGTCCCTTCTGGAAGATTTTTTCACCCGCTTTGGAGCAGGCGAAGCAGCTGCCATGTGCTTGATGTTGGCTGCCCGGATAATAAATTTTGAAGATCTAATTAGTAACATTGTTGCCGATAAAGCAGCTGAGGCTTTTGAGGATCCGAGAATGGTAGGCATGCCACAATTTGATGGCAGTAGTGGATTGTCAAATACTAGAACAGCAACTGGAGGTTTCAGCATGGGCCAAGTTGTTCAAGAAGCCGAGCCTATATTTTCAGGTGCACACGAAGGGCTCTGCCTTTGTACGTCAAGATTACTGTTTCCCCTGTGGGAACTTTCTGTGGTGTCTAAAAAAACCAGTTTTGATTCCATGTCTGAGGACGGAGTGGTGATTTGTCGTCTTTCTACCAGTGCTATGAATGTGCTGGAAAGCAAGATTCGATCGTTGGAGAAATTCTTAAGATCTAGAAGGAACCAGAGAAGGGGGCTTTATGGATATGTTGCTGGGTTAGGAGATGTTACAGGCTCTATTTTGTATGGTAATGGTTCAGAGTTGGGTGCTACTGAGAGGAATATGGTTAGGAACTTGTTTGGAGCATATTCCAATGGAGGCGAGTCAGCAAATAAAAGACAGCGGTTGCCATATAGTCCTGCTGAATTGGCTGCCACGGAGGTACAATCTGTTGAATTGTTATAAATCTAGTGTTAATTTCTTCCTTCTCAATTAATTTGTTGTGGAAGTCTTTAATTAGTCTTTCCCTCCTGCAGGTGAGGGCGATGGAGTGTATTAGGCAGTTACTTCTCAGATCTGCAGAAGCCCTCTTCCTACTTCAACTTCTCTCTCAACATCATGTTGCTAGATTAGTTCAGGGGCTTGACGCAAACTTAAAGCAAGCTTTGGTTCAGTTGACATTCCATCAGTTAGTTTGTTCTGAAGAGGGCGACCAAATTGCAACAAGACTCATATCTGCCGTGATGGAGGTACCTCCCTTTAAATTAGCCTCAGTGTCCTCTTCCTAAATTTTCTGATTTTCTAACTTAAATCTTATACTATGTTGCCCCAGTATTATACCGGCTCAGATGGCAGGGGAACAGTTGACGATATTAGCGGGCGGCTACGTGAAGGTTGCCCAAGTTACTTCAAGGAGTCGGATTACAAATTCTTCTTAGCTGTTGAACGCCTTGAAAGAGCTGCTTTAACTTCAGATGCTGAGGAGAAAGAGAATGTTGCTAGAGAGGCGTTCAGTTTCTTGAGTAAAGTCCCTGGATCTGCAGATCTCAGAACTGTCTGCAAACGTTTTGAGGAATTGAGGTTAGTTTTTCATTCAAGTAGATGTCTACACACTTGGTTGTTTGTATTTTGTGATCGTTGGTCAATAAACCTCTTTTTTTTTTTTTTTTTTTTTTTTGGGTGTTAACGCTTTCATTCGTAGTGGCAGTCGAACGAAACAGGAATCCTTTTTACCCTTCTGAAACGAATTTCATAGAATATTCCAAAGATACTTTCCAAATTATAGTTAAGATACCTTATGATCCCATGAATTTAAAGATAGACAAACAACAAAAAGGATAAATCTAGAAGTTTACAGTTAAGCATTCACACAGGAATAAAGTAAAACCTCTAGGCCAAATTCATCAAGGCGAAAGGGACAATTTTGTTGCCCTTTCTTTTAAGATTTCATTTATTTAGTATTCACTCAGAATGATTTTTCTACAGGTTCTATGAAGCTGTTGTCTGTTTGCCTTTGCAGAAGGCCCAAGCCCTTGATCCTGCTGGCGATGCTTTCAATGACCAAATTGATGCTTCCATTAGAGAGCATGCTATTGCCCAGCGAAAACAATGCTATGAAATTATCGCTAATGCCTTGCGATCTCTAGCTAGTTCCATGCTAGATGAGGCTTCACGTAGACAATATATATGCCAAATCGTTCATCTTGGTGTGCAATCAACTGACAGAGCATTCCGGGAGTACCTATACAACGCCATGATAGAACTGGGTCTTGAAAATGAGCTCCTGGAGTACGGAGGTCCAGATTTGGTACCTTTTCTCCAGAATGCTGGCAGTCATTCGGCATCAGAGGTTTGCTATTTATACGCTAGAATTTTTAAATTATATCCAATAATATGGTGTTAGGAATAGCCTTAAATTCATATATTGTCTACCTGTTACACTTAGCTAAAAACTAGGAGCGTCAGTCTTCCACCAACTGCGAAAAGAAAACAAGTCAGGTTTAGTGGTAGACACTGCTGCTGTTTTCTATGAATTACTCATTTGTCTCCTTATGCCATAATAGGTCGCGGCTGTATCTTCTGGATCATCTCCGCTGGGTCAGTCAGGAACACAGATTTCATCAAATCAAGCCAAATATTTTGATCTTCTTGCGAAATACTATGTGTCGAAGAGACAGCATGTGCTTGCTGCTCATGTGCTTCTAAGGCTTGCGGAAAGGCGCGCAATTATTTCAGGGGACAATCCTATCCTTGAACAAAGGTAAGCAATCTGTCTTTCATGTTTTGTCTTGAAATTTGCCGTGAGTCACATATTACCTTGATTCTTCAACTCTTCCTTCCTTTATCATCTCTAATGGGATGCTACCTTGTGAATATAGGCGACAATACCTTAGCCTCGCAGTTTTACAGGCTAAGAATGCAAGTAATAGCGATGGTTTAGTAGGTTCTGATCAAGGTGCTTCTGACAGTGGGTTGCTTGATCTGCTTGAAGGAAAACTCGCAGTTCTTCAGTTCCAAATAAAGATCAGAGACAAACTTGAAGCCATGGCTTCGAATTTCGAGTCCTCGGTTGCCATGCAGGAGTCTGACCAGAATGAGCCAGTACTTGATTGTGGTTCTAGTGATGGTTCCAGCTTAGCAAATGCAGCAAATGAAAAGGCCATGGAGCTCTCCTTGGAGCTTAAAAGCATAACGCAGTTGTATAATGAATATGCTGTCCCATTTGAGCTCTGGGAGGTAAGTCTAAAAATCATAAACTGTCATATATGTATATTCTTTTTTTTTAATGTACTGCTGGACCATGTTTCTGGGTTAACTGGTTTTCTAGAACTAACTATAGGAACATGGGAAGCCTCCATTTCTCACTATCTGTAACTTAGCTGATATTCTGTAAATTCGTAGGTTCAATGACTCAATGCTAGTATCTTTTTGCTCCCTTGACATTGATTGTGTGTTTTCTGGCTTTACTAATATGCAGATCTGTCTGGAAATGCTCTACTTTGCCAACTATTCTGCTGATGCTGATTCAAGCATAATAAAGGAAACATGGGCTAGACTCATCGAGCAAGCTCTTTCTCAAGGTGGGATAGCTGAAGCATGTTCAGTACTCAAGAGAGTCGGATCTCAGATATATCCTGGCGATGGAGCTGTTTTACCGCTCGATGTCCTGTGCCTTCACCTCGAGAAAGCTGCACTTGTAAGCTTCTTTCTCGTTATGTCGTTGATTCTTTCCATCAGGTTAGAACTGAATTTGAATACAAACTGTGGGAAAATTTTACAGGAGAGATCAGAGAGGAATGAAATTGTTGGGGATGAAGACATAGCTCGAGCTCTACTAGCCGCCTGCAAAGGCGCAGCTGAACCCGTGCTCAACGCTTATGACCGTTTATTATCTAATGCAGCCATTGTGTCGTCGCCGAATCTAAGAATCCGCCTCCTTGGTTCAGTTCTGGTGGTGCTCCTTGAATGGGCAATGTCGGTATTGTCAGACAGAATGGGCTCGAGTCCAACGAGGTCTTCTTTGATATTAGGTGGCTCGTTTGCACATGAGAACAAAGCCGTTCTTAACCAAGGGGTCCGTGATAAGATCGCAAGCGCCGCAAACAGGCAAGTTTCTCTCTGTTATCTTAAGTAGGCCTAGGCATTTGGTATAATCTCACATGTAATTTTTTTTTTTTGTGTGTGAACGGACAGGTACATGACAGAGGTTAGGAGACTGACTCTGCCACCGACGAAGACGGAGAGTATATTCGCTGGTTTCAAAAAACTTGACGAGTCTCTCTTAAGTCCATTCTCCTTCTGATCCATCATCACTCTTTTTCTTTTTTTATTTGCATCCAATTTTTTTCACTTTATAGGGTATTTAGCAGCTTTCTTGTAACTTTAAATAACTCTTAGGGGAAATTTCCCCTTCTTTAGTCTTCAGAGAGAATCAAAATACGTAAAGAGAGATATAATTCTGTAGTTCCTCTTAAATTTGGGGCCTTGTGTGTCATTTTTATCTGTATTATCTAGTTTCTTTATCGAGTGTTGTTGTTGGTTATTAATTTTACTTTCAAACCATGATATATGAAAAGTAACGAGGATTTTGAAGTATTTAGAAATAAAATATTTGTAAATTTAATTAAAACGACTTGTGAATTGTTATCTGTTAATTATTTTTTTCAAGTTCGTAAATTTATTGTATTTGCATGCTAAACTTCAAGAACTTGAAAATGATGTATCAGAAGCATTTTGTAAGAGCTAAGTCACACTATTGCACACTTGCCAATGAGTTTTCCCTGAAATTTTCGACTTTGACTATTCGTTCGTGCTATCGACGTTGGATTCCATTTACATTTTCATAGAACCAAAGTGGAATTTTGTTGGCAGCTTTTGCTTCCCCATTTTTTGTTGATCTTTACCCTCCCTTCGAGGACAACAACATTAACAATATTGAAAAAGTAGCACCAAATTAACAGGTAGGATACTGGTGTGTTTTTGTCAAAATTCAAGAGTATGTAATATTTGTCGTTTATGGATGTACACTTTTGGAGATTTCTGTGCTGAAGATAAATTTGTCTCTTGTGGGATGTGTGCTACAGTTTGAGCTGTTTACTAGCGAATGGTCAAATTTTGAAACCGTAACTTGTTATTGAAATATTCTAATGAATGTTACGATGACTAATAGTCGGTAAAAGAATTTAGAGGGAAACTTAACTAAACGAAATGTGTTTAAATAAACAATGAAATGATATAACTAAGATAATGTAAATAAACAGTTCAAATTTTGAGATTAACGGGGTTTGACCGTGGTCCGGACTTGGGACATGTTCGGTTCATTAAAGTTCAAGATTCTTGTCTCCTGCATTGATTTCTTCATTATATAGTATCTTTCTGGTTTTTCGTACAGTTTATGATTTTATGGTTTTTCTAAAAAGTTTTTATAGAATCGCAATCACAATATATGCATACTGTAAATTTAAATGGTTAAGGTATTCTATCTTCGCTCAGTCCAGTAAAATATTGTGGGTAAGTGAGACAAAAGAAGAACATTACATATGCTCCAAGATTAATCTGAAAATTGATGTTTAAAAAATTCTGATAAAATCTGATTAGAAGTTGCGTCACTGGAATCATGAGACATGGTCTCTAGTGATTTGTAAAATTTGTCGTACATGTTTGGCCAGAATGGGATGGTCCCTAATAAACTGACAACACACATACAAATAAATTCAGATGGTCCCTAATCCTTCAATGTAATTAACCCTATTCTACGAACACCAGTGCTGTGAGTTATCGGAATTTATAAAGCTATTGGGTTATATTTGAATAAACGTTGCTAATTTATGAACTTTTAAGAAAATAATAGTATTGTTCAGCAAAATTTTCTCCAAATTATGCCAAAAGAAATGACTAATATATATGCATTGTATTTGTGGTAGTAGTAAAAACTAAAAAGAAAGAGAAAAGAAAAACTATTTCCCGCTAAACTAGCAGAAGCTACAAATAATATATACTCGTGTTAACGCTCTAAATCAAAGACGAAGAGACAAATAAACAGTTAGTAATTGATAAAACGAACTTAATTAGCAGCGACGCGAATCATCTCTCTATCGTTGTCGAAACACAGCCTTAAACCTCATTTAAATCTCTCTCTAGCTTTCTCTCAGACAAAACTAAAAACCAAAAGCAAGTGTTTCTCTTTGGCGATTTCATAAACCCTAGCATTTTGATGAGTTACTAGTGCTCTCTTCGTTTTACTTTCTGCTTTGCGCCGATCTTCGTAATTGTGTTGCGAAAGGATGGGTTTTGTGTGTCTAGGGGTATCTTAGTCGATTTTGCTGGTGTGTTGGAAACTTAGAACTTTAGCATTTGGTTGAACTGGGAAATTGGGATTGTGGTGAGGAGCGAGGATTGAGATCGGAAAAAATGGAGGAAAGAGGAGGATATATGTCACCTTCATTGACCGTATCGTCGTCATATCGGGAAGGAGGAAGCAAGGGCTTATCGCGACGGAGGTCGATGAGGCCGAGCTTTGACGCGGATAACGAGTTCATAACCCTACTCCATGGCTCGGATCCCGTAAGAATCGAGTTAAATCGGCTGGAGAACGAAGTCAGAGGTACGAGATTGCGTTTTGTTGAGGATTGACCTGTGAATTTGAAATTGGGTTGGATTAGCAGTCTAGTCAGGCTTTGTTCCAGGCAGCAACGTGCATGCTTGTAGGTTCTTGTTTTAAAACATTGACTTGGTGTGTTGTAGATAAGGATCGGGAATTATCTGAATCCCAAGCTGAAATCAAAGCTTTGAGGTTGTCTGAACGGCAAAGAGAGAAGGCTGTTGAAGAGGTTAATCCCTTTCTTAAGCTTCCATCTCATGAAATCTCCCAATATTTATTTTTATCTTTTGGAATTGCAAAGTATTTACCTTCTTTTTCCTTTTAAACTTGAGTGGCATTATGATATTCCTATTTTATGAAGATGGAGTACTTATTTGGAATAAGTTTCTCTGGTTAATCATCTATATTGCTTGTCTGTGAGTTTGGTTTGGCTTGTGCACAACCGTTACATGGCTTATTAGAAATGAAGACATGAAATCATTATAGGTGCTTACTAGCTTTTTATAACAAGACTTCAAAGTGTTATTCTGAGAACTGAAAATTGTGCCGGCGCATCTCATGTAGTTTTATTCTTATGTCATATATAGTCTTACACTTCTCTGTATACTGACCTCTCTGCTGTCTAATTTGATTACTGAAGCTCACCGAAGAGTTGGGAAAGATGGCGGCAAAACTTAAACTGAGTGAAAACCTTCTTGAGAGTAAAGTATGCTTGTAATTTTTCTTCCGTTCTTTGATTCCCTTTGCTCTTGATTGATTATATATATAACGTTGTCATTTGTTGTCACAGAATCTTGAAATCAAGAAAATAAATGAAGAAAAGAAGGCTTCCATGGCAGCTCAATTTGCAGCAGAAGCCTCTCTTCGTAGGGTGCATGCTGCTCAAAAGGATGATGACATGCCTCCAATTGAAGCTATTCTTGCCCCTTTAGAGGCTGAACTGAAGCTTGCGAGACAAGAAGTATTTTCCTTTCAGAAATATCTTTCTAGCTGGATTCAATAAGTTCTGGGACATTTTAACTGGATTCCTATCTGATTTTGCAATATCTGATTGGTAGATTGCTAAACTTCAAGACGACAACAAATCACTTGACCGCCTTACCAAATCAAAGGAAGCAGCTCTGCTTGAAGCTGAAAGGACAGTTCAGTCGGCACTGGCAAAGGCTTCAATGGTTGATGATCTCCAGAATAAGAACCAAGAATTGATGAAACAAATCGAAATTTGTCAGGTATGTCTCTCATTTTTTTTTTAATTGACTGAATCAGCTAATTAGATTATCTATTCCCTTCTTCACAACAGCGTGGCCTAATTTGCCTATACATTGGTTAAATTAGGAAGAGAATAAAATTATAGACAAGATGCACAGACAGAAGGTTGCAGAGGTTGAAAAGCTTATGCAGAGTGTGGGGGAGTTAGAAGAAGCTGTTCTTGCTGGTGGTGCAGCCGCAAATGCAGTGAGAGATTACCAGAGGAAATTTCAAGAAATGAATGTAATAATTCTTACGCTTCTATAGTGCCACAGGATCTGTTTTTCTTCTTATGCTGGTCTCGTAATTGTGTCATTTGGTCTTTTTCGTAGGAAGAGAGAAAAATTCTTGAACGGGAATTGGCCCGTGCTAAGGTTAATGCAAACAGAGTTGCTACTGTAGTAGCAAACGAATGGAAAGATTCCAACGACCAAGTGATGCCGGTAAGGCAGTGGCTCGAAGAACGGAGATTCTTGCAGGTCTTGTTTTGTTTTTTTCCCTTACTTCTCTTTCTGCTTCGAGTTGTGATTGAAATTTATGGTGGTTAACAAAAACTATTGCCGTCTCCTATTTCTGTTTGGACAGGGAGAAATGCAGCAACTACGTGACAAACTTGCCATAGCTGACCGAGCTGCAAAATCTGAAGCTCAGCTGAAGGTAGAATCATAGCTATGTCACATCTCTAGTTTTATTTTTATTTTATTTTATATGGCCTTAATTTGGAATTGCTGATTTTACCTTTCTTTAGGAGAAATTTGTACTACGGCTTAGAGTGTTAGAAGAGAGTTTAAAGAGGCCTACAAGCAGCAGCAACAGAGGCACGCCTGGTGGTAGAAGCTCAAGCAACGGGCCTGCTCGAAGACAATCCCTTGGTGGAGCCGAAACGAGTCCAAAATTTACATCAAATGGTTCTTTGACCAAGAGAACGCCAAGTACTCAGTCGAGATCATTGACTCCTAGTGCCAGCACTATATTGAAGCATGCTAAAGGAACATCTATATCATTCGATGGGGGAACCAGATCGTTGGATAGAAACAAGGTGCTAATAAATAGACCGGGATTGAATATTCCTTTGAACCACCAATCTTCTGAAGGAACTTGCGGAGGCGAGTCGCCTAGCCCAATAAAAGGGGAAGAATCAGATGGCAAGTCAACAAACAATGATAGCGTCTCAGGTGTCCTATACGATTTGCTGCAGAAAGAGGTCATAACATTAAGAAAAGCTGCTCATGAGAAAGATCAAAGCCTAAGAGACAAAGACGAAGCTATTGAGGTTTGCTTAGTTTGGCCTTTATCCTTTTCTTTGCAGTCTTTATATTTACAAGAAAGTCTCAATTGTTTGGTTTGTGTGTGTGTTTAGATGTTGGCCAAGAAGGTTGAGACATTAACAAAGGCGATGGAAGTTGAGGCAAAGAAGATGCGAAGAGAAGTAGCTGTAATGGGGAAAGAAGTTGCAGCCATGCGCGTGGATAAAGGACAACAAGATAGTAAATCCAGACGTCCGTCCTCCATCTCTAAAGGATCTTCAAACACTGCTCAAATGCTCACTGGAAGGTATCATATTATATACTATGAGCTTTATATAAAGATATATCTAACTAAATATGTCATTTTGTTTAAGCGTTATGATCATCTTTCGCAGAGTGTCTGGACGAATTGGGATGACGAGGAGCACACAATGACAAGCTGATTCCCCAAGCATTTGGATCAATAACCGGTTGATTTCTGTCCTTGTGCCAAATTGATAAACCATCACTAGGAAGAGGGATTGCATTTGAAAGCTGAGCATGTAAAGGAACAAAACCGATTCGGTTTGGTGTATAAAGAAAATTGACTTTACTTGGCTAATATACCACGTGGTGATTTTCTTATTTTGTTGTGTTATGTATAGAAGGAGAGGTAGGCTTGTGTTTTATGTAACGTTTTAAGCTTTTAGTATGTTATTGTTTTCTCTCTCTCCCCTTAGCTAATGTTCTTGGTAGCTTTACCCGGTTTTACTCAATCTTTTGGTGGCCAAATCTTTTTTCTGAAAATGGAACTGATCAAATCAAACCAGCAAGTTAAAGGAACAGAACCACATGAATTGAACCGGCTTCGGATCATTGACCGGTACGCGGTTCGCAACGTGGATGTATAATTTCACTTTTGGCCCAAAAGTGAAAATATTTGAACGAGTAGGCCTACCTTTTTGTTTTGAAATTGCATTCCATTTCCGTTCTCGTTCTCTGCTCCATTGGTTCTTTCCTCCTTTTTCCCAGATTCATCATCAATCTCCCTACATCATCAGATTACCTTTTTTTTTGTTTTCGTTAGATCTAGATCTGAGCGATCGGTGAGAGATTTTCCGGATCTTTGATCCGTTTCAGGAAATGGCGACGATGAAAAGTTTGATAGGTCTGATTAACAAAATCCAGAGGGCTTGCACTGTCCTCGGAGATCATGGCGGTGAAGGAATGTCGCTTTGGGAAGCTCTCCCAACCGTCGCTGTCGTTGGTGGCCAGGTTTGATCTCTCTATGAACATACACGTTTGAATTTTAGATCCGATCTCACTCCTCGCATCTTTAATCACTTCAATGTGTGCGTTTCTGATTTATTTTGGTGGTGATTTCTTTGGATCAGAGTTCCGGAAAATCTTCAGTTCTAGAAAGTGTTGTGGGCAGGGATTTTCTGCCTCGTGGATCTGGTAAATTTATCTCTCGTTATGCAATTTTGTCTGGTGATCAATGCTTGAAATTAGGTCTTAGATAGGATTCGGAAGTTTTCGTGCTCTTAGTTGCTTTCAATGAAAAATTAGCTAAAGTATACAATCTCGGAGCATGACATGGAGATTTTGACTGCTTCGACGAAGCTACAGAATAGCTCCCCATCATCGTGCCTTGTGATTATTGTTTCATTGATGCTGATTCTCCTAAACCTTTTTCAGTTTGTGTGCTGATTGATCATATATTGTTCTTCTCTTATATCGACTTGAAGTGCCCGTCTAATTTGGTACCAATTGATTAATCAGGTATCGTTACTAGGAGGCCATTGGTGTTGCAGCTTCATAAGACCGAAGAAGGGACAACCGAATATGCTGAGTTTCTTCATGCTCCTAAGAAGAGGTTTGCTGATTTTGGTAGGTTAACTGAGTCTTTCATGGGGCGTTCCAAATGTCAATGAATATCAGTTCCTATTTTCTATATGAAGCTAATTGCTGAAAATGATAAGATTCATAAATAGAAAGGCAGGTTGGGCTAATAAATGTTCTTCTCTTTCCAGCTGCTGTGCGAAAGGAGATCGAGGATGAAACTGATCGTATTACTGGGAAGTCGAAACAAATCTCAAACATTCCAATTCAGCTGAGCATATATTCTCCCAATGGTTTGTGCTTAGGACCACATTTCATGTAGTGTATACCTATTGTAAATAATGTAGCGCATATAGAAGACAGTTCTTATACTGTTGATACCACTAGTAATGAGTTAAGAGTAGTTGGATTAGATTTTAACTTTCCATTTTTGCTACGCCTCTTTCATGTGACTTTGATTTCTCACTTTAGGAGGATGCTTTTCTATGCAGTTGTTAATCTGACGCTGATAGATCTTCCGGGTTTGACGAAGGTTGCTGTAGGTAAGAGATCTTTGATATGACATATCCTTTGTTCTTGTATCTCGTAACATTTTCTAAGACTCTTCCCTTATATGAATGTTACACATGTAGAGGGTCAACCGGATAGTATCGTCCAAGACATTGAAAATATGGTCCGTTCTTATGTTGAAAAGGTCAGTTTTGCTCTAAGCTGTTGGTGACAAGGTTTCAATAATTTTGTCGTTTATCCAAACAAGTTGAAATGAACCATGCATTTGATCATCCTCGCACACTATGATATGTTTTCGGAAAATCTATCAGATATGAAAGTGATCAGGAAGGATCAAACTTTTTCTCTATAATGTTAACTCTAGAAGCTTATCCTGTGAGTTGTTTTATTGCAGCCAAATTGCATCATATTGGCTATTTCTCCAGCTAATCAAGATATTGCTACATCAGACGCTATAAAACTTGCTAGAGAAGTTGATCCTACAGGTACTATATAGAAGTAGTTTCCTAGTTACTAGTAAGTAGTAACTTTCACTCTCCACGCCATTTTTCTAAAATTTTCAAGTATTTTATCTGTAGGTGAAAGGACCTTTGGAGTGGCAACGAAGCTTGATATCATGGATAAAGGAACAGATTGTCTAGATGTAAGGATCTTTCTTTACTCCTGCAGCATGTGGTCTCAACTAAATCACTTACTTGTTTAATTACTTTGACACCTCATTCGGTACTTGATGAAGGTTCTTGAGGGAAGGTCATACCGATTGCAACATCCCTGGGTCGGAATTGTGAATCGTTCACAGGCTGATATCAATAAGAGGGTCGATATGATTGCTGCGCGTAGAAAGGAGCGTGAGTATTTTGAAACAAGCCCTGAATACGGGCACTTGGCCAGTAGGATGGGATCAGAATATCTAGCAAAACTCTTGTCTCAGGTACCTTTATGATTTACTCGCTCGGATCTCACCGAAATCAAAGCTTTGATGCATAGCGTTGACTCTCGTCCAACTTTTCTTTTCCTCTCTGTCAGCACTTAGAGACTGTTATCAGGCAGAAAATCCCCAGTATTGTTGCTCTGATCAACAAAAGCATCGATGAGATAAATGCAGAGCTGGATAGGATTGGGAGACCTATTGCCGTAGATTCAGGGGTAAGATCTTAAACCAGTATTTAATCAGTATTCAGAGTTGCATCAGAATCGGGTAGATAGTTACTCACCAAATTTGTATTTCAGGCCCAGCTTTACACAATTTTGGAACTCTGTCGGGCATTTGATCGTGTCTTTAAAGAGCACTTGGATGGAGGGTAAGTGATTTAGCTATTCTTCTTCTTAGTTGTATAGCTCATATCTTGTTCTATCTGTACTATTACATTGCGAAGATCAATTTAGATTCTATGAAAGGTTTAAAAGACAGTGGCCTTTCGAGAGTAATATGCTGCTCTAAAATGATTTAGTTTGTACTTGTTTAACTTTAGCTCAGTTTCCAGGCTAAGGAAAGTCCTGCAATGATGACCTTTTCATAGATGTTCGCCAAAAATGTTTCACATCATTTCTCAACGAAAGCCGGGAAAAGTCGGGTTTCTCACTATTATCATGTTTTTTTTTTGTATCAGACGACCTGGTGGAGACCGGATTTATGGAGTTTTCGACCATCAATTACCAGCAGCCTTAAAGAAACTTCCCTTTGATCGACACCTCTCTACCAAAAATGTTCAGAAGGTTGTTTCAGAAGCAGATGGTTATCAGCCACATCTTATTGCTCCTGAACAAGGATACAGAAGGCTCATTGATGGATCCATTAGCTATTTCAAAGGACCAGCTGAAGCCACTGTCGATGCAGTATGCCTCCAAATCTTCATTAGATCCCATTACTTATGAGTCTTCTTAATGTCCAATAGGTTTACTATATATTTTACTCTTGTTTGATATCTCCTAGGTGCATTTTGTATTGAAAGAGCTGGTCAGAAAGTCGATTTCAGAAACAGAGGTGAGAAGAGGCCTTCTGTTTTGAGAACTCCTCCTAGCTCTTTACGCCCTGTTTCAATCCTAAGTTGCCATTTGTCTTCTATTTGTTATCAGGAGCTGAAGCGATTCCCGACTCTAGCAAGCGATATAGCAGCTGCTGCAAATGAAGCTCTGGAAAGATTCAGAGACGAAAGCAGGAAAACGGTTCTTCGTCTGGTGGACATGGAATCCAGCTACCTGACGGTTGAGTTCTTCAGGAAACTTCACCTTGAACCCGAGAAAGAGAAACCAAACCCGAGAAATGCCCCACAACCAAACGCAGACCCCTACTCCGACAATCACTTCAGAAAGATCGGTACGTGTCTCTGGCTTCCCTCACTATGAATGAAACATATCAAACGTGTGTTGACTACGAATTAATTACTCAGGCTCCAACGTGAGTGCATACATAAACATGGTCTGTGACACATTGAGAAACTCTCTTCCAAAGGCTGTTGTATACTGCCAAGTTAGAGAAGCTAAGAGATCACTCCTCAACTTTTTCTACGCTCAAGTCGGCAGGAAAGAGGTAAACAATATTATTACCCTTTTTTCTTTTGTTGGATTATCATATGCCCAAACTGGGTCGATTTAAAGAGTGAAGAATTCTTTCTAATGATTCAATACATTAATAAAAAATGGTGTAGAAGGAGAAGCTAGGGGCGATGTTGGATGAAGACCCACAGCTAATGGAACGAAGAGGAACCTTAGCCAAACGGCTCGAGCTTTACAAACAAGCTAGAGACGACATCGATGCAGTGGCTTGGAAGTAAGGTGTAATCAAGGGACTCCTACGAAATATTCTTTCTATTTTAAATTTCTTTGTTCGTGTGGGCACTTCATTATAATAGATATGTTGGGAGTTGGAACTTCCAATCCATTGCTTCACACGCACACACGATAACTCATGTTTTCTTCAGTCACTAATTTTCTATTTCCCACTTTTTGGTATGTATCTTCGATTCTTGAATGTTGTTTTAGAACGGTCGAGTCATATTTGAAAGACGCACTCTTACATTAAGACAAAAGGATGGAACTATGAATCTTAAGATCTTGAAGAATCTGCCTACGGTTTGTATTCTATGCAACCACTTTGTCACTAACTCACTATTCGGATACCGTTCAAGTTGTAGCTAAAAAAGAATAAAAGAAAGCCATTTTTCTTGAAAAAAAATAACCAATTTATATTTCTCATTAAGAAAGAACTAACTATTGTAATTAATAAAAAGGAGTTTTCTTTCGTTACGAAATATAAAACGTAAAAAATTAATATTCATTCTTCAATAAGAACGAGCAGAAAGTATACCCATTTTGTCAGAAACCATATGGAAATGTACCTATTTGAACATTGATGGGTTTGCTCAGTGTTGTAGGCTGAACCAGTAGTTCAAGACCACCTTGTAAAAAATAAACAAAATTATCCATTATCTTGTTTGTATTTTGAAATTGTAGATAGTGCAATTGTGTTTGCATATAAATTCTATAAAAAGGTGCACTAATAAATACCTAAACCCAGCTGCAACGGATCTCATCCTTGTCTTTAAAGCAATGATTTAAGTTGTTTAGCTAATGAGCCTGTGTTTCACATGGTTGTTTATTTGAGAATAGGTTAAAAGATATGTAAACGTAGTAATTTACGTAATCCTTAAGATTCGGGATTTAGTAGTTAAGTCATGGAATCATCTCCCAACTGTATTTAATCTTTAAAGTAGTGAAAATAAAAGTCAAAGAGAGAGAGACATTTAAGGCTTTAACTTCCAGCTGTCCATTGTGCTGCTAATTGGGGAAAGGTCTCTATCCGGTTACCGTAGAGACACAAGTACCCAATCCTTTGTATGTTTCTGGCCTTTGTCTTCCTATGGCTTCTGAGTCTCTGTCAACATCACACCATCAAAGCTCTTTACTTTTTCAACCGACTTTTTCCGTGTGTGTGTTCGGACCACAAAAGCCTCTCTCTTTCTCTCGCTCTTTTATTACCTGCGCGCACTTCTGAGGATCTGAGAGCCAAAACATCATGGACGAAAGTCAAGAACTGGCGTTGACCCAGTTAAGAAAATCAGTTGAGAAACTCTCTTCTTCCACAGAGGTAATCAAATCCGACGCTTTAATTGCACTTCAAAGTTGTATCTTTTTGGCTGTTTGGTTTCTCTCCTTCATGCGTTTCACTGTCAATGTCTCGTTAGAAGTTGAGAAATATCTGACATTTAATTTTATTGGGGTTTCTGGTCTACATAAACACTCAATCATTCTCGTCATAATGGTTCCCGTTGCAAATGAGTCGTCTGATTAGGTTTCAGCCGCCCATAGGAAACCCCTGCAGTAAAGAGTGTCTAGTAAAAGCATTCAAAAACAACTTTTTGGTCATTCTAATCCAGATCAGAAAACCTGATCCATGGGTTGTTTCTTCTCTCTTCTGATTTTGCTGTTTTCTCTGAAGGGATATGAGAAACCGACATTGATGAGGTTCCTCGTGGCAAGATCAATGGACCCAGACAAGGCAGCAAAGATGTTTGTAGATTGGCAAAAGTGGAGAGCCTCCAAGGTTCCTCCAACTGGGATCCCAGACTCAGAAGTGAAGGATGAGTTGGAATTTAAAAAGATCTGTCTTCAGGGTCCAACCAAACTCGGACACCCTTTGGTGCTTGTCATAACCTCTAAGCATTTTCCTTCTAAGGATCCAGCTAACTTCAAGAGTAATCACCTCTTACCATGTTTAAGACTATGACTTTCATTGAATATAAAGTTTAAAGTTGTCTGCAGATGCTAGGAAGTTTAAAGTTTTTGCATGAGTCCATATTATGTGTTTTCTTTGACTCGGTTCTTGAGATAAGTATATATGGACTAATCTTTCATGTGTTTGGTGTTGCAGAGTTCGTTGTTTATGTGCTAGACAAAGTACTCGCAAGGTGTTTGTTACACATTACTGAAACCAAAAACACTTTGACACGCAGATCTTCCAGTTTATCGATTATGTTACAAGCTCGTTAATTCATATGTTTCAGTGGCATCAAAGGCAAAGAAGTAGGAGATGAGAAGTTGGTAGGTGTTATTGATCTGTCAAACATCACATACAAGAACCTTGATGCTCGTGGATTGATCACTGGCTTTCAGTTCTTACAAGTGAGCACCTCCTCTACTTTTAATACAATGTAAATCTCACACAAAAAGAAGTCAATGCTTCTAAATTTTTCAAATTTTCTTTAGTCTTACTACCCGGAACGCCTTGCGAAATGCTACATCTTACATATGCCGGGATTCTTCGTGACTGTTTGGAGATTCGTCTGCCGTTTCCTAGAGAAAACAACTCAGGAAAAGGTTTGATCTTTAATCATCTCGTGATGTATCTATCTCCACAAATTCATTTTTTAAGCAAATCTGAAGCACGTTACTTTTTTTTTCCCTGGTTTTATAGATTGTAATAGTAACAGACGGAGAAGAACAGAGAAAATTTGAGGAGGAGGTTGGATTAGAGGCTTTACCTGAAGAATACGGAGGCCGAGCTAAGCTCACATTAATCCAAGATGTCATTCTTCCTCAGACTGCTCCACCAATGTTACCAACAAACAATAATGCTTAATTCTTAATTCTTGGAAAAGCATTTAACCCTTCAAACACTGAATCCTGCTTTAATACATATTATCTCCCTACTGCTTTACTCTTTTTATTCTGTAATGATTAGAACAAGATATCGTTAGAACTTTTCAACAACTTTAATTTCCAAAAGAAGTAATATAATGAAACACATGAGAAAGTCGTGTGAATATACTCAATCTGGTGAAATAATACCTTTTGTTTACTAGTTTCAGACATCCCGCTGTTTCTATTTATTAGATAAAAAACGTCTGTTGTTCTAAGGTCTCGGATCAAAAAAGCCTGCTGTTTTTGTTTTTAAAGATGCATATTGGAAAAATGATGAAAACTCTAAAATCCCAAACTTTTGTCTATCAGAGCCGCCTCCAAAACCTCTCTCTCTGTCTCTCACTTCTTCTTCCTCCTCCTCACGACGGCGACAATGGCGACGCTCACTCATCACACTCCACAGACCCATTTCCTCTCTAGGCTTCCTCTCAGGGCTAAACCCAGAGTCTTCTCCACAAGGGTCAAAATGTCTCTCCAGGAATCAGGGCCTTCTCTCGCCGTCGTTGGCGTTACCGGCGCCGTAGGACAAGAATTCCTCTCAGTGTTATCCGATCGAGATTTCCCTTACAGCTCCGTCAAGATGCTGGCATCGAAACGCTCCGCAGGGAAACACGTTGCCTTCGACGGCCGTGAATACACGGTGGAGGAGCTCACGGCGGAGAGCTTCGACGGCGTCGACATCGCCTTGTTCAGTGCCGGCGGATCCATAAGCAAAGAGTTTGGTCCCCTCGCGGCGGAGAAAGGAACCATCGTCGTTGACAATAGCTCGGCGTTTAGAATGGTGGAGGGCGTTCCGCTTGTGATTCCGGAAGTGAATCCTGAGGCGATGAAAGGGATTAAAGTCGGAATGGGGAAAGGTGCATTGATTGCGAATCCTAATTGCTCCACCATTATCTGCTTGATGGCTGTAACTCCTCTTCATCATCACGCCAAGGTTCGATTTTTCTTCTGATTTTGAGGCTAGTTTATAGAATCATAGGAACCATGAGAAATTGGAGTTTTTTAATGCCAAAATCTGCATCTTGTGCTCTTGAATAACGTTCTATTGGTTTTCAACAGGTGAAGAGAATGGTGGTTAGTACATATCAAGCAGCTAGTGGTGCAGGTGCTGCAGCCATGGAAGAGCTTGTGCAGCAGACTCGCGAGGTTTGGTTTCTATTTTATGCCTTTACTCTGACGACTATGTTTTAACGAATTGTGTTAAGAAGTGTTCCTTTTTGGATTGGTGTTCCTTTAGGTTTTAGCGGGTAGACCTCCGACTTGTAACATCTTTGGGCAGCAGGTGATTGCTCAATTTGCTTATTGTTTATCACTGAACGTGCTGATTCCGAATCTCTTTTGTGTAATTTGATGGTTTTTTATATTGTTTGCAGTATGCATTCAACTTGTTTTCGCATAATGCTCCTATTACTGACAATGGTTACAACGAAGAGGAAATGAAACTTGTGAAAGAGACAAGGAAGATCTGGGTGAGTTGTTACTTATTGAGCTATTTTGTGTTCATTTCACTGTGTCTTTGTAAGTTTTATTGTGTTAAGAGGCCCTCACCACTTTTGTTGGTTTGCTCTTTCCAGAATGACACAGAAGTTAAAGTAACAGCGACGTGTATACGTGTTCCTGTTATGCGTGCTCATGCAGAGAGTGTGAATCTCCAGTTTGAGAATCCCCTTGATGAGGTAAATAATACACATCGAACCTGTTTTCTACTACTGACACAGTTATTACTAAGTTCTTGAAACATTGATGTTCTAAGTTTCCTAATGAACTCACCGGTATATCAATTTGAGTCATAAAGCAAACCGTGTAACTATGATTAGTGTAACTCTGTTGTTTTATGAGGAAACAATCCTATAGATAATACTCGGGCTAAATGTATAATTAGAATTGAAGATTCATCTACCAGACGAAAAGTAGGTTTAATCAACTGTTGACGCAGCTTAAATATTTCAAGTTTAACGGGTTTTCGAACTGTATTTTGACAGAACACAGCAAGGGAGCTCTTGAAGAAAGCACCTGGAGTTTATATTATAGACGATCGCTCTTCTAACACCTTCCCTACTCCACTTGATGTCTCTAACAAAGACGATGTTGCGGTTGGTAGGATCAGGCGAGACGTGTCTCAAGATGGCAATTTCGGGTGAGTAAAGTCTCACTCTTTTCTATTGAATTTGGACCAAATGAGTTTTTTTTTTTGTTTTTCCATTTGGTTCAAGGCTATAACTTTGTGAATTCAGGCTGGATATTTTCGTTTGTGGAGATCAAATACGCAAAGGAGCTGCTCTAAACGCTGTTCAGATCGCTGAGATGCTTCTCTGATTTCGAATTCCTCACTTTGGCTTCTTCTGATTTTGACTAGAGAGATCAGTGTATCATCAGATTTGAGCCAAGAATTTGTCTCATTTTTTTTTTTTTGTGGGGTTTTCCTGTTTCCCTATTTGACCAATTTTGTTACTTCTCTCTCATTCAAGAAAGTTGTCTCTGAAACCTGAATCATCCCCACGTTTTGAACCTTGCCGATTTCCGGTTCGAACCAATACCGGCTTGGTTAATGGAAGATGCAATTTATTTAAATAAGTCTTCATATTGCTTTAAAATAGAAATGGTCTCAGACGATCTGTCGATGGTAACCTGGCCCCACAATTATTTTACGCACTCACACAATTGGGTCCCACATTGTCCTTCCTTTTCGCCTTAATAATAGTTTTTTTTTTTCCGAACTTAGACGTACGATTGCGAAATATTTATTTGAGATTTTGTATTTGCCAAAATATTCTTTAATTGTTATCAAATGAAGTCATAATAACTCCTTCGCTACTAAGGTAGGTATACCCTACCATCAAGATTGTGAAAATGAATATATTGTAAATTTTCTTTTTTTAGTGGGTCTTTAAATGCTAATTGGTTTCGTTCAATAAATCTCGGTTTCAGTTATCCTATGGAAACACTTCCTGTTTTCATTAACCTTTCTTTAAAAATTCATCGTAAATTGACTGACTCTTTTAGCATTATCCAAAAAGGACTCCTTAATCATAAATACACAAGCAACAGCAAGAACTCTCCACCGTCCGATTGTATTCTGTAACAGTGACGTCAGCGATCAAAACGCTACGCGAAGCATATGATTAAGGCTCAGCCAATGGGACCCTCGAAGACGACGACCAAGAAGACGAAAAGTGAAGACGGTCTTTACTCTTTAGTCCAGTCAGTGTGTTAAGTCTATAATAATAATATCGAGAATCCAAAAGCAATCAGTCATCATCTACTTACTCGGCGATTACATCGGATTCCGGTGATCGGAGATCACTCATCGCCATCTTTTTTTTTTTTTCCCTTGATCCACTACAGAAAGTCACGGCCTTTTTCTGCCGTAAGTCATCATCTCTCGTCCTATTTCTCAAAGCCGTCTGCTTTTTAACTTCCGGTAGTTTTGTAAACGATCTTTATAATCTTGAGTTACTTGCTAGGTAGAGGAATTTATATGAGAGCATGGGGAAGACGATTCGAGTGTTTGGTTTCCCGGGTGGTGTTAGCGGAGAGGAAGTTAAGAACTTTCTTGAAAGGGAAACTGGCTCAGGAACTGTTTACGCAATCAAAGTTAGGCAGCCGAAGAAAGGTGGTCCAAGAGTCTATGCTATTGTTCAGTTCACTAATGAGAGACATGCGAGATGGATCATCACGCGTGCTGAAGAAGGTCTCTATTACGGGAGATCTTATCTCAAGGCTTCTGAAGTGGAGCAAGACATTGTCCCCAAACCCAGAGCTTCATTGCACAAAATCTCTGATTTGAAGATATACTTTGGGTGTCAGGTCACACCCAAGAAGCTTTCAGTTCTCTGGAGTGCTCAAAATGTGTGTGTCTCGTTTGGAACCGGGATGCGGAAACTTCATTTCTCCATATCTTGGTACGAGAAAGATTATAGATTGGAGCTTCCGTACGAAAACATATGGCGGATCGATTTGTATTCTCCGCAAGGACGAGCTTCAAAGTTTCTTGTGATTCAGGTGATTGGTGCTCCTAAAATCTTTGAGAAAGAGGATCAACCTGTGAATCTTTTGTTTGGGATGCTGGATTTCTTCAGTGATGGGTCTGATGAGCAATGGATAAGAACTACAGATTTCACTTCTTCTTCTTGTATTGGTCAATCATCTTCCTTTTGTTTAGAGCTTCCCCGTCAGCTAAATGTTCCTGATTTCAGAGAGAATTTCGCCAACTACGCAGAGCACGAAGCCGGCACTTTTCTCATTGAATCCGGGTCTAGCTATTCATCAGATGCAACCAACCTCGTCCCTGTTGTTGACCCTCCTCCAGGGTTTGATTTGCCTTTCGAGATTTTGTTCAAAGTTAATGCCTTGGTGCAGAGCGCGTGTATCCCCGGGCCAGTTCTTGATCTCGACTTCTATCAGCTGCTTGATCCACAAAAACATGAGAGAGCTCTCATTGATCACTCTCTTGAAAAACTCTTTTATTTAAAGGAATGTTGCTATGAGCCTGCTCGTTGGCTCCGCGAAGGGTACAAAGAGTGGACCACGAAAGAAAAGCTTCCAGAGTCTCCTATGATATCTCTAGACGATGGACTTGTTTATATGCATCGCGTCCAAGTTACACCGACAAGAATCTACTTCCAAGGACCAGAGGTCAATGTTTCCAATCGTGTGCTTCGACATTATTCCAACTATATTAACAATTTCCTACGGATTTCATTTGTTGATGAAGATCTTGAAAAGATTCGTTCCATGGATCTGTCTCCACGTTCTACTACTCAGCGAAGAACTAAGCTATACGACCGGATTTACTCTGTTCTTCGAGATGGAATTGTCATCGGTGATAAGAAGTTTGAGTTTCTCGCCTTTTCTTCTAGCCAGTTGCGAGAGAACTCTGCTTGGATGTTTGCACCAATAGACGGGCTTTCAGCAGAAATTATCCGAGCTTGGATGGGTGATTTCGAGCATATAAGAAATGTAGCGAAATACGCTGCTAGGCTCGGCCAATCGTTTAGCTCGTCTAGAGAGACACTTAATGTTAGAACCGATGAGATTGAAGTGATTCCAGATGTTGAAATCACATATTTAGGGACACGCTATGTGTTTTCCGATGGTATAGGAAAAATCTCAAGTGAATTTGCTAGACGGGTGGCTAAGAAATGTGGCCTCACAGAGTTTACTCCGTCCGCTTTTCAAATCAGGTATGGTGGGTATAAAGGAGTGGTGGCTGTGGATCGAAACTCATACAAGAAACTGTCTTTGAGGAAGAGTATGAGCAAATTTGAGTCTAAAAACACGAAGCTCGATGTTTTGGCGTGGAGCAAGTACCAGCCTTGTTACCTGAACAGACAACTAATTACACTTTTGTCTACTCTCGGAGTTAAAGACTATGTCTTTGAGAAGAAACAGCGGGAAGTTGTGGATAAGCTTGACGCAATCTTAACTGATCCTCTGGAGGCTCATGAGGCTCTTGGTTTAATGGCTCCAGGGGAGAACACGAAAATTCTCAAGGAATTAATCTTGTGTGGTTATAAACCCGACGCCGAGCCTTTCCTCTCGATGATGCTTCAGAATTTCAGGGCATCTAAGTTGTTGGAGCTACGGACAAAATCACGGATTTTCATTCATGGTGGAAGATCTATGATGGGATGCCTAGATGAGACCAGAACACTGGAATACGGTCAGGTGGTCGTGCAGTTTTCACATCCCACGAGGCCGGGATGTCAATACATCACAGGACCTGTTGTTGTTGCGAAAAACCCGTGTCTCCATCCTGGGGACGTTCGTGTTCTTCAAGCTGTCTATGTCTCAGCTTTGAGTCACATGGTGGACTGTGTTATTTTCCCTCAAAAGGGCTTGAGGTAAACTCTTTCTTATCTTGATTCTGATATTTTTTTACAAACTTTCTTTGTTAAAGTCTCGGACTTTGATTGGAAGTTGGTTCTTTTTTGTTGCATAGGCCGCACCCAAATGAGTGTTCTGGGAGTGATTTAGATGGAGATATTTACTTTGTATGTTGGGATCCTGAATTGATTCCGCCAGAAACGTCTGAACCAATGGACTACACTCCTGAACCAGCTCAAATCTTGGATCACGATGTCACTATTGAGGTAAAAACTCTGGATCATGATGTCACTATTGAGTTATATTGATTTTTTTTTCACATTTAAAGACTCATTTTTTACTCGCAAAATCTGTCTATTCCAGGAAATTGAAGAGTATTTCACAAACTACATTGTCAATGATAGTTTAGGAATCATCGCAAATGCTCATACTGCTTTTGCGGATAAAGAACCATTGAAGGCATTCAGTGATCCATGCATTGAGCTTGCTCGAAAGTTCTCAATCGCAGTGGATTTCCCGAAAACCGGTGTTGCAGCCGAGATACCTCAGCATCTCTACGTGAAAGAGTATCCAGATTTCATGGAGAAACCGGATAAACCGACATATGAGTCGAAGAACGTGATCGGTAAACTTTTCAGAGAAGTAAAAGAGCGAGCTCCACCGTTGATCTCCATCAAATCATTTACACTTGATGTGGCCTCGAAGACTTATGATCAAGACATGGAAGTTTACGGATTTGAGGAATATATTGATGAAGCTTTTTACCACAAGGGAAACTATGATTACAAATTAGGTAATTTGATGGATTACTATGGGATTAAGACCGAGGCTGAGGTACTTAGTGGTGGTATCATGAGGATGTCCAAGTCCTTCACCAAGAGACGCGACGGGGAATCGATTGGAAGAGCTGTTCGGTCGCTGAGGAAAGAAGCTTTGTCGTGGTTCAATGCAGCTGAAAAAGAAGAGGACTTTGATGTATCAGCAAAGGCATCAGCTTGGTATCATGTGACGTACCACCCAAGTTACTGGGGAGTTTATAATGAGGGTTTGAATCGTGACCATTTCTTGAGCTTTGCGTGGTGCGTTTATGATAAGCTTGTGAGGATCAAGAAGGCGAATGTTGGGAGGCGTCAGCGGCAGGTGACGCTTGACCGGTTAGGCTCGGTTCTGCGTTTACGTTGATTGGTAGCCAGATTTTTTATGAGTTTTTTCTCTTTCGTTGTGTTCTATGTATAAAAATGTTTAGTTTGGAGTACGAAATCAGAATATTCTTCTACATGTGCCCAGCTCAAATTGGTTTGAACGAATTAAATCAAAACTGGTCTGAACGAATTAAATCAAATCTGAAGCTAAACTCATTCCCGTTACTCGATTTTTTTTTATCTCGAAATCAATAAATTCGGTCAATGAATATGGATTTTCTATACAACATCTATAATTTCAAGGAAAAAAAAAATTACTACAAATAATCTCTCAACATAGTGTATGTACATAAACAGTTTTCTCTGGAATGGGCCAATGCCCATCAAACACGCATACACAAGCCTCTATATATATATCTATCTACACACTACAAAATCAAGAAAACACCCTTTGAATTCGCAATTCCGGAGGAAAAGAAAAAAAAAATATATTATACTATCAAGAAGAGGGAAGAAGACGTTGGCGATGTAGCAGAGCAAACTTGACATGCAAGCAAAGTTTGCCTTTGTCCAAGTAAAGTCGAACTCCAGTGACTAACCAATGACCAGGACTATGTTGAGGCCCTCGACATAACTGCGAGAGATCGACGAATTTACCAATCTTGTTATTCGTCGGCACCGGAGGTCCTTTGGGGTAGACACCGGAGTCCAAAACGACCTCGTTTTTGTCTTTGTTGTTGACCATATTGTGATGAACACTCCCACTGGTCAACGGTAAGCTCATGGAAGAGAAGATTCCAGATTTTTGGGAAGTTCCTGGTCCATGGACCCAATCTTTCTGAACGACGTAATGATCGGAGACTCCGGTGAAACGGAGACGGAGATGAAGAACGGATTTTGAGCCGTGTTTTTTCACTTCGAGCTGTGCTCCGGTGACGATGTAAGCGACGTCGTTTTGGGAGTTTTTGCTTCTTGTTGTTGTTGTGATCCAGTTTGGGTCGTACTTCACTGGAGCTGTACACACGTGTGAGAATTTCTTGCCGTTTAAAGGTTCAAAGTAACGATTGTTGTCGGAGATTTCGTCTGAGCCTCTCCATTTATGATTGTCTGTGATCTTTTCCCCAACCGAAGTCCTTGTATTTTCTAGGTGTTGCAAGTGTATAGCCAGCCTGATGAACGACCATACATACATTATTTCATTTTACATAAAGCTAAAGAAACAAGTATGTATACATTGTTAAGCACTGATCAGATCTACTACTATTTTATTTGATGATATTTTATAGCTAATTTATTCTTTCAAGGAAATAATGTCAATTTGATATTTGCTTTGGTAGACTATACCTATTGCATTTCTTGCCTTCAAGGAACAAGCGTATTCCGGTGACTGGGTTCTTCTCGCTAGTCACCTACCCCGGAAAAAGAAAAAAGAAATATACTGCAACCATTAGTTAAACTAGAACTCCTTTTTACATGTATAATTAGTATAGTGATCTTGTTAAATACGTAAGTGAAGAATTAGAGGTGCGTTATAAATACGTACAGGAGTGGTATTAATATACAGTTTGGGACCCATGAAGTTGATGTGAAGAGCCGGATACGCCGAAGGCATATTTGGCGCCGCGCCAAATGGAAGGTCGTTATGGATCGGGGCCCACGCTCTAGGCCCAGAGAAGTCCAAAAAATACTGTAGGTCCATTATCGGCGGCTTGTCTGTTTTCAAATTACCATATTACCCCTATCAATCATATTACCGAACTAGTAACAAACAATCCCTTCAATAGTTACTTACATCTGAGGTAGAGCGACATGGCGTGAGAGAGAAGACCAGAGCCAGGGACGTCTTTAAGGAGCGATGTGATCGGGATAAAGCTGAAATTGATTGCGTCGGGCTTTTCCGGGACTGTTATCAGCCATTCGCTATGGCTTTTAGCTCTTCCCTCGCCTCCTCTTTTGGCGCATATAACCGTTATTCCCTGAAAGGTGAATTGCTTTTTCTAGTGATGAACATTGTCATTATACAAAGTGGTTATTTAGATTCTATATGAAACTTACTTACATCTTTGGAGTTTATCGAAAAATTATTGAAAGCAACCGTTTGCTTGTCATCAAAGACATTGAAAGCCTCCGGGAACTGCAATGTCAAACTCCAATAATGAATGAATGAACACAAAAGAAATGTATTTGTGCTATGTTGATTTATGTAACTTAAAAATTGGGCCGACCTTGGCCAGATAGTGTTGATTGGCCTTATTGGGCCGGCGAGAAGAGAGAAGACAAGAGCCGGTGAATAATTGGTCGCCGAGATCGTAGAGATGGTGGCGGAGGAGGTCGGTGTCGAGATCGGAAGAGTTGTCTTGTCTCACAACCACCACGTCTTGGCCTCCTACGCTCACCCCAATTATTACGTGTGTCCCATACCTCTCTATAAACCTGTCCTTTTTAAAAATTAAATTTGTAATTATTACGATAATACTGACAAATATTACGTATGACCAAGACAAATTATATAAAATCAAGTTGGTCGTTGAAGTTTACATTATTGGTTCAAAGCAAATAACATTCAGTTCTTCAGTTTATAGTTATTCAAAGTTAGTTTTTTTTTATCTTCAATCAATTAAAAAAGTATCACAAGAAAATCAAGTTCTTTCCTGATTTTTCGGTACGATCTTAGTTGGAAACGTTGACAATTTGAATTTATTATTTGAATGAAAATATTACAGAAAAACAGATATCTTCCACATTAATTGATGACATAGAATTAGTCAAAAATGTCCCAACTGTTCTATCAGAATTCAACCCAAAGAATCGGCTAATTTGGAAATTTTGATGATATGTTTATGCTCGTAATGTAATGCCACACACAAGTGATCCATCAAAATTCAGAAGAATAAAATAAAAAACAGTAACAATACCTGGCCAGTAATTGTGGGTCCCAGGACGACGGAACGGCGTTTCGAACGCGATCAGTGAGACGCAAACGATTCGGGTTGTGGATATGGAGATTAAAAAGCGTTACAATAGAAGCGTCGAGACCTAAAGATTTAACGTTTGCGGCGTCAGTTGCCCATGACCCGCTTTGAAACCCGAATGTCGCGTTGAAATTTCCCGACGGTATTTTTCCGGTCACCGAAGATCTCTGATTAAAATATTCCGACATCTGATTCCGAAACATCACACACACACACACACACACACACACACACATGTAAACATCTATGATTTTCAAAGTGTGGGTTATATCAAGGAAGAAACTATTTAAATGGAGGACCTTGTTGAAATCGAGAATGTCGGAACGGAATCGAGTGCGTTCTCCTTTGTCGCAGTTGATATCGGTGGAGACATTCTTAAAAGCTCCGAAACCAGGAACATGTAATTCTCTGTTTTGAGTTTCGTCGAGGACGACCAATCTGTCTTCTCCGGCGGCGCCGTCGCCTTCTTTGCAGTATTTTAACCGGAAGTCCGCCGTTAAATCGAAGCCTTTGCCAAGACTCTTAACCGCCGTTTCCACCACATCTCCGCCGGCGCCGCCTCTGTTCATATCTGTTTCCTCTAATATAGTAAAGCTGCGAGTCTTTGTAGGAAAGGCATATATATATAGATAGAGAAAATTAGTTAAATGTTTGATAGCTTGTAATGTTGGCTAATCAAAACTTAATTATATATTGATGTATGTATATATATAATCTTGAATAGAAGAAGAAAAAGAACGTGATCCTTTGATTAAAGTATGAAAACGACGAGTAACAGCATCGTTTACGAAGTCTTGGGAGAAACACGTAGACTGATATTGGTATACATTATACTAATTTTAATGGTAGATATTATCAGAAAAACCTGATTAGTAAAGTTATTATATTTTTCAAATTTGGTCTTATTTATTTGGTCATGATTACTAAATCATGGGAAGAAGACTTAGAAAGTCTATACTAAATTTCTAAATGAAATAGTTAATGTGGTTGATGTTGCATATCAGTATCGATGATACGATGCGGTTTTAATGACTGTTATGCATTTAAATTAAGGAACTAGCTTTTTGGAAATCATGTAGATAAACAGTTCCGGATTAAATTGTTTTATTGTTATATATCCATAAAAGAAAAAAGTAAATTTTTGACTTTTGACTGTTTAACTTGCGTCTCAAGAACAAGGAAAAGATTTAAAGAGTTTCAAAAGACCTATAACAGGTCAAACCGATATCGATTTAGCTTCAATTAGTAATAGATGTGTACATGAGCTTCACATAACCAAATAAGCTTTCTTCTCTATTTTGTTTTCCCTTTGGTTTTGTTTTATTCTGTATTTCGTTTATTCAAGCTCCATGTGTGAGATTTGACAATTCCATTTTGTAATGATAAGTGGTAAAATGTACTTAAACGCAATAATCATTTATCACAATCCTCAATATATTAAAGATAGTTCGATGGAAGTAGTCCGCACGGTCAATTAACCCGTTCCGAAATCGCAATACCAGTGTTAAAACTGAATGTAATATGAACATGACTCTACTTCAAAACTTGTTTGACTGATTTATGAATTTGGATAGCGATGTCCAACGTCCCTTTCAATGCGTAATTAAATCATCTACAGAAGAAAAACAGAGGAAGTTGCCTCTCATTCTTCTAATTCACTTATGTTTTCACACACACCATTTAGCTGATGTGACTAGTAATAAATCGCGTACACGCATAAGGATTCATATTATTATGTCGGTATAAAGACAACAACAAAAATAACCACATTGAAATTATATTATTTACCTCTACTCTATAATCATTGTATTTGGTTTGTGTATCGAGTATTTGTAGCATTTTTTTTTTTTCGAAGTGAGGATACAAACAATAAACAAACCATAATTTTTGTTTTTGGATCGAAGTGTAACCATAAATATCTGCACCCTTTATGTTTCTGTCTAATGATCCTTACTAAAAAAACCATTATTGCCTTGTAATCATATTTCCAGGATGATGTACAGTTTCATCCTCATATCGAATGGATTTGTTAAAGTCTCAAGTATAAAACGTTTTAGCTCAAAAATATACAAAAGTCATAATAAATCATTATAATTTATAATTATTGCAGTCAATTAGTATTGAATATAAGTTCGTAATTCATAAATATTCTGTTAATTAATTTCAGACTTTCGAGTAAACCTACAAAAGTACAAATATACTATTATTAGTATAGGAATCATCTAATTTACGTGTAGCGTCTGTGTGAACGCCGCTTTCGCGACGCGTCTTTCGTTGTTTGTTCATTAAGAAAATATTATCATGGAAAATGGACTTCAATTAACGGCCCAGGCCTTTATGAAATAATATGTTATTTAGATCATTTATAGAAAAAGCAAGGAAGGCCCTTTACGGCCCAATCTACATTTCCCCTCTCGCCTTCATCTAATCGACTCGACATGGTGACCGGCGAAGAGGTCGACGAGCTCGAAAGTTTCTAAATTTTAAAATTCGAGGCGGGAGATTTACGATTCAACAGATATCGGTGACTAACGTGTCTCTTTTGTTTCTGGGTTTTGGTTCTTCTGCTCTATATTTGAAATGCTGCGCCCAAAATCTTAGGTTTCTGGATTTCGTAGTCGTCATTTCTTTGAGCTTATTGATGATTCGCTCTTTTTTAGGCCAAATACTTACATTTCTCTTTCGTTTAGTGTACCTGATAGTGTTCTTGAATCAGTATTGCTGATCTAGTTTACGGCATTGCTAGTTTTTGATTAGTTATTGTAGCTCTAGGCTCGTCTTCAGTACGAATTGGTCGAATTGTGATATTGGAACTTGGAATTGAGAGTTTAAGGAGAAAAGGGTTATGGGTTTCGTGACTCTATATTTTCTTGAAAAACGCAGCTCTTGATGGATGATCATGGTGGCTCTGGAGCTTCTGATTTGAGCCTTGAGGAACTGATGAATGAATATTCATCTCGACCCCCACAAATAGCTGAATGGTTATGGTGTATGGAATATGTAGCCAAATTCGTCAAGGATATACGCTGCATACTTGGTAACTCGATCTGGAACCCAGCTTATGGTTGTTGTATATGTTGAGAGCATGTGTTTACGGGAAGTCTATCTTTGCTTCAGATTTGATGAACATGGGCTATCAATACTCAAATGACTATGGGAGGAGGATTAATGAACTCCTGTCTCTTAGAATTTTGGAGTTCATGTTTGATCCAAGCAAGAATGATGATGCTACGAGCGTTGGTGTTGCTTCTACTTCAGAGCCAAGAGTTGAGTTTGATTTATCTTTGAGCAACGCTGATGTTCTCAGAGCAATTCTGAAAGAGGTATGAGAAAAATGTAAATAACTTGACTAGAAGCAGTAGAATTAAGTTGAATGGGGTTTATAATTTTTGTCTTTTGTTCTCAAATGTTAGATTCCAGTATCAGAACTGCGAGCAGGCATGCCGGAGCTGTCCAGATTCAATGTTCTTCCATTTATTGCTCACAAGAACATGTGTTTGCCACAATGTGCACTTGAGAAGGTAAAGATTCCTCATCACTCTCTTTTCCTTTGTTTCTTGCTTTTCTTTAAAAGGATGCCCAATCATGTGACTGAAACAGCGATGCGCAATTCTTCTCTCTTTGGATTATGTAGCTGAGAGATGTGAGTTTAATGGAGAATCAGACAAGTGCAGCTCCTTCCCTGGAAGCAAATAATCCCGTTTTTAGAGATGATAGATCAGTGCATATGGATACGTCCGAGGAAGAGCCGATAGATGAGCAACAAGTGCATATTGGTTTGGAACAAAACGTAAAGGAGAATGATAAAGTCATTTTCATTAACGATGAAGATGAGCCAATGCACACTAACGAAAAAGATGAAGTAATTGTGATCGATGAAGATACAGAGAATGATCAAGACACAGCCCGTGAACCCATTAGCAAGTGTAATACTACTGGTGAGCCTCCAAGCTCAAGAAGATGGCCTGAGGATGCACATGTAAAATGTACAGAAGATGGAACCTGTATAATCAGTGGGAGCGATGATGATGAGTTAGATATGGTTATAGGTCCAGCCTTGGCCAAGAAGAATACAAACACTTACACAAACGTTCTTCCTTCGAGCTCACGAACAAGACCCGAGAATGTATGCTGGAAATGTGGAAAAGAAGGAACACTATTGATATGTAGCAGAAGCGAGTGTGTATCAAAGGTTCACAAGGAATGCTTGAATTGTGCGGTTAGCGTAGATGAAGAAGGGAACTTTCACTGTCCTGTGTGCTGGTATGATCGAGTCGTTGCAGAGTACTTAGACTGTCAGAAGTTGATGAGGTCTGCCAAGAGAAAACTGATGAAGTTTATGCCGCTGCTTTCAACAAGAAGCAAGAGACTCAGGTGGTGAAATTTTCTGCTGCGCCGTCACGCTGTAATAAATTATATCTCATCTTGTCTTTTTTGGGGTAATTCAGGTAATCAATGTTAGATATGGAATTATAGAACGCAGTGATTAAGTATGTGTAAAGAATTGGAGATGCGAGGGGTAATGTATAAAAACTGAAGGGTGTCATTCGTTATTATTCTAAACTAGCGGGCAAAGACCCAAAAAACTTCCACGCCACAAAATAATGAAACATATAGAGTTCGACTTGGGACGGTGACAAGGAGAAATTGTCCCAAACGTTGACTGAAGTTTTTTTTTTTTGTTTTCTCAATTAAAAAAGAATCAAACGCATTAGTTGTCGCCTTGTCGGTAATTGGAGTTAACACTTGAGTTCAACCCAAATAAAGTTAATCAACTTGAAAGTTGAACCGCAGTTTAAAATACTTAGAGATTTTTGACATCTAAAATGGAAAACGAAAAAAAGACATACACGAGTTGATTAACAATTTGCATTTGATTAACAATTGAACCCACACCAAATTTAAAATAATATAATACTAGTTTGTATCATTTTCAGTTTAATAATTTGTGTTGTTATTCTATGGCCAATGAAAAAAATCAACAACCCTTTTAATAATTTTTTTTTGAGGTCAAAGGTTGAAGCATTTTGCATTTTGCATGGAGAGAATTGGAGATTGTGATTGCCTACATCAAGAAACGATTTTCTCCAAAAATAATAATAATCATAAATGAATTAACGCTCCTGAAAAAGAAAAACGAAAAGAAGACGCGCTCTTAACAATTTTGTTTTCGATCAAAACGCGCTCTTTAACAAAAGTTGAAAATATATTAATGAAGTAAGATTGTAAATTTTAGTTGTCGGCTTAATTTGTTTTTTTGTCACAGTTTTCAGATTAATCAAGAGAGCAATAAATGAGGTAACGTAAGATTGTATGGATGTGGCACTTGTGGGAGATGAGGAAAAGTAGGAAAAAGAGGGTAATTTCCCTTATTTCTTTCGTTTAGGTTAACTCGAAAAATGCATAGTTCAAATTATTTATTTTTATCTTTTAGAAAAGAAGAAAGTGGATAGTACGAAAGGTCGTTATCCAGAGATCAATAATAGGGTTTGGGGCTCCAAAACTGGCAAATCCATAACTCATCAAAAATGGAACTGTCCCATTGATGCAACAGTTCTATTCCTATTTATGATCTTCTCACTGTTCACTCTTCTGATTCTCTCTTTTTTTTTTCAGCTTCGTTGCTCACTCTCCTCCAAAATTGAAGATTACACAAATGTATAACATCTTATTAGTATGTAATTAAGAACAACCCCTCTAGTTCACCCAATCAAATCACTTTTAGATCATCGGATTACTAGATGGAGACAACTTAACCATTATTTGTTTATTATGTAACTCTGTATTATCACTTCTATCATTAGTTTGAATCATTTTCTATTTTATGTAGTATACAAAAAATTACCAATGTATATGTCCGTGTAAACTATTGTAAATTTCAGATTATTATGTAGTAGTTGTAACTTGTAAGTGTCCATAGTTGTGTTTTTTCATGTTTATCACATAAACTTAACTATAGCAAACAGTAATTGACTAAAAAATAGCGATTGGCTTGAAGATTTACCAAGCTATATATAGATAAATTATGTTAAACTTTTTTTAAAAAAATTCCTGTTCTCTATATTGAATTTGCAATCAACCGAACTCATTAGCATGGCAATTTGAAATATTAAAGAGAAAAAAAACGATGGAAACAAAAAAGGTAAAAATGGAAGCAATGAAACTTGTGCATAATTCTATTTATCGACAGTCTGACTCAAAGTGCTTTCGTAAGCAATAACAAAATGCTTCACCCTTTTCTTCATAATCTTCTCTGCTTCCACTGTTCCTCCACTCCTCTCTTATTTTCTTTCTCTTCCTTTATCTCCTTAATTAATTACTTACTCTGTACCACATTTATTATATGATTGTTTACATATTAAAGTAACAGCTAATTGTTCAGTAATTTATCTTTTAATAGATAATAATCACATGTTTTGGTTTATATTTATCTGAATACTAATAACAGCTTAATAATCTGATATGTGACAGGTCGACCATAGTGTGACCAACTAATGTTAACATATGATTCATATACGCATGTACAATAAATATATGTAACAGTAACAGGAGTTGCAAAGACTGACAAAAAGACCAAAAAGTAATCTTAAAACCCTAGATTCACACTTGGATTACATGTCTCTATACTCTCTAGACTATATATTTCTATATAACGAGACATGTTATATAGATTATTAATTTAATATATATATATATATGTACTTGTAGAGCTTGTGTGATAGACTAGTGAAATATGGAGGTGAAGAAAGATGAGAACAGTTTAATAGAAAGCATGAATCAGGAGGTTAATCAGAATATAAAAGAAGAAGAAGAAGAAGAGGAAGAGATTCTCAAGAAGAGAATCTCAAGCCACCCTTTGTATGGGCTTCTGCTTCGCTCACATCTCAGTTGTCTAAAGGTCCTCTCTCTCTCTCTCTCTCTCTCTCTCTCTCTCTCTCTCTCTCTCTCTCTCTCTCTCTCTCTCTCTCTCTCTCTTTCTCTCTCTCTCTCTCTCTCTCTCTCTCACATTAAAATGATTTAATTGTTGTATATACTTTAACTAATCTCTTATACTGTATATGTATTTAAACACCCCACCACGACTAGGTGTGTTCCGGCGACTTTGACTCACCGGAGATTCTGAACACGGCAGATGATCCTCATGATGCCCTAGCCAAACTCTCTCTCCACTCTGATCCTTCCACGGAAGCTACCTCTACAGAACTTGATCAATTCATGGTTCTTCTTTCTCCTTTTTTATTTCTCTTTTTTCAACGAAAAGAAATTTGTAATTTCCGTCAAATTTTATTTCACGACAGCGGGCAACATTTTCACATGTCTTTTTTTATCATTTTTTGCATATTTCCTAAGTTTTCGCCTATTTGAGTTAAAAATAAAAATATTAATACGTATAAATTTATTAACATATAGGAAGCGTATTGCTCGAGCCTACGGGAGCTGAAGGAAGCCTTGGAGAAGCCTCTCATCGAAACGCAACGTTTCGTGGATGCGGTGTACGCTCAGATAAACGACATCGTTCTGTCGTCACCCCCTTAAAAAAGGCGAAACATGACAATTGTTCGGTCATCGGTGTTATCATGTTACCACATTTGGCTAAATTACTTATGTACTCGCGTTTCATTGTGCTGGGTTATTGGAACGCTTTTGTAGAATCGTTTTAATGGTAATCACAATTAAAAAATTACTAGCATGCTCTCCTGCTTTCTAATGTTTAAACTTGTTGTGTATTTTTTTTTTAAAAAACTAATCACACTTTATATAACAAAATTAAAGATTATAATTAAAACAAACCTTTCACGATTCTTCTTTTACATTTCTTTTGAGAATCAGATTACCATTTAGAACGCGTTTATACATCTATTTTATTAAAACAGAAACAAATTTAGTGCTTGCATTCAAACACTTCCAAAGTTTTTTTTATAATATTTTATTTTATTTTTATTTTTAATTTCCGAAAATTAATTATTAATTTAGATATTTTTAGATTTCCTAAAATCTAGGTCATCTTTAATTTAAATTTCAAATTATTAGAAATTTAATTAAATTTAGTTACAAAATTTGTATTCAATTTAACTTAAATTCAAAAAATTAAAAAAAGTTATAATTAAATTTGATTACGAAAATTTAGATAATAATTTTAATAATTTTAATACTTTAAAATTTCTTAAATACAGAAAAGATTTAATTTAAAATTTTAAATTTAAATAATATTTTTATAAAAATGCATAGTAAATAAATATTCTATCGTATTTTATCATAAACAATCGGTCTAAAATATCAAATATTTGAGATTAATAAATATTTATATTATACAATAATATGATCGAACTGATTAGAGTTATATATATATATATATAAGGTCCATGAGTTAATTTATTAAAACATGTAAGATATTAAGATGATTTGAGACAATTAAACTAACAGGTTAGCCCGTTTATATATATATACATTTTTTTTAATAGCACAAATAGTAAATAAATATCTTATTATATTTTTTCATAATCAATTGGTCCAAATATTCCATATTAGTAAATATTTATAGGGTTATACAATTATAAATTATAGTCTTATACGGGTTAGTTTGTCAAAACATGTAAGATATTAAAAGTGATTTAAGACAACTAAATGGATGTATTAGCAAATTCATAGATAGATAGATTGTTTATGTGTAAATCTAAATTCACATAATAACAAAGTTTATAATTAACATTAGATCAATGTATACTTAATTAATGTATACTCTTATTCTACTAATATACAAAATTTACTGTTTAAAATTAAAATATGATAATAATTTTTTGATTTAAAAAAATAAATAACAAAAATAATTTATATCTAAACAAAAAATATAAATATAACTTATATTAGAAATAAAAAATAAAACATTCCCATGTGAACGCACGGTGTTAAAATCTAGTTGCATTCTTAAAACAAAGTAACGGTCGTTAAATGACTTATTCTTGGGTTCATAATAAATACACACAAATTGCCATATTAATAAACCAAAATACCTTTTGCATCATCATTAACAGTCTGTAAGACGACAGACGCATGCAGCGTTAGAGGATCCAGGTTGATCACAGTAAGCAGAAACAGGTGGACCGTAATATTCAAAACACATTGTCTCGCATTTTTTAGCATCGCATGGAACCATTGGCCAGAATATGGGACAAAATTTTTTCTCCTGATTCTTTCTCATCTCTCTCGCACCTCAAACAAAACAAAAATAATAGAAGAAAAATCACAATTTGTAACATACATGTAGAACTAAAAGTAATATATTATTCTTTTGAGATTTTTTTTTTGTACCTGAAACAATGAAGATGGCCATGAAAAGAACAACGAAAATCGGGAGGTTCCTCATGATTCTGCAGTTTTGTTGTATAAACTCAATCGTTATTAGGACCTTTTATAGATGAAAATGATATTCAGGAAAAGACAGGATTATAGAGATAGGCTTGATTTTAGATAGATGATAAGCTTTTCTGTTAATTAGAGAGTTGTTTATTTCGGTAAATTATCAATTCTCTGGTCAATGGGATATTAGGATTTAAGATAGGCTGGATTTTTGACCTGATTAAATCAATCTCCTATATCTGTATAATACTACTATATTTAGGTTATTTTTTGATATCGAAGTAATTATGAACTTACCAAGGTTAGAAGGCAATAGATATTTTGTACTCAATTTTGGTTGATATGTTGAAGTGTTGACCTGTAATCCGAGTGAAATCGGATTTAGATCCGACTAAATCATTAACAAAAAAATAAAGAAGTCGGATTTTGATTTTAAACTTTGGATCGGATTCAACGGTGAACTGGCTTAAGGAGAAACACATTTTCGCCATTTTCTGAATCATTTTGGGCTTCGTAGAGAACTGAAGGAAATATTTATACAGTGGTGTGATATATGCTGTATCATGGGCTTTTTTTTGTCTATATGGGCTTCTCTAAATATAAATGGGAACTTAATTCCTTTTTGGCCCGAGTTGAATCAATTAAATTGTAATCACCAAACAGTGGAAATATACCAGTAAAAACATATGGAGAAAAAGTAAATTTACAGGGGCAATATAGAATTAGCTTGATAACGCGACGACGCGACGTAACAAACTCATGTACGTATGAAGTTTACGACCAATGATTAGTTTTTTAGCTTACTTAAAAAAAACTTATTCTTTAGTTTACATCCCAACAATATGACATCCAAAACTTAAAATGTAAATTCCTACTTCTATAAAAGAAATTTCAGTGATTGTGACATTCTTCATTAATAGAAAAAAAAATTAAAAGAAATTTTTTCAATCAGTTGAAGTAATTATCAAACCGCATGTTTTTAGCTAAATTGTTATTCTAAATGTGACGAAAAAGGACCCAACATGCATAAATTCAAACGCAAACGCTGATTTAGATTGCCAAACGAGACTAACGTCTAAAGGTTGTGATTCGCGACTACTAACTAGATGACAGTGACGTTCACGTGGACCAGCCCGCAGGGTATAAGAACCTCTCTCACTCTCCACCATCTCCACTCGTCGCTATAAACTTCCATAACTGCATCCCACTCTATATTCTCTAACCAACCAACCTAAACGAACTTCCATTTTCGTATTCGAAATTTGAATTTGAAATTTTCTTCGGAGAAGTTTCGTGTCAAAAATGAAGGAGATCGCGTCGATGATTTCAAAGCGTAAGGCAGAGGCGACGCCGTTCGCCGGGAAGAAGCTCCGGTCGATGCGTTTACGCCGGAAGAGAGCTCAGATCTCTCCAGTTGCTGCTTCTGTCGATTCCTGCTCCAATCTGGTTTTCCCAGCCGATGACAATGTTTCCTGCGGTTCGAGCAGAGTCGAGAAGAGCTCAAAGCCGAGGAAGAATCGAATCGAAGAGGTAGAAGTTTCTGGACCTGTTAAAGATGTGAAGCAAACGATTGTTGATCCGAAATTTCGGAGGATTACGAGGTCATACTCCAAGCTAAACCAGGAGAGGGAGGGAGAGAGGATCGAAGTAAGCGAATCGTCCTTCACACGATCCGACGTGACCTTCGCCGAACATGTCTACGACAGCCGGAATTTGAATTTTGCATCGGAGAATAAGGAGAGCGACGTCGTTTCAGTAATTTCGGGGGTGGAGTGTAGCTCGAAGTTCGGGAGCGTAACTGGAGGAGCTGACAACGACGAAATTGAAATCTCCAAACCGAGTAGCTTCGTGGAAGCTGATTTATATCTGGGATCCGCCATTGAACTGAAGCCGGAGCTTAAGACAGTCGGCTGCGTCTCCGATCTCGCTTGCACAGAGAAATTCTCGGACGAAGAGGTTTCGGACTATCACGATGATGAGTTATCGGAGCAGCTTTCCGAGATGTTTTCTCAGTCTTCCGACCTCGATTTCTCGGATTACACTCCGTCTATATTTTTCGATTCTGGCAGCGAATTCTCTGAGAAATCTAGCGCTGATTCTCCTACTTCACATACTCGCTCTCTGTTCCTCGAGTACAAGGAAGAGTTCTGTAGATCCACAATTCCGAACGATTTGGAATCTTCTTGCCAGGAACAAAACCGTGAAATTCAATCTGAAGTAAGTTCATAATGCTTTCATATCTCTTGGAATAACTACTAGTGGCTAGAGATTGAAGGTGTGGTTATAAGCTTGAAATTTCGTTCGATTGCTTAGTTTCTGAGACTTGTTCTGCTATGTCTTTAGATTTGACTCTGAAATTCTGTTCTGGAATGAATCTTAATGATACATTTTCGTTTAGCTGCTAAGGTTTGAAGATGTGGAGGTGGAAGAGAGCTATCAAAGGCTGAGGGAGAGAGAGAGAAGTCATGCATATTTGCGGGACTGTGCTAAGGCTTACTGCTCCAGGATGGACCATACTGATTTCATCCCTCGTCTACGCTTGATCATGGTTCAATGGATTGTGGAGGTGAACATATTCATTCTGCTCTTAAATGCATTATATATCCAGTGATCTCTGAATGTCGAAGCTCGTAAATGTATCAGTAGTAGGAGAAGATTCGGAAGGAAAATGCTATCTCTAGATCCATTTATGTTAGTTACTGAGGTTAGGAACGAATATTTGGAGATCTTCTTCCTGGCTTGTAAGGTGTTTTTGAGCCTAAGGAAATCGTACAAGGTTTATGTGTATGTCAGCCAGCTCTGGTATTCTTTGGTCACTGATTGTCTTCTCCCTGACTACGCAGCAATGTACTGAAATGGAGCTTCAGCAGGAGACCTTGTTTCTGGGAGTTAGTCTGCTGGATCGGTTCCTGAGCAAAGGATCCTTCAACAGCGAGAGGACTCTAGTTCTAGTGGGGATTGCGAGTCTTACTCTGGCCACCAGAATTGAAGAAAATCAACCTTACAATAGGTACCAACCATTTATTCTGCCTTCTAGTGTTCATTAGATAACTGTTCTGAATAGGAAATAGATGAGGACCATTCAAGCAACTGAGTATTACACTGAACCAAATCAGGGACAAATAATAGTTCAATACAAATCCTATATGGTTTCTATATATATACAAATCCTATATAGTCATGTGTGTCAGATATTGAATCCTGTTTCTCAAAAGCTCTTTACTACAAAAACCTTCTACACACATACAGCAATATTGCAATTTTCCTCAGCTACTCACCTGATACTTCCTCCATTTAATTAGCATCCGGAAAAGGAATTTCTACATCCAGAACCTAAAATACAGCCGGCATGAAGTTGTGGCAATGGAGTGGCTGGTACAAGAAGTCCTCAACTTCAAATGCTTCTCACCCACAATTTTTAACTTCTTATGGTACAGACCTCTCTTACTGTATATTTTCTGTTCCAAGACACATATAGAGACTGAAAGATACATATAACTATCATTTATACATCTCAGGTTTTACCTAAAAGCTGCTCGAGCCAATCCAGAAGTTGAAAGGAAAGCTAAATCCTTGGCCGTGACCTCACTATCCGATCACACTCAACTCTGTTTTTGGCCCTCAACTGTAGCAGCAGGACTCGTAGTTCTCGCCTGCATCGAACACAACAAAATCTCAGCCTATCAACGAGTCATAAAGGTACCAATCTCTTCAACATTACTTTAACAGTTTTTTTAGTTCAAAAACAGTCAGAATATTCACAATCCCAAAACTTATCTCTCTCTACAGGTTCATGTTAGAACAAACGATAACGACTTGCCTGAATGCGTCAAGGTATTTTCAACATCACTCTCATAATATTCACATCTTCTTTTCTCCACCAAAATGGTTAGTTACTCTTTTGAAATTTGTGTTGCTATGTACAGAGCCTGGAATGGTTGCTTGAGCAGTAAGCAAACCACAACAACAAATATCCCAAAACCAGAACACAGTATACTCCAATACGAATACACAGGTTAATATTACCATTTACAAATCAAACATAACGACTACCTCTACAGATTTATACTATTCTTAATATCCGGACTTGATTAGCTCTTGGCAAACTATACCAATTATTAGGACACCATTTGTGTCGCCACACACATTTATTGCTTGTTTTCAATACTATTTTATTATACTCCCATTTTCTTAAAAATATTTTTCTTGTTCAATATTTCCTCTTTACACGTCTTAAAGATTTCTCTTTTTTTTTTTTTTTCTTTCTAATCGTTACCGTTTTTTATTATTATTATTGGGAAGATAACGTTTATGTTTCTCTAGAATAAATGAGCTTAGAAGTTAGAACGAAAAGATAAATAGCCGAATTTAATGAGAAATTTAAACATAATGATATTTTATTCATGCACTTAATAGAAAACATAATCATCTCCCATGATCTCTTGTTTAAATCCAAAGCCCATATTTTGATGAGTGAATTGTTTGAAAAATGGTTAAGAACACGCATAAGCATACTTAATTTAAAGTAATTTGGGGATTCAGAAGTAGTAAAATACCGTCAGGGGTACAAGTGGTGGCAGGATTAAAAAGGCTAATACGAGCAATGGTGTAGAGACAAAACTAGCTAGCCATCACCAGACTATGTTCGGGTCGCCATGACCTGGCCTGAATTGCTAATCACAAAAGCAACATCAACCGCATCCATGTTAAAGTTTTAGTTCTATAAATGGTTAGGTTTTTATACTGACGCCAATTATAAGCCTAATGTGAATCACACGTGTACAGTTATTTCGTTAGATAGCACATGTGCACATCTTCTTAATTAAGAGCAATTTTAATTATGTTTGTTTACTTGTATATGATGATATCTATAAAAGAAAAACAAAAGACCCTAATTAAGGCCGGTTGTAAGGATGGAGAGAGAGAAAAGATGTGGAAACGTTCCGCAAGAGATTTGTGACAAGATTTTGATGAAGCTTCCGGTGAAATCTCTTGTGAGATTCAAAGCCGTATCGAGAGGATGGAGAGGAACGATAGAATCAAAGTATTTCATAGAGAAACACATTCGGTATCAGAAATCTCTACAAGGACGGCAAGTGAGAATCGTCGTATTATCAGAAGAAAAAAGATACAATGGTCTCGCTCTAGAAAATATGTTGGTTTCTGCCTATGGAATCGTACCTGTTTCTCCATATCTACCCATTAGGGCTTTTAACCGGTTTGATGGTTACAAAATCTCTGAGCCTTGCGACGGTTTGTTTTGTATCTATACCTTTAGTCGTAAAGTTAACCTTGTCAATCCTGCCACCACTAGTCGCCGCAGAGTCCCTGATCCCATCTCTCCTATCTCTTACGGTACTAAAGAGTTCCCAAATATAATTACTTCCTAATTATTTTTTGTTTTCATATAATTAACTTGTTTATAAGTTTGTTTTTTGTAACAGTTGGGTACACGCATATGTTTTTTGCTAGGGATCGGAAGAGAAAATAGTGTGAGTCCAAGGTATAAGCTAGTGTGGTTTTTCGAGTGTGATAACGAATGGGTGAATAAATCTACTAGGTGCATGGTTTTTGCTCTTGACTCTAACACTTGGAGATACGTAGATCCGCCTCCTTGTCGAGTTCAATATGACCATCCTCTAATACACTTGGATGGAGTTATGTATTGCTTCACTCACTACATGGAAAAGCATAGTCACTTTGAAAAGGATCTCAAGCTACTAGCTTTTGATATTCACACAGAGACGTTTCAGAGCTTTTTACTTACTCCCGATATCAGGTGTAGCTCCTGCCGTGAATTACGAATGTGTGTTCTTAACCATCGTATATGCATCTTCAAGAGATCTGTTGATGACAACGACCTATTTTTCAAGATCTGGGGTCTAGACATAAATGAGAGATCATGGGAAACGATGTATTCCATAGATTTGTCTTGTTTTCCTCCAGAATTCAAAGACTGGGGTATCGTCTCGATGGCAACGATCAACAATTATATCATCATTTCAAATGGTCGTCGTACCATATGGGTCCTCTACAGTTCCAAAAACTGTATTTTGTATCGCACATCTTTTTCTTTTAACTGCGTTATGTCTTATTTTGAGACTCTAGTCTCTGCTTACCAATAATTATTTTACTGTATTTTTGTGTAGAATTTGTATTTTCTTTAAACAACCTCTCCGTAATTAAGTAATATCCAAACACAGGCAACACCTGTAGAGTTTCTTGATGAAGATATTGTGCAGCTCACGTCCTGATATTATATAAAACGGGTATCATTTAAACTAAGCCATTGTTTAATTATTCTTAAATTTTGATTAAGTTATCTTCTTAACTAAATCAATCAAAATTGCATCAAAACCGAACAAAAACTAAGTCAAAGTATTTCATTTCACTTTCTAGGAATATGTCATATTACATACAAACGTAATGATAGCATATTATGGAGTCTATATAATCTCAATATGTATGTTCTCAATATGGTATATGATAGAGCCTTATATCATAATGTTAAAGAATATATGTGGAATATTATGTCTCGTGGTATAGAATATGTGGATCGAAACACTATCCCAATGCAGCGTAGTGCCTCCTCCGGAATCTGCTTTCCGCAAGGGAGATATGTCACACTCTTGAACTACAGAAAAAATTGACATTCATAATAAGAATTTTCTTTTCATATGTTAAAAGTTTATTAGGAACATAGAAGTCTAACTTGGAAAAAAATGAGTTAGTCTAAATTATTTGAGATTTGATAAATGGGAAACCAAGATAATGCATAAATCTCAAAATTCATTTGGTTCCCAACTTCCACATCCAAAGCTCGAGAGCATATGTATAAAAGTTTTCACAAACTCCAAATATATATCTCAAATCAAATCTATTAATTTTTTCTCAGTTAACTCACCATAGCATGTGGTAAAATGTACAAAAAATGCTCAAAACTATCATTCAACGTTGATAATGTAAACAACAATTCAGTCTCAGAAACATTGAAGACGTTGCCAAATAATTAATCACGATGTGGAAACTACATACTTTACGCTATACTTTTCGCTTTAGTGATTCCATATTCAATTGTCTTACTACAATGAAATCACTATGACTATTTAATTTTTGTTAGCTATTTCTCATCGATATGCGCTTTGTCCATTTTTGATCCTATACCAAAAAATAAAACTTAGCATTTACCATATTATAATCATCTACTAGAAATATTTGTTGATTTTATTTTAATTACCATTCAAACATTTTCAACAATGTTGGTCATTTGCTTTGAAAATGGGCCTTCGCTTAAGAGAAAAATGTCAGGGCCGAATCTTAACTGGAATTCCAATGCATGTACTGATCCAAATTAAAAATCTACGGCCATCAATTGAGTTTGTGCATATATACACAATGATTATACTGAGACCTGCAATGCATATCCTATAGTATGACAAGTAAGTGCTTACTCAACAAATGTAAAGAATATGACAGGTTGGGCGTCAATAATACTAAACGAGTTGACTTTTTATTTTTTTAAATAGTAGATTCGGGCTTGGTCCACTATCTCTTTTATATTCTTGAGACGCAAATCACCTCATAGTATTCTATTAAAACAATCTCTTTTTTTTTTTTTGAGAAAATATTAAAACAATCTCTTGATCAGTTAAGTCGTTCAATTTAGCTTTTCTTTCTATATTTATGTCGATAACGGTTTCGTATTCATCTTTTCTAAGTTCTATATATTTGCACTGTTTTAAATGGTTAGTGAAAAGGATTAGTAGTATTTTTAAAAAACTTTTGTTTTTACAGCCTTTAAACTTGGTTAATTTAATGAATCGATTTGAGTGTTTGTTTCATTTTCGTTGGTCTTGAATACAAAGACGGCTTTATAATAAATAGGCGTTATTTGTTAAAAAAATCACTCTACTCGGAAGGGGAAAAAAGGACCATAACTATGAAACTCGAGGGTTGAGACGAATAAATAAGATGGACAAATTTCATCTGATCGTGTGATAGATACAACATACACCTACTTTTATTCACCACTTTTGATTCTATCATCTCCATTGTATCGGCGGATTAAAAGCCCTCTATAGCTATGATTGAGTAATGGAAGATTAATTATTTGAGAGGAAAAAAGAGATAAAACAGTTCAGAAACCAAAAAAAAAATAAAAGAACTGTTTAACTTTATCGATCTCGTGTCGTGTGAACACTTTGAACCCACCAAAAAAAAAACAGCGTTAACTTATTGAGATGGTTGAACTTAATGACAAAAATACCCCCGATTCTCTCATGTTATTTCAGCATTTGCCATTGCGTCGACCAAACTTTTCCCACCTTTTTACCGTTTCTCCGCTTCGTAAATGTCACTCTCTCTCTCTCTCTCCATCCTTTCTCTCTCTGATTCTCTCTCCAACGCCATGATCGGAGAGAAAGATCTCGCCGGAGATGGTGAGTGCTCTCGAACCAAAACATCAAAGCCTCGATTCTCTCATCTAAACAACGAAAACAATCAAGATGAGAAAATCGGGAGTTTTCAGAAAGGCGTCGATTTCCTCAGCGTTCGGTCCAGTAACATCGATGGGTTCTCTTCGAAATCATCACCCAGATCAGGTAACGAGCTCACTCTCAGCTATCTCTGTGAAAACCGCGAGCTCCCCGGAAAAATCGCTGAAAGTCTTGGTCAAAAGGGGAAAGAGGTGGTAACGTTCTCGGAGAATTCAAGCTACGACGAGAAATGGATCGAGAGAGATTTCTTCAATTTGAGAGAAATTGCTCCGAATTCTTCCAAGCGAAAGGCTCAGGAAGACGAAGAAGAGGAAGAAGATGTTGCTCACGAAGAGAAGAAGAGCAACAAGATCGAAACCCTAAATCTCTCTCTAGCTCTCCCGGACGTTTCCCTCTCTCTTACGGCGTCAAACGCCGTCAAGAGGCCGAGAGTGGCGACGAACAGCGAACGAACAACGACTTCTTTCTCTAACGATTTCACGGCGACGGCGCCGTCAATGTCCTACTCCTACTCTCACCCTTTCTCTCACAACATCAGCTGCTCGATGACTCGAAACTCCACGGACTTCGATTGCTCCGTCGGGAAAGACGACCATATCTGGTGCGCCGGCGAAGGAACCAACGGATCTGTTCACAGCCGATTCAGACCCATCGGCGACGGCGTTGCGCTCGCGGGAAATCCCATCTCCGGTAAGCCCTCTAGCTCCTCCGATTACTCCTTCTTCCCTTCCGAGCTACCAGCTCGGCCGGGGATGGAACTCGCGATCTCCGGCGACTCGAGGAAGAAATTACCCAATTCGGAAGAAAGCGATGCGGCCAGATCGGAGAGGGTTCTATACGACATCGTTTCGAAATCGATTTCTTCTGTGGCGTTGATCATTCAAGGCATGGCTGATGAAACCCTTGAATCAGCTAAAGAGTACTTGAGGAACTTGATCGATTCGCCGGAGAAGAAGGAGAAGCTGACGAATCTTCAGAGCCAGATTGACAAAAGATCTGATCTTTGCAAAGAGACGTTATCGAAATGCGTCAAGGATCAGCTAGACATCCTAGTAGCTGTGAGAACAGGGCTTAAGTATTTCCTCTCTGGTAAAATCCGAATCCCCATGAACGAATTGGTAGAGATCTTTCTGTTCTTGAGATGTAGGAACGTGAACTGTAAGAGTCTCTTGCCTGTTGATGACTGCGAATGCAAGATCTGTGCCAACAACAAAGGCTTTTGTAGCTCTTGTATGTGTCCGGTGTGTCTGAGATTCGATTCAGCTAGCAACACTTGTAGTTGGGTTGGATGTGATGTCTGTTCGCATTGGTGTCACGCTGCGTGTGGGATTCAGAAGAATCTGATCAAACCTGGACATAGCTTGAAAGGTCCTCGAGGTACGACCGAAATGCTGTTCCATTGCATTGGCTGCGCTCACAAATCAGAGATGTTTGGATTCGTGAAAGATGTTTTCGTGTGTTGCGCCAAGAATTGGGGGCTTGAGACTCTAATCAAGGAGCTCGATTGCGTTAGAAAGGTTTTCCGAGGAAGCGATGATGCGAAAGGCAAAGCATTGCATCTCAAAGCCAATGAGATGGTAAAGAAGCTAGAGAGTAAACAGATTTCCCCGATCGATGCATCAAACTTCATCATTCAGTTCTTCAACTGTAAGCTCCCAACTCATGGTTTAGATCAAAGATTAGGACGTTATGGATTCTATAAGATTTGAAGTTTAATTCTTTTCTCCTCTTTACACAATTTCTTGCAGATGCAGAGTCGGTATCAGAATTTCCCGAACCGAAAGAGCAAGCAGTTGCAGCAGAGACGAGCTACAGGAAAGACGAGGCATCTGTGACGCCTTCAACGTCCAAGGATCAAAAGAAGAAGAGCTTTGCGCTAACCGATGCAATGATGAACAGTTTTGATAGTTTAGAGAGCATGGTGAGAATAAAGGAGGCGGAAACAAGAATGTTCCAGAAGAAAGCGGACGAGGCCAGAATAGAGGCAGAGAGTTTCAAGAGAATGATAGAAATGAAGACGGAGAAGATGGAGGAGGAGTACACAGAGAAGCTAGCGCGGCTGTGTCTGCAGGAGACAGAAGAGAGGAGGAGGAATAAGCTGGAGGAGTTGAAGAAGCTTGAGAACTCGCACTGCGATTACAGGAACATGAAGTTGAGAATGGAGGCTGAGATTGCAGGATTGTTGAAGAGAATGGAAGTTACAAGACAACAATTGGTATGAAGGAATCATGAAAACAGAGCCTTTCAATTATCCATTTCTCCGCCCGCTTCTTGATGTTTTTTTTTTTTGTGGGAAATATCAAACTAGTGAAAAGTGTTTTATTTGGTTCTCTGGATATTTGCCTTCTGTATGTTAATTGTTTTTTTTCTTATCTATAACTTCGGTTTTTGGCTTCTATTTATATAACTAGACATATTTTCTCTGTTTATATAATACACTTTGTAGAAAGTAAATCATATGTATCACCGTATATTTTGGTTCTAAAGATTTATCATAAAAAGAATATGAAAATGAGAAGACAACAAGTAGAGCATAGAAATTGTCTGACCAACATTTTTTTATAAAGAGAATTCTACCTTTTAGTTAAATCAGCCGAACTCTTTGTCATTAGGTCAGTGTTGCAGAGAATTTACTTTCACCCAAAACTTAATAGTTTCAGATAACTTATTACATATAAATGTAAAAATGGCTTATTAAATAATTACTACTTAAGACTCTCTTTTGGTTACTTAATACTTACTACCACTTCAGACATTTAAAAGATATTCTTTTGAGAATGAGTATAATAAACCAACTGAAACAAGTGAATGGTAGTGGCATGGAATTCTCTGGACCGTTGAAATTGCTTTCTGACGTGGGAATTTACCACTATAATTAAAATATGCAAATAATATAGCTTTCAGTACGCATCAAAGATCAAAGACCGATAAAGAAAAATGTTTCCAAAGTAAATTTGGATCAAATATTAAATAATCACTCTAAGGACCCAATTAGATGCCACACCAATCACACTGACACACCAAGACAAACAAACAAACAAACAAGGAATTCACTGAAATTATAAAATAAGGATTAACAAAAAAAAAATTATACAAATAAAAAGATTCATTTAACGATGTGTCTAACATAGGAATTCATCAAGTATAACGGCCAACAGCGACGGAGAAGTCAACGGAAACACCGAAGAGTAGAATGGCTAAGCCGGTGAAGTTAATGAGACGTGACTCAGCGTTTGTGCTCTGACCAAGCATCGTGGCTCTTTGCATGAGTCCGGTAAGTGCAGCGACAATACCCATATAAAGTAGAGCCCGGCCTCCTAAGACGTGCCACGGCATCATCTTCCTTCTTGTCCCCGATGAAGATTGTGGCGCAAGAAATGTGAAGGCACCGAGTAGCCACTGTCAAAATTACATGACGACCACCAAAACATCTCAACAAATTAATTACGGTTTAATTAACGTTAAGATTAATATTTAGAAATATTAAACTAACCTGGAGGCAGAGAAGGATGAAAGTGGTGAGACCGATCCAGGAGTGAAGAGAAACCATGTCTTTAAGGTTTAATTTGTCGTGGAACTTAAAGGCGGCGCAGATTCCGACAATACCTAGAACTAAGCCTATTAAGTGAAGCCCACCATGAACCATTTTCTGCACTTGGTGCGACGCATACGCCGTTTTGTACGTCATCATCGCTGCACAATCATTGTCAATCATTTATTTTTGAAATTCATGCAAAATCACGAATGAAACTTCCCTTTTTTGGGCAGATTTCACACGTGTACCGTTTAATTTTTCTATGGATGGACGAAAGCTAACAAAGTTGAACGGTTTATACAGTTCGGTTGCAAATTTTGCTCAAACTTTATTATATAACCGATTACTTAATTCGGTGGCCAATTTTAAGTTTTGACTAAATTAACTTGTTATATACTCAAATCATCCGTAGGCGAAATAATTGTTTGAATTTGCCAAAAAAAAAAAAACATGAATCATTAGTATTTTTGTTATCTTTTTGAGGTCGTGGCGAATTTACCTTCGCCCAAGAGGAAGAGAAACCCGCAGTACATGAGAAATGGGTGCACCTATATATCAATCATTTCCAATCCAAACAAAATCATTAGAAAATATATTAATTCAGTTCAAACATAAAAATATGATTGAACTATTTGAAGTATTTACATATATACATAAACATCATGTGTAAAAAATAGAAACTTACATTTAAAATCTTAAGTGGATTGTCGGAGCCATATTCGATGCCTTCGCGGTAATGGAGAAGCCATATGAGCATTAGAACAATGGCCAAGATGCCAAAGAAATGAGCCACGAATGTCGAAAGCAACGAGTGACGCTTAAAAGTTGTTCGATCTGCCGAGAGGTCCATTGTTTGATTTAGTTTTGCTTTAGATCGCTCCTTGTTCAAGAAGATGATGACTCAAATAATGATGATGAGAGAAAACAGAATAGAAGAGAATGTGCTAGATTGTGTATTGCCGGTTCTGTCGGGTAATGATGATATCCTAAAGGGTTATTTATACTAAAATAGTTGATGTGTGAAAACAACCCAAAACAATATATATAAATAGAAACATAAAATGGCACGTAAGTGTTTACGCCATATACATCTAATATATATACCTCTAAGTCTATAACCAATGTCGATCCGGCATGTGCGACTGATTTGACCACAATCCGGATTAAAGTTGTGGTTTAGACTAATATCAGTCATTGGATGCTTGTTTTTTAGGAATGACATAAAATATTTCGAAATTGTAGTAAAGATTCGGTTCAGTGAAAGTAACCAACGTAGAAATCAGCACTTACAAAAGAAGGGGAAAAAAACGAAAAGGATAAACAAAATTCGTTTGGTTTATTCACTGAACAACTACTACCTATATACGTACATATTCATTTGTTTTGATAATCTGATTCGATCGGTTGATCTATAACTATGAACAAAAATATACCTTAGTTCGATTTTGTTATTATTTTAAGAGTGTTAATTAACTAGTATAACTTAATCAAGCAAGATATTGATGAACGAATGAGTTGCTTACCTATAAGGGTTTGGAATATAAATGAAGAGGTTTCTATAGCGAGGACAGCTAAGGGTTTCAATCTCTTGGATTTTTTCGTACGTTTGATTCTAATCTCATCTATCTAACTCACTTTGGCCCTACCTTCTATTGCCTTTTTCTAGAAGTGCATTCTTAATGATTTTTGATGTAAGAAATTATTTATTTTTATAAAGAGAGAGCTCCAAGACGGGAAGATAGAGGCAAAGGAGAGAGGTCCAGTTACTACGTCTAATAACTTTAAGTATATTGTTTATTCTTGAAATTTTAGAGGTAGGGAAGAGTTAAGAGATGGAAGAAACCATGCTGGTGGTCGCTTTTGAACATAAAGAACAGCGTAACACATAAGTTTAAAAATTTCAAGTTTTAAAAGATGGATTCAAGTTTCCAACTAGGATGAAGCAAGGCAAGTATCCGCAAGAAAATATACAAATTGCTTTTATATTTTTGATAAAAAAAAATGATGTATTAAGTAACTAAAAAAAAACAGGATCGATGAACTGTATTAAACTACATTTGAGCCGAGTATTCGTTGGTTTTAGATATATTTTCTTCTTGATTAAATTCCAACCAAAGTGAAAATTTCAGAAATAAACTTAATTTTTATATTAGTTAGTCCACATAAGGGTCCTTCTTTCTCCCGTGATTCTTTGTCCGTGAATGGGAAGGTCAAGTCTACTTTTATGTTTCTAAATCACAGCCTTTTCGATCATTGGCTCAATATCACTTTTTAGTATTTGCGTATATATTTAATTTAATTAGGTTTTTGTTGCAGTAATAAAAACGAAAAATTAATTAGGTTTTGTTTTATTTTGGCTAAGGATTCAAAAAATAATAAGCTAAAACCTGAATACTTGAACCCAAAAAACGATTCGCTCCCATAACTCAATCTACACGCAGCTAATCTCCTGTTCTCTGAAAACTTTTTTTTTGGCACAAGAAAGTTTCTGGTCTGCGCAGACCGAAATGTTTTTTTTTTTTAATGATGGTCAACTATCTTGACCAATATATAATCAAATAGACAGTTGAACGATTCAACAGAATATCTATCCTCGTTGAATATACACTAAATATTTATGTTAATTTTCTTTGACCCAAAATATAATGTTTCTTTGAATATCTGATCAGACAACTGTATTCTGGTAGTTTTTCAACTAATTCATTTATTCATGCAAATAGCATAACTATGTCAAAGAATCCATAGTCAATTATTTAGAGGGGAAGATGTCATAAATTACTGGGATATTCATTTTTTCAATAAACCGAGTATCTGTCACCAATTAATTAAGAGAATTGAGATGACATATGATATACACTATAAGCTGTTAAAAAAAAAAAGGAGTATAATATATGAGGATATTGAACATGGGCTTTGAAAAATATAAGCCCATTACAACGGTACGTAATTTGCAATTTTGCATGGACTTTATAGCTTCCAATAATTGTTCTAATTGGGTCCTTGTAAAGTGTAAACTATAAATGAAATCATAGTCAAACGAATCAGACGTGATTATTACCCGACTAATTTTAGAGTTTGGGTTGATAATGCACAAAAGCCAAATCGCGGATGGTAGCCGTTGGATCCAGCAACAAAATAAAAGGGAAAACAATTACCCACATGCATGGGAGGAAAATCCCCATAGAGAAATTAACGGCTGCGATTTGCCCTCGTGACATTCGATGCAAACAAAATATCTCACGTGAATATTCCACATTGGGATCTTCCATTAGATTCCATGACCTCAGAGAAAACGACGCGCAGGTTAGCAGAAAACTCTTTTCTTCGCTAATTTGCTCCAGCAGACTTATTGGGATGATGACTGTTGTGAGTTCCCAAATATAAAAAAAAAAAAACTGTGAAACAAATACGTATTTTTTTTTCCTACCAAATATATATACACACAACAATACTGTAAATTATTTTGTTTATAAAACACAAGAAATGATGGACCCACCTGTGGCTGACAGACACTGATATTCATCCACAGAGGGTATTAACGGCGTCAAAGTTGCCGTTAATTGCGCTGCAGAATAGTTTTAGCTATGCGAGACTGTTTCGAGGACATTTACAAGTGGGCACTGGGCCCTATAGAGAAAGGTCCAACGGCTACTTGATGCTGACGTGGAGTAAATGTGTATGCGTCAACACTTACCTAACAAAAATTCAATCCAGGCTGAAACAAAGTCAGACTCACAAAAATAGCCAAATTTAATGTTTATGTTGTTATGTATGTTTCCTTCCTTCAAAAACCAAGTCAAAGTGTAACCACACTCGGGACCAACAATCGTGCACACACCGCAGCTTCAAACAAAAAATTTCTTGATAACTAATCACTTACGAAATCTGAAATTATTTTGTTTTTGCCCAAAAATAGATTTTCATGCAACATTTTATTAATTACTTAGGAAACTGTAAAAACTAAAAACCATCAATACATATATGCTTTGAATACTAAGTTCCACTTGTTAATTAAAGTTGCACTAATTAAACTAATCGGTACGGCACCATTTTTCCTCAAACAACCGGCGATTTTCGGGCATTCACTATCACTCCCTCAGCTCACGCGGTGTCAAACGTTACATCTTGACCAATTTCCGCCACGTGTCGGGGTGACGTGTTTACTATGTTTGGCGATTGGGGTTATTTGGTACGCAACTTGGATCGCAGATTGTTTTGTTTGATAGGGGGCAAATCCGTGAATTCAATCATTTGATAACGGTATTTCGGGACGCCGAATGGGGCGGCTAACCAATTTATTTAATTTTTGTTATCTAAACCCAAAAAGCTTCGAAACAAATCATTTCTTTCACCGGCCCATAATGATTTAACCTTTTTCTTAAAATGTATCCGTTCCAAGTATTTATATCAACACTTTTGTATAAAGATGTCTTTTGTTTTATGATTCCTTTTCTGTTTATCGCTTATATGGAAACATTCATATAATCATTTTAACCAGAAAAAAATATAAGCCGAAAGAGAAAAGAATGTTGTAATGATTGAAGGAAATATATATTTTTTTTAATCACACAACTCGTAAGTAGTAACCTTTCATCTGTATAAATTATTCGTTATTTTTCTGAAAAGAAATAACAATTGCAGTGTTAGTGACTCTACCTGTGACTATTTGTCGGGACACATGTGTAAGCAGCAAAGCACCTTATTGCTTTATTGCTATTTTTGTTTCCTTCTCCACGTCTTTTATATATTTCTTTTTCTTCTTTGTGATAATCTAAATTTAAATCCCCGCTTCAACCTGATTATATAGCTTCTCCCAGTGATACAACTTTGTATTAAATTGTGTCTTAGTTAAACTGATATCTAATGGACACAATTGTGTTTAGTGATTGGACTATATTTAGTTTACCGTCACATTTTACGATTCTTTCGGTCCAATGTACGCCCAATTTTGTGTTTTGTCGACATGTACTACTGATTCAGTGTATTAAATAAAAAGCAATTATGAAAAAAGTAATAAGTTGACATATAAAATTAAAACCATCCATAGCCAGACGTACTCTGCAGTCGAAATCTTGATATTCATGCTATTTCTCTCTCTCTTTCTCAAGACACCTCCATAGCTCGTCCTCAACACGATAGTTTATCCAGTTTAAATCTCTTCCCTTTTCGTCCTCATATTATACACAAATTATAACATTTACACAAGAAACTCAATCTTCAACAAAAATGGGCTTTCTAACTCGATTTCTAGTTTTCGTGTCACTCTTCACCGGTTTGGTCTCTGGATTTGCTCTACAAAGGCTTCCTCTTATACAGTTCGACGAAGGTTACACACAGCTATTCGGTGACCAGAATCTGATTGTCCACAGAGACGGAAAATCTGTCCGGTTAACGCTCGATGAGAGAACCGGTTTGTCTTCTTGTTCCTCTGAGTCTTTCTAATTTCTGTTTTCTAATCACTTTCCTAAACTGAGATTCTTTCGAAATCATATTTACAGGTTCTGGGTTTGTCTCAAATGATATATACTTGCATGGGTTCTTCAGTTCTTCTATCAAATTGCCAGCAGATTACTCTGCAGGAGTTGTTATCGCCTTTTATGTAAGCAACAATCTCTACCCCACCATGGATTTTTCATTTTTGGTTATTTGGGTTCACTAACCAATTAAAGATATTTCTCTTGATGATTTTGTTTCACTGATGCCCGTAGACAAAGGACAAAAAGGCTGTTTTTTTTTTGTGTGTGGGCTTATGCATTTTTCTTCTTCTCAGATGTCAAATGGAGACATGTATGAGAAGAATCATGACGAGATTGATTTTGAGTTTTTGGGGAATATCAGAGGCAAAGAATGGAGGATTCAGACCAACATTTACGGTAATGGAAGCACACATTTGGGCAGAGAAGAAAGATACAATCTTTGGTTCGATCCAACAGAGGATTTCCATCGATACAGTGTCCTCTGGTCTCATTCTCACATCATGTAAGTTAAAAACAAACTCAGCTTAATTAGGTTCTAAATCATCAGCTCAAGTCCTAATTCAACTAGTCGGATTAGAAATTTGAGTATATGAAATAGCAACAGTTGGGGTTGTGAACAGAGGATTTAGATGGCTAATTAAAGCCGTTACATTAGAGGCTTTTATGAGTCTTTTAATGATCTTCTAGACTCTTCAACCGTCACTGGATGTTTCTATCAAAGGAAAGCCAAGTGGGGTTTATGTGTGATGGATTCCTTACTTTATAATCAATTTTTTAATGTAAAGATAGTGGAGTTGGTTTCTTGTTCTGGAAAGTTAAGTGATCTACAGCTTTTGATTCTTGGCAACGACGGAGACCCCAAGCATAATAGTTTTGGATGAGAGAACCCAAATCCGGTCCACTAAAAGCTGCATTTTTTAAAAGCAAAAAATATCATCTTTCTAGAGGAAATTCATGTGAATGGTTTTTCCGGGGTATGAATCAAAAATCATCTTTTTATGCAGATTCTATGTAGACGATGTTCCGATCAGAGAAGTAAAACGCACGGCGACAATGGGCGGTGACTTTCCGGCGAAGCCAATGTCTCTATACGCAACCATATGGGATGGTTCCAAATGGGCAACAAACGGTGGCAAGTACGGTGTAAACTACAAATATGCACCTTACATCGCTCAATTCACCGATCTGATCCTCCACGGCTGCGCCGTCGACCCCACCGACAAGATTTCGAGCTGCGAAGACGGAGCGGCAAAGAACCTTCGGGTAGCTTCGGAGATCACAATGTCTGAGAGGAACAAAATGAAGAGTTTCCGGCGTAAACACCTGACTTATTCGTATTGTTACGACCACACGAGGTACAAGGTGGTTTTGTCGGAATGCGTGGTGAATCCGGAGGAGGCTAAGCGTCTCAGGGTCTATGATCCGGTAACGTTCGGTGGGATTCCACACCGCCACCGTCATGGGAAGCACCGGAGCAAGAGCCGCTTCGACGGATCTGAGTCCATATGATTTGGTGTATATTATTCACCTAGAGGGGCATTTTTGGCATTTTCTGTCTTGTATAGGAATATATGAATTATGGACTGAAAGATGGACTGACACTCGGATATTTTGATCTCCTCCCACTTCACGAAGAAAGATTGTCGTTTAACATAATGATAATAATAATTATTATATATTTGATTTTCTATTTGTTAATAATATCAAATTACTCTTAAAACCTTACACTAACAAAATACGAAAACAAGTTACAAGAATACTAAAGTAAACTTTAAGGAAGATATAAATATAAGAGTTGCATAAGACGTCAGTAAACTTTCTTTTATAACGTCAATAAACTTTAATATTCAGAAGAAAAAAAACAGATGGAATTTATGACACTATAAACTCTTTTCTTGCCTGTTTTTCTCTTCATATGTTAGTATTAAAATGTATTTTGGGTTTCTATGAGGTTTTCAACAAAATTAGGTACGTTCGATTATCTTGTATAAGTATTCAATGGGTCCAATAGATATTATTGACTTGATCACCTATTTTATTTGACTATATTGACACTTCCCGTTCACACATACACAATGTGTCACTGATTATGTCATTTTGAGGTACATCGATGTTAGAAATTGCGGGTCCGTTTCGGATGACTTTTCATTTCATTCGTATAATACAGAAATTGGAATATTTTTTTGGGGTTCACTGCAGAAAAATGGAGTTGACTATTCGGAAAAAAAAGAGCATATTATTGCGGAAAAGGATTTGTCATATTGTATGAAGTCCTATTGACATATTTGTCAAAGAGAGGGGTCGTTCGGAATCCTGAACTGCCCTTTGTATGGTTTAACAAGTTGTATTTCCACATGTCATCTTATCGAGGAGGATATCTATCGCCAAATTATATGAATATCCTTTATTTGTCAGCAAATTTCTATCTATATATATATATATATATACTTTTTCGTTTGATGTTTTGTTTCACATTGAGCATTTTAATTCGGCTCATGAATAGATAAATCTCATGTGTCTTTCACATAACTTGATTAGTGTTTTTGTCTGGACTTACCAAATGGATTACATAGTGACGGATTTAGACACAAATTTAGTTGGGGGTATAAATATATAAATAAATAAAAAAATTTAGTTGAGGACAAAAATTTTTTTACCACTAAATTAAAAATATTTAATTGAATTTACTTATATAATTAAAAAAAAAAGAATAGAGAGCACATGACCCCCTCTTAACTCACTACCTCAGCCCCTGGGATAACAACTAGTGATCTCTATACGTGTCATCTTAGTATGTGTGAACTCAATTATGTACAGTTATATCCCCATAGTTAATTAGTGATATCAGTGAGTTTGACAAAGAAAGAAGAAAATTCGCAATTAGTGGAGTATAAAGTCATGGTCAGCTTTTACATGTATCGACTGTTAATCTAATTTACCCTTTTTTTATTTGTCAATCATCTGAATTATCTTAAGTGTCATTTACATAGTGAACATTTAAAGAAATCAGAATTATAATCTAAAGGACTCACCATAATTCGCTACATATGACACTCTACTTAGAAATGTGTTTATATTTTAACTTTAACAAAATGCCTAAACTTATAAAACTTAATTTATGTATATCAATTTTGTGGGCCCATATGTCACAAGGCCCATTTGATCCAAAGCAAAAATATGTTATAATCTCTGTTTTAGTATTTATGAGTAAAATTAAATTAACCGGCATCTTTCAAAGATGCGGAATCTCGGCTTCGTTCCAACTATGATATAACATAAAACACACCCAAATCACATACTAAAAATCTTATGTTTTCTGATGAATCTTATTTTGCGTTATCATCGACGATCGTTTGTTTTTTCTTCTGAACCGTAAATATTCTTAAATTGCATATAAAAAAAAATTCAAGGAAAAGGAGAAGTGAAAAATGAGATTGAGAGAGATCTGAGTAGTGATCTTTCGTCGAAAAAAAAAAAGAGATCTGAAGTGATCTAAGCCACCGTTTTAGACTCTTAAACGCATGCGTCTTAACTAAGCCAAAAATCGCTCTTACCATTTACACCTCTTTCCTCAAAAACCCTAGATCTCTTCTCTCTCTCTTTCTTTCGTCTTGCCTTTTAGGAAGCTTCCCGTAATTTATACATCACTTTAACTAGATTACTCTCCTTCTTTCTTTATTTACTCAGCTTCACCGTCACGACGAGATACTCGTTTTGCCAGATCTGTAGTGTTTCACTCTTCGCTTGCCTCTTAAAACCTTCACATTTATGGTGATTATTTGTTACCTTTTCTAATTTCGTCTGATTGAAAATTCATCTACTTTCTTCCTGGGTTTTATTTGAATTTCGTTAAATTCGAGTTTTTTTTCTTTCAGGATTTAGTGTGCGATCTCCTTGATTTCTAGCCGATATTTTCACGAATTACACCTTTTAATTTTATTCTGCAGATCTGTGTGAAGGAAGCTATGAGCTGTGTTTGATAGCGAGGAAGTTAAAAGGGGAAAATAAAAAACTTGTTTTTTTCTCGAGATAATTGCTTCTTCTTCCTTAACTGTTGCCACCAATGGCAATGCCGCCAGGAAATGTTACTCCTTCTGATAAATTACAGTTTCCGCCCGTCGCCGTCGCCGCCGGAAGTTGGATCCCCGACGGGCGAGACGGATTCATCTCGTGGATTCGCGGGGAGTTCGCTGCAGCTAACGCGATCATCGATTTACTCTGTCAACATCTAGTAGCAACTGGGGATCACAACGAATACGAAGCTGTGATCTCGAGCATCCGGCACCGTCAATTAGGCTGGTCTCAAGTTACTTATATGCAGCAGTTTTTCCCAATCGCAGAGATTTCTCACACTCTACAGCAAGTTGCTTGGAAGCGGCAACAGAAAATGCTTCATCAGCATCCTCAAAGGCATTACAATTCTGATCAGACTGGTAAATTTGGAGGAAGGAGATCAGGGACTGGGTTTAACAAGCATCATCATGGTGGTGGTTACAGAGGAGCTGAATCAATGGCGAGAAACGGGCATCATTCTAATTCGGATTGCCACAGCATTGATCGTGTTGAGAATGGGGAGGAAGCTAAGCCTGCAAGTGATGATAAGGCATTATCTGTTGCAGAGGACAAGAGAGGTAATGAAAATAGTCTTTGGTTAGCTTTAAGGTTTGCTTGCTTGTAAGAAAAGTAATCTTTTTGGCTGCTAAATCAGTACAACATATCTGCAATTTGGTATTAGATAGTGGAGGATTGTGGTTTAATCTGCGGTTTTGTTTTTTTTGTAGTCTCTAGACTCTTTACTGGTTTAAAATGTATATGTTGTGGTAAAGTAAATTTATACTTTTTTTTGTGGGATAGATGGTAGCGAGAAACCAAAGAGCGATCGTAAAGATATGGAAGAATCTGAGGCCAGCTCGTGTACTAAAGGTAATTTTGGAAAACCTTTACTTGTCAATTTTCACCTGATATTAGATCTTTCTGAAATATTCCGATTCCGTGCTGCTTCTTTCTTTTCAGATAACAGTCTCAGGTCTGAGGCAAAGCAGGACGAGAAATATAAAGACTGTTCTGCAAGCATGGCTAGGACTTTTGTTGTCGAAGAGATGTTTGAAGCGAAAAAGGTGAGTGGTTACTTCTCAAATGTCTGTTTATATTTTACGGCCTACAATACCAATTTTTCTTTTATCTTTTTGTGTGTGTGTGTATTGTGTAGGTTAATGTTGTGGAAGGACTGAAGCTATATGACACAATTGTTGACGCCATGGAAGTTTCTCAACTAGTTTCTCTTGTAAACAATCTGAGACTTTCTGGAAGAAGAGGTCAACTTCAAAGTAAGAATCTTTTTATGCACTACTATAATGATTTAACTTGTTTTCAAAATCAGGTCTTAAAAACGTTGATTCATGACTAACAGGTGAGGCATATGTTGGTTATAAACGGCCAAATAGAGGGCATGGACGTGAAATGATCCAACTCGGTCTCCCCATAGCTGATACGCCGCCTGATGATGAGAGTATCAAAGGCAAGTCCTTTAAAGATGTTCTTTACATATAGTTTTTTGTGTGTATCGGATAACATGAGATATGAGTTGTTATGCAGATCGAAGAATAGAGCCAATCCCATCATTTCTCTCAGACATCATTGAACGTTTGGTGTCAAAGCAGATCCTACCTGTGAAACCAGACGCCTGCATCATTGATTTCTTCAACGAGGTTAAAACTGATTGCTATATTCGTTGAAACCTATTAAGAACGTTTTTCTTGTGTGTTTCATTAACGAAGTAAGAGTTTTCTTGTGTTTGTGAACCGTAGGGAGATCATTCGCAGCCTCATATGTTTGTTCCCTGGTTTGGACGACCCGTAGGCATCTTGTCCTTGTCGGGAATGCGATCTCACATTCGGAAGAGTCATTGTCTCTGATTATCCCGGCGACTACAAGGGCTCTCTCAAGCTGTCTCTCACTCCCGGGTAAACCGACTCAACTGTCAGCTTTTAATTCTGCCAAAGTCAGAGACTTTTCAATCTCTTAAGCATTTTTTTGTATTTTGAACAGATCGGTTCTTGTGGTGGAAGGCAAATCCGCAGATCTTGCCAAGTTTGCAATTCACTCAATCCGAAAGCAGCGGATACTCATCACTTTCACCAAGTCTCAACCAAGAAACTCCATGACCGGTTCTAACCGGGGTCCACCGGCTAGCAGATCGCCGAATCACCACAACCGTCACTCAACCGGTCCACCTAAACCTTACCCGGTTATCTCGACCACAGGTGTCTTGCCCACACCGTCTCACCGGCCACCAAACGGAACTGTTCAGCCGATTTTCATCGCTCCTTCTCCTCCGCTCGCTCCTCCAATGCCGTTCCCAGGTGGTGTCCCGCCGGGGCCAACGAGCTGGCCACTGCCACATCATCCACGACCACCACAGCCTCGTATGCCCATCCCTGGAACCGGTGTGTTCCTCCCACCCGGTTCAGCTCAAGAACTGGTTTTACAAGGCTCCCCAGAGAAATCCAACAACAGCAACGGAAGCAACTCTGCGGAAGGAAAGTTGGACTTGAAGACGAAAGAAGACGCTTGTAACGGAGATGCTGCAGAGGAATGCCATGGCAATAGCGGTTGCAGTGACGACGGTAAACAGAGCAATTAGTTGAAGAAGAGATGATATCTATCTATATATAACACCATATCTACTTTCGTTTTTTTTTGCTGAATTTTTTTATAGGAAAAAAATCTCATCAAACTATTGAAGGTACTTAAAAAGATGTAATGGATGGTTCAGACCGAGAAATTCCAATGAAGATTCACAACATTATTCACCCTCCTAAAATCGTTTCCACAAGAGTTTTTGTTTTTAATTTGTTCAAAAAATCGGTCGACAACATATAAAAGGAGAGTTTCTTAAGATTTCTTTTCTTTTGAAATGAACGTGAAATTTATTTAACTCAAGAAAAAAAAAACGTTTTTACAATGAATACATTTGTTAAGTTTAGAAGAGGATTGAAAGAGTATAGATGTAGAAATGCTTAGAAATAGCAAAGAGTGGAGATGATTCTTTAGCTTGTGTTTCTTGAGGCAAACCAATACATCACAAATTTTCCATTGTTTAGTTATTAAATTTGGTTTTTTATTTGAAATGATTTTGGGCTTCGAAAGCTTTAAGATATGAAGACTTCAATGTGTTGTGGATACAACTTTTGCTGTGTATCCTACCTGGACCAGGCCATGGTTTTGATCCTTTTTTTTTCTTTCTTTTCTTAGAAGACATTTTTTTTTTTTAATTCTGAGAGATTGATAATTCTATGTTACAGTGAAACGTGAAATATCCTGGTCTGTGAACTACTTATCCACAAAATGGAGTTGTATTGGACTCAGCCCATTCAAATAACCACATGCTAAAATTTTATCATATAATCCATTATTATCTATATATATATATATATATATATGTATATATGTTATCTATACATGATTAAAGAGAAACTGAGCATAGGACAAAAGATATATGACAAAATCATACCCAATCTTTATGGATGAGATTCGGGACCAGCTTTGTCCCCAGAACTATAGTGTAAACTTGTGAATCAGGTTATATAACAATCAATATATAACTAAATTAAGACATTAATATGTAAGCGTTAGAGAAGATGGACCTACATAAATGAAAGTAAAGTGAGTTATATTCAAAAGAAGTATATCAGTTCATCTCCCAGTTGTCTCATGTTCAATATCACGCAGTCTTTCTAGTTCATCTCCCGTCTTACAGATTTTTCAATAACTTTTCATTTCAAATTTTGCATATATAAGAATTTTTTACTTATTTGTTAAATAATTAAACTACATAATGGTTTTCACTTTAATTTCCAGCATGCTATATAGCGTCAGCCTTGTAATAGATGCATATATACTATCATTCAGGAAAAGACCTTACTGATTTTGCAGACGATACTTTATTGTCGCATCATAATGTGATTTGAAAATAAAATTTATCGAAACAAGAAATTGATATTACATCATAATTCATAAACAATACGTCTCGATTCAAATTAGGATTATGTAGCAGAATAAAGCGCCTCCTTGTAAGTCTTCCAGTGATGCAAAACGTGTCCAGAAACATCATAAAAGACGGCACGCAGTTCGGCTTCCGAAATGTGAACCGACATGAATCCTTGTCCGTCATAGTAAAACCTCATCTCTTCTGGGTCCAAGTAGTTCACGTCACCTTTCCACGCCTTTGATCCACCTCCACTCGTCATAAATTGCACTTTACTATACACATCAGAACAGGGTACCGTACGTTTAACTTTACTAATTCCCTTACCTATGTTTACTTCATTAATTAAATAAAATATAATCTAGAACTGAATTGATTTTTTTTTTTTTAAACTAAAACTTGATTAGTATCTCTTACTAACTATAAACTCTTCTGTATCTTGAATCGATATTTCTATAAACGAATCATTATCATTTTCCCTAGCTAAAACGACAAACAAATTTAGTCCCATCTAAGCTAACCTTATCGAATAACTTGACTTATATCTAATTAGTATACTCTTGATTGAAAAAAAAATATATACTTTTTTAATCAACAAAACGTCATCAAATCGTTTCCAATTCGGTGAAGAACTTTTTGAATCAAAAGATCTGAAAATTGGGGATGTTGGGCTCTACTAGTACTGTTTTAGTTAATTTACCTGTCCACGCTGCTTATGTGCTCTAAGCAATGATCATGCCCGTTTAAGTAGAGATCCACATCATTCTCCTAGTAAATCAAGAAAAGTAAACGAGACAGATCTATATTATATATTGGTGCATTACATATTCACGTGAATGTATGTTATGAGAACTTTATAATAATAATAATTAATTTGGTACGTGGAGGATAGGTAAAAGCTGCGTCTCCAATTCCATGGTGTTCCCGTGGTGGCCTGCGCTTTTGATCGTATGGTGACCAATCACTATTTTCCACTTTGCTGTTGACTCTCTCAATGCCATGTCGACTTCCTGATATTACCATTTTATATATATCTAGCTTTGGTTAGTCGCTCGTAAGTCTAATTAACTTATCAATGCAAATTACATTACCAGATTATTTACCAAACATATAAAATTGCATAAATTCATTAATAAAACTATCTTAAAAGACTTTTAATGTAACTTATTTGGTTATTTATCTTGGATGAAGTTTGTTTTGTTTTCGTTCATCTCAGTTCAGAATGTTATAAAGTCAAGCCCTATTATATCTATATTTATTTTCTTGGATGTTAGAAGATTATTACCTTTAAGAGATTATTCAGATATGTCTGTCTTGGTAATACGCCTCTCCAGTCATAGACATGCTTATTTGGTTGGACAAAGTATTTGTCGACGAAAGGAGTTGTGTCGACGAACAAAAAATCGACGATGTCTACATTGAAGATATGAATATAGCTGTTCAATACAATAATATGGAGTACTAAAATGTTTTCGAGAATCTAAGAGAATATATATTCCTTACCAGCACTAACAACGAAAGATCTCATGCAAACCCATCTGTTGTCCAAGGCCCTGAGCATAGGGCTAAGCTGTGCCCCGACGTCACCTCTATAGTCATGATTTCCTAAAACTATATATAGGTTGAAGAAAGTATATATAATTTACACAATGGATCACATATCTCGGGACAATTTAAAATATCACAAAATTTTACACTTTAGTATGATTTATGATTAAATGAAATAGCTTAACTAATTAAATTAAATTTTACTGCTTATTTATATACCAGTATACCAAGGTTTCTGCAAGCTCGCCGCAGTATAAATGTTGGTAAAAGAATCTTGAAATGCAGGATCATGCAAACCAAGTAACCCATTGTCGTAAAAGTTATCTCCCGTAGATATTACAAAATCAATATCTAGCTTTTGTCCAATTTCTCCCATCTGTTAAAATGGTATGAACTACTAATTATTCAGTTACGTTACTACAAAATAGACTTACAAAAATTGAAACAACGATAGCAAGTATATTAGATGATTTGTTCACATAAATGAGGAATTCTTGAATATTGCATGAAGACAATATAACTACGCAACCATTCCTTTTTATTTTTATTCACTTAATCGATCCGGAAATAGATATCGGGTATTTTGTATTTGATGATCCAAATTTTGTTGACAGCATTTTGCGTTATATAATGGAGGTCAAAAGGGATAACCATTACATAGGATTCTCAATAAGTAGAACTAAGTAATTTGAACCTTTTCCACATTCTAGAAAAGGTAAAAATCAACTAACGAAACCTCAAACTAGATATCGATGTTTAAGCAAAGATAAGTCTATGATTAAGTTATTAGCAAAAAAAAAGTCTATGATTAAGTTCTTATACAAAACAACAATAATAGTACTAGTAAAAAACATAATTTCGGGTTAAACTAATAAAATTTAAATGGTTTTTTAGAATTTATTTTTATATATATATAATATAATACGGAAATAATAAAATACAAATATATAAGGGGATGCATTTATATGAATAAGAGTAAGTTTTGATCCTCCTATACACACACTATTGAATTTTTTTCCCTTTTTCTCACAGTATTGAATTCGCACAATACATATATTTGTGCAAGTGAGAAAAATATAGAAATCACCTGAAGAGCTACGTCGGACTGATTATAGGAGCCTCTCCTTCCCCAGTCTCCAATGGCGAGAAAGCTTAGTGTACCATCGGGTTTCGCTGGCTGCAGAAGCCTCGGGAGCTCCGCCTTGGAACTGTTGGCGGAGAATGTAAAAATCAAACTAAAAACATAAAATATAATATGTATAGGTTTGTATTTTAAGGCAGCCATGGAGAGATTTCTAAAATAAAAAACGAAAGAGGAAGAAGATAATGTATGGTGGATTCTGATTTGCTTGCTTCTCTTTATATCATAAGTTGGCTGATTTGGAGTTGAAAAATATAACTCAATATAATATATTTTTCTAAAAATAATTATCATATTTTGAAAAGACACACATTGATGGGGCTGGCTTGTACATCTTTTACATCTTAATGATATCAACTATTCTTCACGTGTTTAGTACTATTGTGTTTTGATAATTTTGTTTACAGAAAATATACACTGATTTTTTTTTGTTATCCGCAGTACAATTGTAAGTTGTAAATTGTATTTTTTTTTTTTTAAAAAAAAGTTGTAAGTTGTAATTGTAACCAACAAATAAAAGACATCTTGCCAAGAAAATAAAAACAAGGATAGCACGGTTAAAAAATCCAATAATTTCCTTAATTATACTATATATATATATATATATATATATTGTTATTCTGTGTTTTCGTTGTTATAGGCTTGTAGCCGACAAATACACAACTCATTGATTCCCAGCTTGTGGGGACTCCAAAATACTACACAATTATTGCTGGAGCAATATTAGTCATATTTTACTTATGAACTTTTACAATATACCGTTATGCAATTGGGTTTGAATAATATGTTAGCCTAAATAATGTTTTCTTTAACAGTTAACTTGGATTATTACATAAGTACAAACCAGTAAACTTTATATAAATCCAACTTCCATTACACTTCCTAAATATTTACATCGAATACAATATTAATTGATAAACTGCCCAGGCAACTATTTTGTGAGTGCTCGACAGCAATAGGTTATAAACTGCCCATTCCACTAGTTTGTTAGAATTTGCACTTATTAGCTTTTACTCGCATTTTTTTCACGTGAATGTTGAAAACTTCCAAATTCTTGAGTTGTACGCAGTTACAAAAACAAAGCAAATAAACAAAAAAATTCCAAATTCTCTCAATAATTGAGAACTTGACGAAATCTGCAAATCTTCAAGCGAATACCTTGACTTGAGATATTGTAAGAAGTGTAACGAATGAATGAAGGGTGATTTCAATTGTTCAAAGGAATAACATAATATCCCTTTTGTGAGTTTTGTTACTGGCTAAGAGAAATTTAAATTGGTAGAGGCCCAGTCTCAGTATGTCATGCAGTTCGAGGCCCAGACCCAGTATCTGATGGACAGAACATAAAACGAAATCTCTGTGCTTGGCGATTGTGAAAATTTCATTCTATTCTTGAACTATCACTGGTTCTTTTTTCCACTTTACATGTCTGATTTTTGTTGAATCTTATTATCTGATTTTGTGTCTAAAGCAAATCGATAGGGGTTTTCTAATGTTTTTAATTAGTAAACAGTGTAGGCGTCGTTTTTGTTTCTTTGATCATGCCTCAGTTACGTTTATTTCTGTGGGGGAATTGGGGTGGACAAGAGACTTGTAAATTCTGTGTCATTGTTTTCTTCTTATTATACACTCTTTTTGTCTTCTTCTTCCATAAATCTTCATCTACAGTCATATAATAATCAACCGTTGATTTATATGTTTGGGCTTATTGCTGATTTTGTAAGTGGGCTTCAAACTACTATAACAAGAAGCTTACAGAGTTTGAAAGGCACAGACGTAATTGTATTGTAGGACGTTCGTTACAATTTTATTTCCTATTAGGAATAGTACGAACAAGGTGGACTTGTGACCATAGAATGATAGAATCTCCATTGAATCTAATGTGACTTCATCCCGGTCAGGCAAGTCTTCAACCGTACCGTATAGATAGACATGTACGTTTGTTTGTTTGTGTTTCTGAGGTTAGGTCAAATTGTCAGCATTTTCTTTTGAGTCAAAAAGTTTTGACCAATTAGCTCCTTGGAGTTCTATAGCTGTATCACACATATATACAATACAGCTAACAACAAAATTATTAAAACAGTGAGTTTGACGACGTCATGCCTAAATCATTTATTCAACAACCTCTTCCTCCCCCCTCTATGCAATATATCCATGTGGTGGTGTTTGAGACTTGACATTGAAAATTGAACAAAACGTAACTCCTTTTTTTTTTCAGGCTACACGTGTGTGTAGATAAGTCTGTGAATATGATTGAATGTAAGCGAACGCTTCCAAATGAAACTGATCGTAATGTCGTCAGCTACTCGTTGATATAAGATGATTCTTTAGTAGTGAACAAGGGTATAGGTTTTGATATCTATAATTTAGACCAAGTAATGTTTAATTAGGCTTAACGATGGTTTTAGAAGAATTCATATAACTGAAATAAAAAAAGTTTTGGGTGCTGTAAGTTCTGCAGGTCTATCCACGTAAATGTTTTTTTGCTACAGAACTGTTTAGGGATGAATATTTTGTCTATAAACAATGTCACGAAAAAATACTTGTTGGTATTTTTTCATAACAAAGCTACCTTAGAAACAAAAACAAAGTACAGCATTAATTTGTTTTAAATAGTTTTTATTGATAGAAATTTTGATATAGGAATGTAATCAACTAATTGCTTAAGGGCATTGCTTTATGGTCTTGTTAAATATCTAGGATTTTCTATTTGTTTGATCATTACTTTGTTACTAATCTTTTTACAATTGTATGAATGAAGTAAAAATAGAGATAAGTACAGAAAAAGAAGTGGAAGAAGAGCCTGTGAGAAATTATAGCTTGCCTCATCTTTCTCTTCTCTTCAGTAATTTATTTCTTTCTGCCTTTGTGATTACCACAACACAAGTACTCTTTTCTCCTTCCACTAATTTTCATTTCGCAATCCACATCCTTAACTCCTTCTATTATATGGGTCTATATAATATGAGTACATGATATAAGCAATTAGTATAGGGACATGTGGGGTCGACCACACGAACATTTTTAGTTCAACGTTAACGTATCTAATAATTTAGAAAATATATTTTCTTTATTTATTTTGTTCTTTCATTGTTATTTTAAAATTTTATACAAGCTTCCAAATGATATGTGTCACGTTTAGAGTGTTGTTTACCATTGATTTGTGTTAGCACATATGCAAGTTCAATGATATTATCCATGAGTCAAAGATTAGTCCCTATTGCTAATATTTTGAATCGCATATCGGACAAAATCAAAGTTCAACGAGCCATCTATAGAAAAAAAAAAAAATGTGTTCCTAGAAAATGTTTGATTATAGCAACCTCCACAGAACAAGAGACAAACACAATTTTATATATACCTACTCCAGTATATCATTGATGCTCAAGATTATTGTATGATTTGCATTGAACTTATTTGTATGAAGTGGTTAGAACTAATTAACATGTCGGCTAATAATTTTAGGTTTACCCCTAGCTAGCCTTTTTCGCTGTTATCCAAATCGACTTTGACTTCTCTTTTTTTCAGCATCCACTTTAATTAATTGGATATGCAATATATATATATATATATATATATATATCTAAGAGTATGTATGGCTGTTCGTGAGAAATCAATATGATAATATGGTTAAGATAAAAACATAAACATAAGAATGTAAATACAGGAAATAATGTCATAATAATTGCATATTTGATTAGTAGTTGTGGAGTGCAATAATGAGAAAGTTTTGGATAGGATTCTAACTTTGTGCTGATTAATTAAAGAAAATACGATTTTCGACTTCTTAATGAAATTAGTGGAGGTGAGTGACATTGGCCACCACCACAGGCTCCCTTTTGATTAGACCACTTTGGCATATTTTGTTAGTATTTAACATCTTTCATTAATGCAGCTCAACACCAAAAATATATGTTTGCAAGTGCTTTAACTTTTCCTTCTCATGATAAAAGATTTCATTGCAATGTCGATATTAGTCTATTCATTACAATTGTTTGCTTACAAAGCCAACTAGTTTATAATTTAGATCACTTTAATCATTTGACGTTGCATTACACAAAGTTACTACTAACTTAAATAATTTTGGTTGGTCCACGAGTCGCGAATTCTAGTAAGAGCTCAATCATACAACGTATGCATATATGATACTGTACAATTCAGTTTTCTAAAACCAATACTTAAGTATACATGTCATTAAAGAAGACAAATCTTACTCCCTTCCCTTCTAATTGGCACGTGATAAGTACGCGCTTTCATAGGCCACGCGCTTACTGTAGCGCCTGCACAATACCCATCGCTTTTCTCGTTATTTTATCGTATTTTTCATGAGGCGAATAAAATAGGGATAGTAATAATATTAGAAGAGAATAAGAAGCTAATAAATAACATTTATGACTTTATGTAACGGCCAAATAATAAAAACATTTATGTACTATAAATTTGATAATGTAATACGACAAAAAGAAACTCAGTTTTAGTATTTAACCTGTTCTGCTATTCATAAAATAAAATGTATAATTAACTTTTTCTTTATACATTCTTCAACATAATCCACTTTTTTTTTGCAACTTTTGCTCGGAATTCTATGTGCTGATCAATCTTTTTCTCTCTGCAAAGTAACGTGAAGCTTTTTTATGTTAAGCTTCAGATCTGATACCTGTTACTGCGAGTAATGATCTCATCATATCTTTGTGTTTTCTTTGATTTTTAAGCAGCCATTGTCACAAGCTCCGCTCTCTCAATCTCTCTATCTCTCTAGTTCAAGATTCTAACTTTGGAGTAAGTAAGTGAGAGAAGCACAATTCGAGGAAATGCTTGAGATTGGAAGCCCTACGAGTCTCTTTTTCCGCTCAAACACTACTTGCAATGCTCTACTTCGAGAGCTTCAGGTTTTTATTCTACCACTTTCTTCTTCTTCTTCTCTTTTTTCTTGGGAATTTAGGGTTTCTTGATAAAGATGCTTCACAGAAATACTCTGTGTTTGTTTTCTACGAGACGGGAAATTGGTCAATATAGATAAAGTCTTCTCCTTTTTCGGCCTTCTATTTGATTAAAGGGTTACTGTGATTTTTTAGCCTCTTCCTGGATTTTCTTTGCGTTTCTGTGAAACTTCTTTTAACATTTTCTTCTAAAAGTATCTTGTAAGGAATCTGATTTGAGGGTTTAATGGCAAATTTGATTTTGGTATGGAGCAGAAAATATGGATTGATATTGGTGAGAGTGATGCCGAGAAAGACCGGATGCTAATGGAATTGGAGAAGGAATGTCTAGAAATCTACAGAAGAAAAGTCGACGAGGCTGCAAAGTCTAAGGCACAGCTTCATCAATCAGTTGTATCAATTGAAGCTGAAATTGCTTCTTTAATGGCTGCTCTTGGAGTCTTAAACATCCATTCACCGGTATAAGCAAGTCTATTCAGTTTCTGAGTATTGCCTTTTTATCTTGGAAACAAAGGGAAAATTTCTGATTTTTATTGAAAAATGTGTTTTTTTTTGTTTCTGTTGTTGCTGCAGATCAAAGCAGAGAAAGATTCAAAATCATTGAAAGAAAAGCTTGCCGCAGTGACGCCTCTGCTTGAGGATTTGAGATTGCAAAAGGATGAAAGAATGAAGCAATTTGTCAATATAAAGGCACAGATTGAGAAGATGAGCAGTGAAATCTCTGGTTACAGTGACCAAATCAACAACGCGATGCTTGATTCTTTGACACTCGATGAACAAGACTTGACTCTTCGGAAACTCAACGAGTATCAAACACGTCTAAGCTCGCTCCAGAAGGAAAAGGTGAAGATCTAAGAAAACGAACCAAGTGTTTACATCAATAAGCTGCTTACTAACTCATTTTGTTCTTGTTTTTTATGCAGTCCGATCGTTTGAACAAGGTGTTGGATTATGTGAACGAGGTGCACACTCTATGCGGTGTTCTTGGAGTTGACTTTGGCCAAACTGTTTGCGAGGTTCATCCGAGCTTACATAGGACTAACCATGAACAGTCTACAAACATTAGCGATACCACATTGGATGGTCTGCAACACATGATTCAAAAGCTGAAAAACGAAAGGACAGTCCGCTTTCAAAAGGTAGATAAACATTTCTGCAATGCTATTCTCTTCTATTGTAATTGTTAATTATTTTGATGGTTAGCGTCTTTTTACCTTTCGTTTTGCAGTTAAAGGATGTAGTGGAGTCACTTTTCGAGCTATGGAATCTGATGGACACACCTCAAGAAGAAAGAATGAAATTCGCAGGAGTCAGTTATGCTGTAAGATCATCTGAATCTGATATCACCGAGCAAAGCATCCTTTCTACTGAAACAATTGAACAGGTTACGACAAAAGCTCTTTTTTTACCAATTTTGATTGCCAATAATCTCATTCAGGATCTCTGAGTTTCTTGTCTTTTTACATTAGGTGTCTGCAGAAGTAGACCGTTTCAATAAGCTGAAATCTAGCAGAATGAAGGAGCTTGTAATGAAAAGAAGGTCTGAGTTGGAGAACCTTTGCAGATTGGCTCACATTGAACCCGACACAAGCACATCTCTTGAGAAATCAACTGCTTTGATCGATTCTGGTAATGATTGATAAGAGTTTATCTTCTTCTCAGAAATATGAGTAGCTGATTTTCTTGCTGAAACCTCTATTAAGAAAGATCTCCTCATTTTTCTTCAGGATTAGTGGACCCTTCAGAGCTTCTTGCCAACATCGAAATGCAGATAAACAAAATCAAAGACGAGGCACAGAGTCGGAAAGATATAATCGATAGAATTGACCGCTGGCTATCTGCATGCGAAGAGGAAAACTGGCTAGAAGAATACAATCAGGTAAACTGAGAAATATTTTTTCCTTGAAAAATCTGACTAATGGGTTTGATGAAGGATGTGTCTGAGAAGTTACCTAACTTCTGTGGTTTCAGGATGAGAACCGGTATAGTGCTGGAAGAGGTGGGCATGTAAACCTAAAGCACGCAGAACGAGCTCGGGTTACAGTAAACAAGATTCCATGTATGTTCATGTCTCTTTCCATTAAAGATTCAGAGGAGTTCTTTAGCTTATTATATATTATTCCTTTGTTTGTTGTTTTCTGCAGCAATGGTAGACAATCTCATCAAGAAAACGCTTTTATGGGAGGACCAAACACAGAAGTCATTTCTATATGATGGTGTAAGTAAAGGTAACTTTTAAACATTTTACAATCCAAAGCTCTCTCCTTCTGATTACGGTTACTCGTTTCATCCAGGTTCGACTGGTCTCCATACTTGAAGATTACAAACTGACAAGGAAACAACAAGAAGAGGAAAAGAAACGATACCGGGTTTGTCAAAATGATATCTTTTATATAACCCTTTTTAAGATTTGTAATGTGGCATGCATGTTGAAACGAACTTATCATATCCTCTGCAGGATCAAAAGAAGATGCAGGATCTGATAATAAACCGGAGGGAATCCATATATGGATCAAAACCAAGTCCAAGAAGAAGCAGCAGCATTAAAAAGCCCAACGGGTACAATGGGAATGTATCGGTGCCTCCTACGCCTCGAAGAAACTCAGCCGGAGCAACAAATACCGACAGTATGACCCCAAGATCTTACTCGGGTCATCATCGTCAAAACGGATATTTCAAGGAAGTGAGGGGACTCTCTACAAGTACAGCTCCTCTAAACTTTGTGGCTTTACCAAAGGAAGATTCTGTCTCTACATACACTTCGGTTTGCGGCTCTGAACCAGATTCACCGTTACGAAACTGAGTCTCTCATATGGTCCGGTTAACTGTATAGTTGAAGCATATGATGAACTCGAAATGGAGGAGTTGGGAAATAGAGATGAATGTAATCAAAAAGGAGGAGTTACTGATTCAGATCAAGTAATTGTAGACAAATTAGTGTGTTGGTATGTGTTTGACTTTTGTGACTGACTTTAGTATGATAGACAAGTTGAAAATTGATGGATGTTATGTTCTTATAGTAGCTTCAAGATTGTCTTTTAGTTTCATGTTTTTGGGTGTGTTGTTCAATTTGTGTGAATGTGTGTATATATACGATGTTGTTCGTTTGATTGAAGGAAGTTAAACACATACAAACAACTCCTGAATCTTCCGTTAAATTCTCTCCGAAGCACGCCAAATTCCTCGAAGCTCTTCGGTTGTGAGTAATCATTTAAAGTCGCCTCTTCTTCTTCTTTAGTCTTGAACGATCTTCACTAACTTTCACAGTGCAGTCATATGGAAAAGGAAAAAAATTGTCAGATATAATGGACCTAATGAGCTTTCTAAATGAAGTTGTTATTGGGCTTGAAATGCCAACAAAAACCTATAACCCTTCGTGGCCCATATATTAATAAAATTCTGAATGTATCATAGATTTCATTCTGAATACCCATTAGACCCTTGGTTAATTGAAAAGAAACAAATCTACAGAGAAGATGAACATCTCTAATAATATATGGGCCACAATATATTCAAAATTTTATTAATATTTATTTTAACTATATGAGTTTCTGATTTTCTAAAAAAAACAAGTTTCATATAATTTGTTTTAAATAAATATTTCTAAAAAGAACTATAACAACTTTTATTGACTTTGATGACATATATAATATTTAGCAACAAAGCTCAAAATAATTAGAAAACTACAAACTGTGTTATTTCTGTCACTAATTGTCTTTTCATCATTACAAAAATTCAAAATACGATTATATTAGTGCTAAATAATAAATTAGTTGTCCTTTTTAAATTTTTTTCCATAATGTTCAAGGGTAAAAACCAAGTACAAGTATGTCTTTATTGTTATCACTGTCCGTCGTTGTTAACGTCGTTAGTCCTTTATTCAACTTAAAAAGCTACAGTATTCTGATTGGTTAACAGTACTGTAATGACCATAAATAAAACGTCAGCTAGTTGTCTTGTCAAAACTCAACACCCACCGACGCAAAAGTAAGAATAATAAAAGGCAATTAAGGAGCCTGAAAGCAGTAGTTAAGGAGACCTCAAAATCTAAATCAAACAATAAACACTAGTTATAGTAAAAAGCTATTCCATTAAAATAAGAGATTAAGGATTGGCAAGAGGAACGACACAAGGGGTGAAAATGAAATGAAACTAAATTATACTAGTAAGTCTAGTATCAATTAAGGGTCTAATTAATTAGTGATAAAACTTTTTGTTATTGTTAACCCAAGTCTTAAAAAGATAACGAGAAACACCAATCCCTTCGCAGAAGACTCTTATCTCTTCTCTAATCGCTCTCTTATCCTTCAACGTCCATCCTAGCTTCACCGCGTAATCTCTCATCGCCTCCTTTTGCTCCGCCGTGAACTTCGACTTCCTCCGCCGCTTCACTGTCATCATCTCTTCCGTCGAAGTCTCCTCCGTGTCCTCCTCTTCCTCCTCTTCTTCTCTCTCTTCCGTCGCTCTCCATTTCAACCTCGCGAGCTGCTTCACGCGCCTCAAGCTCGTGAACGGGAACGGCGCGCGAGTAATTTGACCAGAAGATTTGACGTCGATACGACGGTGGTAGCTCCGGTGACAGCCACAGGCGGCGCAGAGATCACCGGTGGCTGGTTGAGAGTACTCGCGGCAGCCGTCGACGGCGTAAGAGCCGAGCTTCGCCGCGTGGTTGCGCATGCATTCACTGTAGACACAAGAACTCTGCATCTCTCCTTCTATCTTATTACAGACTAAAGAGGGGTTTTGATTTTTTGAGTAATAGTAAATTTGGTTTTAGGCTTTGGTTTTGGTTAAGATATGATGTTGTTTGTGTCAGAATGAGTTGGGAGTTACAAAAAGGCAAAATCTATTGTTACAATTACTACCTTAAGATTTTGTACTTATATGTTTATTAGGTGTCATAATAAATGTGAAAAACCCACTTTTGAACTGTTTCACTGGCTTTGCTTTTACAACCAATAATTTTCAATATTGATTTCATATCTTCAGCTCATGAAGTTGTCATCTACCCATAATTTTTGTTGGTAGCCAATTAGCCATGTTTTAAGTAGTGCAGTAAAAATGGTTTTGCTAGCTTATAAACTAAAATAGTGTAGTTCAACACATTAAGAGATTGGAGAAATCTATTGTTACAATTAATACAGTTGATTTCTAAAATTTTAATGGCTTGGAATTATACTAATAAAAACTTATAAACAAATCTAACAAGTGAAACTATGCTTTATAGTAGTTAAATATATTAAGACTTAAGAGACAGTAAGGAATAGTATTTTTCAAAAATTTAATAGTAATGAATAAGTTTGGATGGTATGAGAGAGGTCACAAAAATATTCATGATTGAGAAAAAAATTCATCATTTTAACAAAGTAGATGACACTACTAACAGTGAAAGGAGAGATCAAATTTTTAAGCATTTACGTTACATTTAAAAGAAAAAGCTTGAAACGCCATTCTTCTTTAGATGTTTAGCAAAATCGCTTATGTTTTTTCATACTCTTGCGTGACCACGCTGACCCACAAGTTGCATATCTTCGCCGTATGTTTATTGTCTACTTTATTTGCTTGTGTAATTTAGCAAACTAAACGGTTAGTTTATGTTTAAATGATTCCATTCACACCCATAATTAGGGCTAAGAACATTAGATTTCCACAATGTACAGAAAAAGTCCATAAACTGACTTCATCTCTTTGATCTTTTTTCTCAAACCATACTAAGATATACTACTAACAGTATAAACTTCAGCCAATATAAAATAACCTTGTTTCGAGTTAGTCCAAAACAAATTATACCAACATACTCATCAAAACCGACCGAATCAAGTCAAGAACCGTTACACATAATAATAAAACAGAATTAGAACATTCGAAGAAGATCATTACCGAATAAAGCAACACGAAAGAGAGGAAACCAAAAAAAAAACATAGATTTCTTAATTTTAGCTTATTCTTATCTAATTCGTTGTAATCCAGCAAAGAATTTTGACCTTGAAGAAAAACAGATTGGGTTTGCAGAAATTATAAAGAGTGAAAGAGAATAATAATTTGTTTTTCAAAAAAAAAAACCGGAGATGAAGCTATGGAAACGAGCCGCCGTAGCTCTCAAGGACGGAAGTAGTCTCATAGCGGCGGCGGATGACATTCTCACGGCGGCCGTCGTGAAAGCCACAAGCCACGACGAGTTCACGATCGATACAGAGAACGCTCTGTTCATCTACCGTCACGTCCGCGCCAACCCCACGAGCCTCAGGCCGCTAATACAAGCCATCTCATCACGCGTGAAACGCACGCGCAGCTGGGCGGTAGCATTGAAAGGCCTGATGCTAATGCACGGCTTCTTCCTCTGCAAAACCACGGCGGCGGAATCGATCGGACGGCTACCGTTCGATCTCTCTGCTTTCGGCGAAGGTAGTTCTCGGATGAGCAGATCCGGTGGGTTTAACCTCTTCGTACGCGCTTACTTCGCGTTTCTCGATAGAAGATCGATCCTATTCCACGGTGGTGGGAATCGTCATCGTTACGACGAAGAATCGTCCGTCATGATCAGGCTCGTGATCATCCGTAAGATGCAGATTATTGTGGATTCGCTGATTCGAATCAAACCGATCGGGGAAAACATGAAGATACCTCTGATTAACGAGGCCATGGAGAACGTGATCAGCGAGATTTTGGAGATCTACGGTTGGATCTGTCGCCGGATCGGGGAAGTGTTGCCGAGTGTACACTCGAAATCCGGGAAACATCAGGCGGGGATGGCTCTGAAGATCGTCGCTAAATCTATATCGCAGGGAGAAGAACTTTACAAGTATTTCGAGTTTTGCAGAGATCTCGGAGTCTCGAATGCTCAGGAGATGCCCAATTTCGTACGGATTCCTGAAGCGGACGTGATGCATCTCGATGAACTCGTACGGACGGAGGAAGCAACGACGGAGACCGATTCGTGTGAGGATAGTTCGGAGATGATAAAGGATGTAGAAGAAGAAGAAGACGAAGAAGAAGAAGGAGAAGAGTCTTATGATCTGATAACACTTGATCAGAACGACTACTCAGCTGCTCCTCCTCCCATAGTTGATATTCCAGACTTAATTAGCCTCTAATTATATGTTTATTTTCTGTATTAGTTGAATTTGGAGTCCAAATTCATATTAATTTCGTGATTCTAACAACTTATCATCAAAGGTTGAACACACGTTGATGATTAGATCTGTATATAAACATGTCAAAGTTGTTTACATATATTGTAAGTTTAACAATATATTCGCGATCATAAATCAATTTGAAATAAGTGGAAATATCAGTTAAGACCAATAAAAAAAAACGACATGGTACGAACATAGTAATTATTATTTGCTCAATTACAGTACTGGTAATCTGAAAAATAAAAACATTTAATTGAAAAGAATATCTGTTACATGAGCTTACAAGTCAGTAAAATGTTTATAACAAAAGGAAACAAAAAAAAGGGACGAAAAAAAAGACTTCGCTGCAAGTTTTCTCAGACACCTACTTCTTCGGACAAACAAACAAACAGACTCCAAGCAAAATAAAGCGAAGGTATGATAATAAGAAGTAAAAACTGCTTCCAAACCCTAATACGAAGAAGGTTACCTGAAAACAGAATCAAACTCAGATTGCAGACTGAATTAAAAAAAAAAAAGGTCACAGATTTCAGAATTCTTGTATATGTACACGATCATTGTTGACTGATTCCATCCCGGAAGAGATCAGAAAAACCGCCGGTAATACTCTTCTTTTTTTGCTATCCCATTAAGTTTTACTAATCATCTGATCGTGACGAACTTGTTGGTACCATGTCTAGCCCAATGGCTCTTGAGATCAATCGGGTTCCCAAAGTTAAACCCATCAGAAGCAAGTTTCTCAAGAACCTTCTTAAACGCGCCTTGACTCATCTTCCTTCCCGAGATCCTCGCTCCACGGCGTTTAGTACTCATCGGCAAAGGATGCATCGATATGTTTGTGGTGCAACATGCAGATTGCCAACCACCACATCCCCAACGGTAACATTGCTGAGGAGCTCCAGTGCAAGTGCATATCGGTACAGGTAAACCGGAGATGTCCATGCTCACTCCGTTAATAACCAAGTCGACACTTTTCTTAGCCGGTTTCACTCTTGACACACTCGTGTTGTTGTTGTTGTTGCTGTTCTCCTCTTTTGGTTTCCGAGGCTTCTTAGCCTTTGTTGCCGTGCCAGCTTTTGAATTAGACTTCCTCTTCTTGGTCTGAACAATCTCTTCTTCGCATTTAACCGGGTTTACCTCGGTTTGATGATGATGATGATGATTGTGCAGGTTCATCTGCATCGACGGGGCTGATGAAGTTTCGGGAAGGACATTTCCGTAATGAGAAGTGGTTGTCACAGGCAGCATGTTGAAGAACTTGTCTTTCTGTTGGTTGATCCAATTGTAGCTCATGTGGATAGGAGGCTCTGGGTGGTGGTATGATCCGTTTGACCCGATCATTAGATTCGGGTCTCGACCGGGTAAGAAAGGTTTAGTGTTCCGATCAATGGATGACATTAGCTGCAAACCGAGATTACCTTTGAATGTAGCAGCCGCTGGTTCGTAGTAACCCCAATTGCGAAACCCATCGTCATCCATTTCTTAAGATCTACAAAAATGTCATTAAAACAAAAAAAAAAACGCAGTTATTTAAAAAGTTTCATATCACAAGAAACAAACAATCAGACATTTAGATCCAGAATCAGACAGAACAAGCCCAAAAGGTTTCTCAATTTAGCCATTTCTGAATTACGCAAAACTCCTTACATTTCTTATATCCAGCAACAATATTAACTCGTTAGAATTTCATAGGAAATCAGATCAGATCTTACATATACCCAGAACCAAAACTAGAGTCCCAACATCATTTGAGAGCATTTCCTTCCAGAAACCAACATGCAGATCCAGTAATGGTTTATAGATCTGGGGAAATCAGAGCTAGATCTAAGGAAACGGGACATGAATAAAGGATTTCCAAAGCCGAATTCTAAGAAACTCCTCAAAGATGATATTATATATTCCACGGAGAAAAGAATTTGAAACACAAAAAAAAGCGGGGGTACAGTAACACAAAAGGTCCCATTGTAAATTCGAAATTGAGAGATCTGAAGAAAGAGAGAGAGACATGTTAGATGGAAATGGATTAGGAGAGAGAAAACTTACATGAGACGAGGGGGTTAAACAAACGGGCTCTTTAAGGGAATTTTTTTGCCCTTCTGGAGAGAGAGGAGAGAGAAGCCTGAGAGAGATTGGGAAAGAGAAGGATGAGAGAGGAGAGAGAATATTAAGAAGATAAGAAAAGAGAGATCTGAAGAAAGGGAAAGGGTTTTATTTTAGTGGAAGAGAGAACCCTAAAAATTGCTACATTTCTAATTTTTTTAAGAAAAATATCTTCTAAATTAAAAACATCAAAAGGGCTTTTATCTTCTTCCTTCTTTTTTCTCCGCCTATGAAAGACTATTTTAATGTTTGGTCAGTGTAGGATAATAACACAAAAAATATATTAAGAAAGCCATTTGAGAAGAAGACAAAATCAAAGCCCACTCGTTGGTCTTTTTGACATCCTTTTTTAAAACAAAGAGATTGTTGTAATAAGACGAGGAAGAAAGATAATTGTGAACTTACTGAAAGCATTTGATAAAAAAAAAAACTCATTGAAAACATATAATATTCTTATCAAAATCTTTTATTGGTATTTTTGGTCTTAATCTGTATGTACATATGGATAGTGGATATAACATGTTTACTTGAGCCAATATATTTAGAAAAAAAACATATTCCGATTTTATTTGACCACTTAAAACACGGACGTTTTGAAAATGTATAATTGTATATTTTGTGTTTCAATGTGAGACTGCTTTGAAATCTCTTCTAAATCTCATATTTTATATTGTCCATTACTCATAGTTAGAGACTCAAAACCTTGTTTTCAAAACCGTGTCTCAGAGTCAGAGTCGTGTTTTAGAGTCGTGTTTAAGTAAATATTGATCAGAAGCAATGCTAATAAAATAATTTCTTTTATTTTTAAATATGAGTGTTCTCAATCTATTATTGAGAATTTTAATGATGAGAATTTGTTGAAATGTACAAATTTTGCATCATATTAAAAAAGGTATCAATAAAAATGAAATAAAATTAAGCAAAAGATAAAAATATAGATATCACAATTTAATGAATTTGGTGAATGTTAAAAAAGACAAACTACAACAATAATAAATTCAATAAATTGTTTATCCTAATATTACAATATTTTATTTTGTTTTATTTACTTTTTATTTTAAGGAGATTCACTTGATTCTTATTTTCACTTGAATAGATGCTAACCAATAATTGAACCTACTAAAAATAAATTAAAAAGGTAAAAAATTATCTATATGTAAATCTTGTCAAGAAAAGGTTCCCAAGTTTTTCTCAAAAAATTTTAGACCCTAGGCCTATGTTTCTTATATTATAACGTTATATTATAACGTGAGCACGGCTCTGCTTGTCCCTCACAAGTCACAACATTCCATTCCTGTTTTCTCTAAAAAAAAATAAGCTTGAATTGTGTTCACTGATTCTCAAAGTTATCAAACAGATTCAAATAGATATATATATTGCAAAATCGATCATCACTAGAATCACTACCTTATAAATCTATAATCTTGATAGGATATTACGCATCAACAGATCCGGGACTGCTCAAATCAACCCTCTTCTCAATCGGGCTGCTAATCATCTTAGGACTCTTTCTCTTGTTGGACTTGCTTCTCTCTGCAGAACAAACAGGGCTACATTGCTTCCACAACCTGCGATTTTCTTTATCCAACTCCCTGTTTTGCTCGCACACCAATTCTACTTCTTGCTCGGCTTTAGCCAGATTCAAGACGAGGCATTCTTTTTCCTTTTCAATCTTCTTCACCATTGAAACCAAAGACACAACTCTCTGCGTTGATGGCTTCAATTGATCCCATTTGCTCAACAGAGCTTGACAAGATTGGTCTTGAATGTTTGCCTCCAAGAAGCTACGCCCAATCACAGTTTCGTCTTTGCAAACAAACGATGCCAGAACTGAATCAACCAAAACATCTTCTTCTAACGACGTGGTTTTGTCAGATTCCATTCGAAGCTTCACTACATCAGACATCTTACTCACTTCTTCCTCTAACTCCCGAACCCTAGACTCTGCTTCTCTAGCCCTCTCGTCCGATTCGTTCCCGAAATCCATCAGTGCTTCACGATCTTGATGATAAAGGAAGCATTCTTTTTCCCACTTCTTACACTGGTTCACCAATTCCTCGCACTCACCTGCCAGTTTCTGATTCTCTTCTACGAACTTCTTCAACGCCTGCGCATTCATACTCGCTTCGGATCTAACGAGTTCGATTACTTGGTCTTTCTCTTTCAATCTGGAAACCAGTGACAAGTACTGTTCACGGAGACGACGCTGAGATTCTTCTGCCGTACATAGTTTCTTCTGGAGAGCGTCCATGGAGATCGGAATCCCCAAAGAGTGATCGATAGTCTCTTTGATATAGTCCTCGACATCTCGCGAAAGGGCCATTGTGGGTTGATCCAAAAGAAAACTCAGAATCAACACAAAGAAAAAACGCACAGAGAATTCGTTCGTTCGCTCGCTGAAGAATTCTAGGGTTCCTTGGTTCTTTTTGGTTCCTTGGTTCAAAAAGAGGATCTGTAATTCAAACTTGAAGAGGTTCTATTTGTTTGATTAACCCTTTTATTGTTGGGCCGATGCTTTTAGCCCATGAAATTTTACTTAATTATCTCCATGAACCAAATAAAATCCTTAATTTGATCTTCTAATTGGATCCGGTTTCTTAAATTCAATATTAATATATTTAGTTGTTGAAGAAAAAAGACACAGCGAGTGTTCATAAGGGAAAAATAAGAGTTATGGCTATTATTAGATACAAAGAGACTCCAATAAAGCAGTGAAAAAGGTATTTTCGTCTTTTACAATACGTAAAAATATATGGAAATTGGATACAAGTAATTTAATTTCTGTAGCTCAAAATAAAGAGAGAAGAAGAGAGACTCACCTAAAGTAAAACCTCTACTGAGAAGGATGCTATTTTAAGAAAATAATCAGACATTTGTCTTGTGTCTCTCTTCTTTCGAACAAGTTATCTCTTTGTCCTCTTTGTTCTAGCAAAATTCGTGAGGCAGAAGAAGAAGAAAACCAACGTAAGAAGATTGGTGTAAAGACTTCTTACTCGCATTTGATCGACCGATAAATGTGACGGACGAAAAGGAGAGCTGCGCGGAAGCCAACAGTCCCAAGCATTAAGAAGAATCCGTAGCAAATGCAAGCCATGTATCCGAAGAAAAACGATGTTTGCATAAAACCCGACATGTCTGATCGCGCGTAGTAATAGTATAAGCAGTACGCGTAGATAAACAAACCGGTCGATCCACCGCATAGGAATGATCTGCAAATAGATTTTTAGAATCAGACTCAGGAGCTAATGACCAGAGAGAAAGAGTAGAGACAGTGAACCATGTTTAACGAACCTCCACCACCATTGGTGATCTTCAGCAGCGAGTTGGAAGTAAGTCAAGGCGACGGTTATGAAAGCAGTCACGATGATGAGAATGATGAAGACGATGAAGAGGATGCTGTAGATGGTGTAGATCCGGTGACCCCAGACACTAGCGAAAATGTAGTAAAGCTCGATGTAGATGGCACTGAAAGGAAGAAAACCAGCCATGGCCATCTGAGGAACAGCGCTTCTGTACCAAGGGAGTGGCGGAATCTCACGGGGATATTTGGTTGTGCGGCATGGTGCTTGGAACTCTGCTTTGCTGTTTTTACCAGCAATACCACCTAACACGAGTAAAGGCGATGTGACTAGAGTCCATATTAGGACAATTACCACGATGGTACCAAAGGGTAATGCTGCGGTTGCAGTGTAGGTGATCGCTACGGTGTTAAGGAAGCAAAAGGTTAGGAATAAAGGCCCACAGAAGAGACATCCAGTGAGTAACAAGTTTCTCACCTGCAATAAGGTGAAAAAAATGAAAAGTTGTTAAGCTGTGGTTAACAATAATTATGAAAAAGGGTGTTATGTGTAAATAGTTTACCCAGCTTTTGCCTTCAAGTTGGCAGTAGAAAGAGGCGGATGTGTATCCAGCGATTCCAGAAGTTAGAGCGTAAATGACCACCAAAGCGGTAAAGAGTGCTCCTCGGTTGTATGGATAGAAAACTCCAACAAGAGCAAGCATGAAAATGAATATGGTGCTGATGGAGTGGAAGAAAAGGAAAGCTACTGTCAGTGAAAGAAATGCAGATATGCACAGAAGTTATCCGGATGTAAGAAATACTCGTGTCAACTGGGACTTACAGAGTGAACAACTGGGTACCACTACCAAGTGATGCGGCAAACAAAGAATTGTGCGTTGGGAATCTAAACACATCGCCATGAATGTACTTCCATCCAGTTTCTTCTTGATCATCAGCAGCCTCCTCGTCTTGAGCATACCTTTCATGCATGGGAAACAAGTTCAGATGAGATAAGGAAGTGTAAAACAGTCGACGGTGAGGTGTGGGGAGTAACTTAAAACTTACTTCATGAAATCATTCTTAAGGACTCGCATCAAGATAGTTGCAAGGAATCCAGTCAACAAAAGGACAGTGACGCAGGAGTTTATGATGGAGAACCAGTGGATTTCCAAGTGATGTGGTAGAGAAGAAGACATAGAGTACTTCTCCATCCTTTTCTCAAACGGAGTCTCGGTTTCCTTCCACTTCACAGTGTACATAAACTCTGCATCAACTTCCTTGTCCTCAGTGAGATCCACAAGCGAATGAGGATCCATTCTGGCACTGATTTCGATCACACGGTCTTTGTTGTATAGAATTTCAAACTGGATGTGCTTGTACAGGAAATATTTGTATTCACTCGGATCAGATTTGATATCCTTGTCAACCTTTCCAATGAATCCCCAGATAGGCAGATCATCATAATACATCTGGAAGTAGTAGTCCTTCTCGACAGCCTTTCGGAACTGTTTGACCTCTTCTTTACTAAGCTTCTTTTTGCAGTACACTTCAGACTCTTTTTCATCTCTGAAGTTGAGCTTGTACGGAGCACTAACAAGCCGATCACCATTCAGAACCTCACCAAGAGCTTCTTTCTTCTCTTTCACACCCTCTACAAACCAAAATCAATAGGATCAGACAAAAAAAAACAAGATCACAACATACATTACGATTATACCATCCAGGATCAAAATAAACACCAAATTGTGAAATGTGAAAGGTAAATACTTTGAGCTATTTAAGTTGCAGCAAAGACCAAATTCAAATTACTAATCAAACTTTCTGAATTAAGAAGAATGCTATATAAGAATAACACAAATCGTTGTGATCGATCAAGGAAGATGAATGCATACCTGGGACACAGAAGGGAAGATCAAAATACCGATACGTCTCACTGCAATCATCGTCGAACAAAACCGAAATCAGTTATATAGTATTCAAATCTAAAGATAAATCCATCACACACGAAAACACTCCAAATGTACTTCTTCTTTCGCTCCCTGGATTTACATTACATTACACACTTTAAAGTGTACTCGAATTTCAATCTATCGGCGGGCAATTCAACAGCAACAAAATTAATAGCAATCGAAGCTTTACATCAATCGCATGTGTAATCAACAATACAATCTCAGATCTGAAGTTCAGATCTAGAAAAAAAATTACCAAATCTGACGCGCCAGGAGAATAAGATAATATTTACCTTGGGTTGTGAAATGGGCCGACCTTGTTGGCGTAGAGAGGAACGGTGTCTCCTTCCTTGTAACGGTGGTCTGATGCGTCGGATCTGACATAGCCGGCGCCGGAAAAGATGAGAGCTCCGACAAAGAGGAGCAGCAGCGTCGGTGTCCTCATTGTGTTTTCTCCTCCAAATCGTGAGATCTGAGTTTGTTTTTTATTTCGAAGAATGATAAATGGAGGAAATAACGACGATATTTATATACCAGACTTCAATCAAACTCGAGTCAGCTCTGTATTTCTTAAGAATAATAAACTCTTTTAAAAGGTTAACATAGTAAAATACATAAAAATAAATGCGTAAACTTGGTAAACTTTTTGAATTTCATTTTGTACGAACATCTTAAGGTTCTTAACTAACTGAGGAGTTGTGATAAATAACGACGATATTTATATACCAGATTTCAATCAAACTCGAGTCAGCTCTGTATTTCTTAAGAATAATAAACTCTTTAAAAAGGTTAACATAGTAAAAATACATAAAAATAAATGCGTAAACTTGGTAAACTTTTTGAATTTCATTTTGTAAGAACATCTTAAGATTCTTAACTAATTGAGGAGTTGTGATAGAAGCACATGAAAATTATGTAGAGATTTATATCAAATATGGTTTTTTTAGAATAGAAACTAGGACTCATTTTCCGTAATACATACATATTCAGCTTTTAATATTCGGATGTTTAATCGATGAAATTAAACAACGCAATTTGGAACATGTTCAACTTGAAGCCAATGTTCAATTATACTACACTCAAAGCATTTTCCAAAACATAGGCAGTGGGCGAATTTATTTATTCCGCCAAACCTATTTTTTATTTAATAAGTAACTAACTCTCGTTGTGTCAACATGCACTAATCTTCAGTACGTAACTATTTTTATATATTTTAGGGAAGATGAAGAATGTGGGGGCTTTTTTTTGTTAGAGAAGATGAAGAATGAGGGTTGATTTTACATGATTTTACATTATAAATAATTAAATTACTTTTTAATTATACGTGCGTTATACATACATCAATTGTTTTGCATGATCCCCTTTGGCATTCGCACGTCATGATCATAGAATCATAGAAACTCATTAAACAAATTCAAAACGTCGTTCATAAATACACAACGTGCATCGTTTTATGCTGCAAGAATAATTAAAGGTTTTTCATTTTATAAGAACCAGTGGCAGCGAGAAACATTTACAGTATCCAACTGGTTTCGATTTTTTTTTTGTTTTTGTTTATATATGCATTTTCATTCATACTTTCGGACGTATTTAAATGGTTTAGTGCCAATAAGCCAGCCAACAATATATTTGCTAACTCCAGATATACTTAGGAAAAATTAATATTTGAACAAGCTCTATGAAAGCGGAACAAACAAACAAAAATGATACTGGTTAGAGTGGTTAGCGTTTTTTCAATTGATATGTTGTTAGATGTAATCATATTTCTTTCATATTCTTTTCTTTAGAATCTCATATGTAAAGAAAACAGTTTTTTTTTAATCTAATTTAACATATTTAAAAAAAAAAAATCGGTACCTTTCATTTGAAGGGGGAAACTTGGTTGATTCAGTAAGAAATACGAATTAGTTATAAATTCATATCTAAGAAAGCAGAAACCAAATTAAAATGTATATTTCCTCAGTTCTCTTCAAATTAATCATATAATTTTATAAAAACTAGACCAAAACCGAAACTGAAACCTGTCAAACCAATGCAGACTAGTAGATTCAATCCCAGTTTTGTTGTTTTGTACTTCTTTCAGCTGAAACCTCATAAACCATACGAAAAACCGATATGTAAATACTATTAAGACAAACCAATTTCGGTTCGGTCTCTATTAGATTTGATATTTCTGGTTCATTAAATTAATTTCGGTTCGATTGTTTTATTTTGTTTCCGTAAGACACAAAACTGCATCATTAGAAGAAGAAGAAGGAGATGACAAGTATAATCGACGCGGCGGTGCCGTACAGGTCACCGGAGAAAGCAATTTCTTCATCTTCGTATCCAGCCGATAGTGCTTCGGGTCCTGTGGACGCTGTTATCTTTGCCGGGATTTCGCTGGTTCTGGGCACAGCCTGCAGACAATTGTTTAATGGCACCAGAGTACCGTACACCGTCGTCCTCCTCGTCATCGGCATTGTTCTCGGGTCTCTAGGTTTGATTTATATGCTCTTTTATCCCTCTATATGATGATTTTCCTTCGAATTTCCGGGAAACATGAAGCCGACGTGAGAAATTGAGTTTCCTCATGCGTGGGTTTTGAATTGACGTGTGTTTTCAATTTGTTGCTGCTTGTTTGTTTCCAATATCAACAGCTCATTTAAGTTTCATGGAAGAATAGGAAACATGACTGTAGTTGAATATGGATTTGCTTGTTCTGCTTTTAAAGCCAGTTATCTCCTTCTGCAGAATATGGAACAAATCATAACCTCGGGAAGATGGGCCATGGAATTCGTATCTGTAAGCTTTTGGATTACGAGCTGTAAATAATTGCAGTTCAGAATATTTGCAGCAGCAATGAAATGACCCTGGCGTTTTTTTTGGACAGGGAATGATATTAACTCTGACCTACTTTTGGCCGTTTTTCTCCCTGCTCTTCTTTTCGAGAGCTCATTCTCCATGGATGTGCACCAGATTAAGGTTTTTCTATGGCGTTTAACTTTCCTTAAGACTGTGCTTTGAGGTTATTCTTTGTGTTTTTGGCTCTTGTTATTGATTGTCTACATCATTTCCAGAGATGCCTTGGACAAATGGTTCTGCTTGCTGGCCCTGGAGTCTTAATTTCCACATTTTGTATTGGATCTTTTTTGAAGGTATGAGTTAGATATGGACATGCAGACCGTGAACCTTGAGTGACTATCTATTAGGCTGTAACTGTCTTCTGCTCTTGTAGCTCTCTTTTCCATATAACTGGGACTGGAAAACATCATTGTTGCTTGGAGGACTTTTAGGTGCTACCGACCCTGTGGCTGTTGTTGCTCTGCTAAAAGAGCTTGGTGCTAGTAAGAAGCTGACCACTATAATTGACGGGGAATCCCTGATGAATGACGGGTAATCATGTCAATCTTTTCCAATCATTTAAACTCCTATGTCTAGCATCAAGGTGATTCTATGTCATAATTTTCTTATGAATTCAGGGTATCAGTTGTGGTCTTTCAGTTATTCTTCAGGATGGTGATGGGGAATAACTCTGATTGGGGTTCCATAATAAAATTTCTTGTTCAAAACTCGTTTGGAGCGTATGAATTCTTGTTGTTCCCTTTGTTAGTGACATTGTGTGTCAGTGCCTTTTTCTCTGATTATGTTGTTTGGTTCTGTTTTTTTAGTGTAGGCATTGGTATAGCTTTTGGCATTGCATCAGTTCTTTGGCTTAGATTCGTGTTCAATGACATTGTTGTTCAGATCACTGTAACGCTTTCAGTGAGCTATTTCGCATATTACACTGTATGCTCTTTTCCACACCTAAATATCCAACATTGCGAGAATCCTAGATCTCTAGAAAACCTAAGACTGAGAGTTTTCTGCCATGTACAGGCTCAAGAATGGGCTGGGGTTTCTGGCATTTTGACTGTGATGACTTTGGGGATGTAAGTGATGGTGAATTATCCCTTCTTTGTTTTGTTATTGTATGAAAAACGTCATTTTTGGTATAATAATTGTAATAGGTTTTTCGCTGCATTTGCAAGGACAGCATTTAAGGGTGACAATCACCAGAGTTTGCATCACTTCTGGTATTTTACAACTCAGAGTTCTTTTGTTCATTAATCATCATAAGTGAGGAAATTTTTAATATAATGCAAGTATATGACTGTCATCTTAATTTTGTAGGGAAATGGTCGCTTATATTGCAAACACATTAGTTTTTATACTCAGGTACGAAGTATCTGGAAATATTCCTTTTTTTTTTGGTCAATTCGTGTAGCTGGAAATATTCAAACATAGAAAGTTACTCTGATATTTTGCCAAGGAAAAACAACTATATTTTCTCTATCGGTTCTCCAGCACAACGCTTGGTATATTGCAGTCAATGTTTTAGCCAATTGATAGAATTACATTGAATTTGTTTCTCTTGTGAATTGCAGTGGTGTTATTATCGCTGAAGGCGTTCTTAGCAGTCAGAAATATTCTTACGAAGGTGCCCCTTCACGTTTGATGTCCGGAATTTTGGTTTTTGTTCTGTTTTAGACTATATAAACAGAAGTTTCCCCTACAGTTTGGTATAATTTATCTCTAATTGTCATAATTATTTTGACTTTGGAGAAGATGACGTGATTAGCATTTAGTTCCTGATATTATTCCCCCAGTAGCTTTGTTTTTTACATATATATTAGGTCTAAGGAACATTCATGACTCATTAGTTACTTCTCAGGAAACTCGTGGGGCTTTCTTTTCCTCTTATACTTGTATGTCCAACTTTCCCGTTGTGTTGTGGTCGGAGTTTTGTACCCATTGCTACGTCGTTTTGGCTATGGCTTGAATTGGAAAGAATCCATCATACTCACGTGGTCTGGATTAAGGGGTGCTGTGTCCCTATCACTCGCTCTATCTGTAAAAGTGAGTTCTGGAAAAATGGTTGTTTTATTCATTCAAGAGAAATATATACTAATTATCTGGTTGGTTACCTCTTTCCGTATCTTTTATATTCCTGTCATAAAATTCAGCAATCAAGTGGCAATTCGTATCTCAGTTCGGAGACAGGAACAAGAGTGAGTTTCGAAACACTTAATGAAGTACTTTTGCCTGTCTTTTTTGGAGATTCGTTTTGTTATCTTGATGTGTTCAGCTATTTTGCAGTTTCTATTCTTCACTGGTGGGATTGTTTTCCTAACTTTGGTCGTTAATGGATCCACTACCCAATTACTCTTGCACCTTCTTCACATGGACACTTTAACAGCCACCAAGGTCAGGACTTTAATCCTATTTCCTCTTGTTCTGGTACTTTTCATATTTAAGATGCAAATACTATGGTAGATGGTGGAACCTCTGATCATCTGTGTTTGTGCTCATACATGCACAAGTGACTGCACCCTTCTGTTAGTACGACTACATTATCTTAGGTTTGTATTTCTATCAACCGGTAATAGGTAGTTAGATTGGATTGGACCTGATTCGGAATCCATCACTGACCCTTGAAATGTACATGCCCCGTAATGTTTGCAATTATTGCTACCGAAATAGAATGATTATATCTGCTCCTCTGGTTTGTGTTTTTCTTTTGACAGAAACGAATATTGGAGCATACAAAGTGTGAAATGATGAAAACCGCGTTAAATGCTTTTGAAAATCTAGGAGATGATGAGGAGCTTGGATCTGCTGATTGGCAAACAGTTATAAGACATATTTCTTGTTTGAGAGATTTAGAAGTTAATCCTCGCAATGGGTGTGAAGCAGGAAATCTGGACCCTACGAATATAATGGACATACGTATACGCTTCTTAAATGGTATTTAACAATGCGTATCAAAATATTCTAGTTGTCAGATTATTGTCGCTCCAAAACTAGCTATTGATTCGAGACTCTTTTCTGTATCAGGTGTCCAGGCAGCTTACTGGGAGTTGCTTGATGATGGGAGAATAACACACAGTACTTCCAATGTTTTGATGCAATCAGTAGATGAGGCACTCGACCTTGTTTATACAGAGTCTTTATGCGATTGGAGAGGTTTAAAAACGTGTGTTCGTTTCCCAAATTACTACTACAAGTTTCTGAAATCAAGAATCATTCCCCGCAAGTTGGTCACTTATTTAATCGTTGAAAGACTGGAATCTGCTTGTTACATTTCCTCTGCATTTCTCCGTGCCCATAGGACTGCGCGACAACAAATGCATGACTTTCTAGGTACGCATCGCTGTCTGTTATATCTCACTTTTAATATTTGTTAAGCCTCTGATAACATTTGAGAAATAGAGACAAAAAATTTACCGTTTATCTTTACCTGTGTGATGTGAACCTCAAATGAAAACCTTTGCTCCATCATTTACTCTTGTCATATTATCTTCCTTTGCGCAGGTAACAGTGACATTGCTTCTACTGTAATCAACGAGAGTGAGGTGGAAGGAGAGGAAGCAAAACAGTTCTTGGAAGATGTCCGTGATTCATTTCCTGAGGTTCGAAACCATATGTTTTCTTGAAACCTTTGCCAGTGTTGGTTTGTATGCTCGTAATACATGTAACTTGTGGGCGTCCAGGTTCTGAGTGTTTTGAAAACGAGACAAGTAACACATTATGTGCTGAATCATCTAAATGGTTATATCAAAAACCTTGAGAAGGTTGGGCTGTTAGAAGGAAAAGAGGTTTCTCATCTTCATGATGCTGTCCAGGTACCCACCAACTTAAGATTCTTGGTCCTCAATGTTTTTGCCAGATATTTTATTTATCTCTCTTTCGCTTACTCTTCAGTCTGACTTGAAGAAGCTCCTGAGAAATCCTCCTTTACTAAAGCTTGCAAATGTAAACGATTTGATCGCCACCAATCCTTTACTGAGAGCTCTATGAGCAATGTGGCTCAAGCTTCAAGGAGTTTTGTCATGGACGAGAGTTAGATTCATGAACCTTTCGTGTCGGCTCATGATTCAAGTAACGAAGACTTAAGGTTTTCTTGTCAGAATCAACTCGAGGAGGAGAGTCAGATTCAGGACCGAGTCAGGAACTCGTTCGTAATTTCAAGATCGAGTTCGTGAACTCGTTAGTATAGTTTTACTTGTAGAGAAAATGTTTTGAGGGAAAATTGTAAAATAGAATTTGGTGAGTTTTTCTCCCGTAGCAAATCAATCATTTGTATAAAGCTAGTTTTAGAATCTTTCTACCGAGATCGACCAACCACGTCATCCCAAATCACAAAGATCCAATTTGTTTACCAATAGTAGAGTTTTTTATTTTATTTTTTGAAATCCGCCTCAATTCCAATAAATATATCCGAAAGAGTATTAGTTGACAGAAAAAAAAACAAAAACAAATCAATGTACCTACAATTCTTTTTGCCCACAAATCTATAACCTTTGATAAAGTTCATAATCGAAAATTCACTTTTTGTTTCATACCAATGATTAAAAAAGCAAATAGTATATCATATTTTCATTATTGCTTGAAAGCACGGTTCTTTTATTTATTAATTAATCATATAAACAGATTGAAACAAATACAGTATCTACAGGCAAAAAAAAAAGAAAGAAAGAGATATCAAAGCAATGGTTTATTTAATTCGGAAAAGGGCAAAAAATATTAATGATAACAAAACGCAAACCCGGTCGCTCCCTAAGCCAAAAAAACGCGTTAACTTGGTACCAAAGAAAGAAAGTCTACGACCACTTCAAACTCTGAACAGTAACACTTTAAAACTAAACCTACTATATTAATCACTCATATATGTGCAGCAAATATAGATTTTCAAATGATAAATGAAATTTATAAGAAGCAAAAAATAAGAACGAGCCAACGCGTCTTGAGGAACTTCACGCGGTCTCGTATCTCTCCAACGCTTCACTCTATATTAGATTCTCGTCGGCAGTTCCAGCTTGCAAACACATCATCATCTCTGCTACTAAACTAAACCAAACCGAAATAAACCGGGCGAGAGAAAGAAAATGGTTGGAAGAGAAGCTTGTCTAGTCCCAAAGAGAGGAGAAGTCCTTAGACGAGTTCTGAGAGTTGTTTTCTTTTCTTGTATTTGTTTCTCTTCCCGAAAAAATAGACAGTCTAGTCTCCAATCATCTTCTTTGGTCACACCTTCTCTTGAAGTCATCAAGCACTAAAGAACCTTTTTTTAAGAACAAACCAAACCCAAAAAAGGATGAAATTAAACCCTACTCTCTTTTCTTTTTCAACTTGTTTCTTGATAAAGAGTCAAAGACCACAGGATACAGTATGGTTTCAGAGGGGATTTCAAAATGTTGTAGAAGTTCATGCATAAGTTAATTTGCTTTTGTGGCTTACTTTATCTCTCTGTCATTTAGTTTCAAAGATTCTCCATTTATTCTAATGTTGTCTAATACAATCTTATGTATATTACTATATTGTATTTGTAGTCCAAAATCACTCATAATTTAAGCATGTGCTTGATTTCATACCCAGCGTGCAACCAGTATTCCATTCGAAGTAAACAATTGCTATCTGCAACATTCTAAACATCACATATCTAAAGAAGAGATTGTTTGATTTTTTCCCTCAAAATTACAGAGCCAAAACGTTACTAGCTGCAAATCCAAAACAAGCTTAAGTCAGTAAAAATCACTCTTCTTTATCTAAAACTCCATACATAGATGTGATGAGCCAAGAGTGTAAAGATGTGTGACCTAAAGAGAGAGCAGTACAAGATAGTTTTGGCCACCAATCTAAAACATCTATTAAAGAAGAGTAGAGAGATTAAACAGCCATATCTTTGCATCCACCAGCCGTCTCTCTATCTCTTTCTCCCACCACGTTCCCTCAAAGACAGCGTTAAGATTTCTCCAGCTCCAACATTGTAATGTGCAAGTGACATGTTGTCCTTTAAGAACCCGGCTTTTCCACTTAACTTCTGTTTGTTTGCTGGAATTTGTATTTCCCCAGCTATTTTCTCCTTCAAACTTCCCACGTTTTCAGATAAAGACTGCACTGTGATCTCAATGACTTGCCCGTCATCCGCATTTGGAACAGAGACCCTGATCGTAGCAGAACCCTGCATACATAGAAAACAATATATATATAAGACACAACTCAGAAGAAAGAAAACGAAAAAAAAAAAAAAAAGAATGACTGAACAGTTTATAGAGAACATTACCGGATGCTGAGCAAGAAACTGTTCTTCTGGAACAAGAGCAGACTCGTCGAACTTCTGTCTCTTTGGCTCTGGCTCCTCAGGAAGAGGCGGTGGTGCCTCCTCGGGTGGTGGAGGAGGAGGCATCCCAGGCATAGGTGGTGGCTGCATCATCCCCATCGAAGGCGGTTGAAGCTGACCATAAGGTCTCGGAACTTGAAGATGAGCAAACTGTGATCCCGGTGGAGGCGGTATAGGCATACCAGGCTGCATTTGTGGTGGTCGGTTCATCATCATCGACGGGTGTCCAGGTGGCCCGGGCATCGAGAGCTGGTGTTGTGGATGCATGGGTTGCATCATTGGAACACCTAATGGCCTCGGTGCACCTGGGTACTGAACAGAAGGAGGAGGGCGAGGGAGGTTCAAGGCGAGATTAGGAGGTGGTGGCAATGGTCGCACTGTTGGGACACCTGGTCGAGGAGGAGGAAGAGCAGCCGGACCAGGGAAGCTATTGGGATCTCCATAAACGCCATCACCTTGCTCCTCTCCATTAGCGTTCTGAGTCAAGGCTTGGTTTGCCGTGCGACCGATACTTCCAGTGTGACCATCCCATATTACTTGCTTCGGCTGCTCATCTTTCTTCTTCTCGATCTCTGCTTTTACAGCATTTGATACTTCTTCTTCAGTTGTTCCAAAGATGTCGGGACGCAGGCGGGCCAATCCGACTATGTTTTTAGCAATCTCATCATCTTGAGCAAGAGTGGTCTCACGAATCTTAGCAAACATCCGATCCTTCTGCTCTTTGAACTTAGGATCGATAAGTGAAATCCGCATGTGCTCAGACATCTCGCTGATGGGAATCAGCTCTCCCGTAATTGGAGATATAACAACTTTAGTAGGATCTCTCTCTGTCGGGATCCTGTCTTCTGGCCTCTTCCAGTTCTTAACAATTCTCATAGGTCCTTCTTCATTTTCTATTTTCACAATGCCTCCATTCTCTTCCAGGTTCGCTGCTCTCATTCCTTCTGCAACAAGCTTAACTTCTTCTTCATCCATTTCCATTTCGACTTCCTTTCCAGACTCAACAATTTCATCTTCTTCCATCGCTGATACTTTGCTCCTCCTTATAACTTCCTCATGTGTCATAGGTGGTGGCAACTCTTCATCCTCCTCATCAGCAAAATCTATCGATTCAACAACCACAAAATCATGCCAGTCAATCATAGCCATCTGCACTCTCTCCTGCTCTTTCTCGTCCTCTTCTTTCTTCCTCTGCTGCTCCTGAGAACGATCCCATTCCAGACGGTGCAAACAACGCTCAAGAACGGTAGTAAAATCAGCAGCACTCTTTCTCAGCTTATCTATCAAATCCTCGGGAGGCTTTAATACATCAAAATATGCATCAACCAGAGTAGTGAAAAAAGGGAACATGCTATGAGTTGGCTTCATAAAGTGAAACTGAGGATTGTTATTCTCTCTACTCTGCAATCCGTTCAAGAAAGATTTCCCATTCCGTGCCACAAACTGCGCTGTGAGCTTGATAACATCAAGCTCCTCGCTCGTGATCCCTTCAGGAAGTCTAACTGTATACTTCTCAGGTTCAGGAGGTTCTAGAGGCTTAGGAGGAACCCTAAATTGAGCTTGAGCGTCGGGTTGTGCCTCACCTGCTTCACCCTCAGCAGCAGCAGCAGAATCAAGCTGAAGATCTGTACCATCTGAGTCAGTAGTATGGGTTCCATCTTGATTCTGAGCACGGTATTCATTGAGCTTGTGCTGGTAAAAGGCATGATAAGGATCAGAGCTGCTCAAAAAGTTGAATTTAGCATTACTGGCATTGCGAGCTATAATCCTCTTCTCAAACTCCAACCCGTTTTTGGAAACAAACTGAGCCGTTTTCTCGACAATGGTTCTGATATCTGGAGGTGGGTGAATGATTCCGATAGTCTTCGTGTGAGTCGCTACAGATTCAGGAGCATGATTTGAGTTCTTCTGCTCTGATTGCAACTCCCTCTCTTCGATTTCCTGATTCGTTAACTGCGACGGAGGAAGTGGACCGAGATTCCCGTCGGAAGGAGGAGCCTCGAGTGGCAGTATCTGCGTCGAACCGAACATTTTCTGCAATAAGGAAGAAGAAGAAGAAGAACAAAGCACATTAGTATCGGAATCTGATAGACACGGGAACATCACAGTTCAGAAATTCCCTTTTGACCTAAATCGATTGGTTTAAGTCGGCCTAAGAAACATTTCTACTGAAATAGGTTTCACGAAGGTAGAGATGAATTCGGAAAATCATGACTATTTTCCATTGGAGAAGGCAGAGATCCTGAAAGACGAAGATGCGAGATAAGGAGATCGATAGGAAGTAAAGATGAATCGGCGACGCTAAGGGTTTTGGAGAGATATAAGAGACACCGTACCTCAGCTGGTAAGAAACAGCTCCGCCGCGAGAAGTGTCGAGACGTCGAGGAGGAGCAGGGGACGAGCCAGTTCGAGATTCAAAGCTTACAAGACGATTTGATGGGAATCGATAGAACAAACAGGTACAAGAGGAAGTGAAGAAGATCCTCCTGAAGAATTAAACCGAGCCCTAGGATTTATCATTTGTGAACTAAAGTGTATCCAGGTTTGTAAATGGGCCCTTTAGTGGGCTTACAATTTCAGTCCATGGTAATTTACTTACTAATTGTTAGACTCAAATTGTTAGGAGGCTCTATAAGTTTATCGTTGTCCTGATATCCGAACTAGATTTGCAAGATACTATTTGTGTGGATTTGACTTCTTCAGATACTGCGATAAAATTAATATAATTATATAAGAAATCGAGGAAAGATGGAAAATACAGTAAAACCTCTATAAATTAATATTCGATAAATTAATAATCACTATAAATTAATAGTCACTATAAATTAATAAATTTTACTGGTCTCAAGTCGGGCCAATGTAAAAATCCATCAAATTTTATAAGATAATAAGATAATAATTTTTTTGAAATCCTTATGTAAATATATGGTCCCAACAAAAACGTAAATTAATAATTATATATATTTATACAAATATATATAAATATAGTATTATAAAATATGACTAATGTGTTTGCTTTTACTTAAGGTTGAAATCTCATTGGATCTTATTTCTTTAATTATTATATCAGTAACTTTTATTGATGTTTTTATGATATACATTCAATTTGTGATAATTTTTAATGTGATAATTGATTTTCTTATCTGTAAATGTTTTTAAATGTATTGTAGTGTTATCTTCAATTTTATCATCAATAATACAGATAGTAGCCATAGTTTTTTTTTAAATTTTAAACTTATGAACATGTATATTTTTACATGGATAATCCAATATGGTATTAAAAACTATTTTATTGTGATAGTTATGATTGTTAAACATAATTTACATTACGAAATTTGTTAAAATTTTAAAATATAACTTTATTGCAAAAAAATTAGTAAAAAATTATAAGCGGAAAACAATTTTTTTTTATAAATTAATAATTATTAATTTATAGATAAATTAATATCACGATAAATTAATAAAATATCTTGATCTCGATATTATTAATTTATAGAGGTTTTACTGTAGATACTGTGAATTTGATTTCTTGTCGACATGGCGAGGACTATTCCACTTCACAGCAGCTGATAAAACGGATAGACAAAGGCATGAAAAATAGATTCAATTCCATTCGCCTCTAAGGAGATCAGAAGTACGAAGAAGGATATCAGCTTTGGTTAGCATCTAGTCCTTTACAGTGACAAATTGTTCTAGATTAATTTTTTCAAAAAACAGCAAACATCTTTGATGTAAAAACGTTCTTTTTTGTTTGAATAAATTTAATATTTATTAAAAAAAAAGGAAAGATTGAGTTTTAAAATATTTTAATTTTTTCCTTTACTGTTTTAATTTTAGTCAGTGTCTACCAAAATGACCCAACCCACTAAGTCAAAAGCTACGTTGGTCCTTTGGAGAGGAAACATAATGGTAACGACCAGTAAATTAGTAGTTAATCTCCCATTTAATTTGAACTACTCTATAAATGTTGATAGAGCATTTAAGTATATATTAACTTTAACCCCAAAAAAAAGCTAGTTGACAAAAAAAAACCTGAAAAACTTACTATATTGTTAGTTAATTAGTCCGCCACGTCAGTTAGCACCTGAAAATGTGTTTATTTTATTTTTAGCACATGCTAAACACTTACTAGTACGAGTGCTTGAGGAGAAAAAAAAAAGAGCAATGCAACTTTTCTTTTTGCCGTACAGCTCATGCCGACAAACGTCACATTACACAAACATGACGCCATCTACCTGACTGTGGGCAAATCGGCCATACAATTCGACTCTTCGACGGCCAAATCTTACTTTGACGTATCGGGCCATGACGACATTAACATCATAGAAATAGTTGTTATGTTGGATTTGGTTTCAGGTTAACAAATTATATGTCTAATAATGGCTTTAACCTTTATAGTTTTACATCAAATTTGAAATAAAGAGTTATTCAAATTCAAATTTTCTTAAACAAAATGATTCACTGTACATCTCGTCATTAAAAAAGTTATATAAGAATGTTGATGTAATATTTTGAAAACCTTAGTTTTTTATTTTGTTAACAAAAACCATAAAAAGTATACAGATTTCAAATTTGTTATTTCTTTTTTTTTGAAAAATACAAATTTTTCATTGTCAAATTTGTTATTTCGTAACCTTTGTTTCAATTCAAAATTTACCTACACCTATTTTAATATGTAAGTATGTTCAGTTTGGTCGTATACTATGTTGGTTTAAATGAGAAACCGTATCGAATTTTCAAAGTAAATTCTAGTACAAAGAAAAAGGGAATTCTTGTTTTGTTTTATTCAAAAACTATTCTTCTTTCTTGTATGAGTTTACTGTGATATATTTTCCATGCAAAGAAATATATATATATGTTTGTTTGATCGATCAGTCCCATTTTCTTTCCTTTTTATACTTTTTTGTTAATTTTTTTGTAGCCACTATATGGTAAAAAATAAAATCATCAAGTAATTTGCACATATACATATACAGGTATTATCTTACAAATTTTATATTAAGGTACTAAATACTCTCTCTCTCTCTTTTCCTTTTATTTTTTATTTTTAGTCTTGCTTTTTCAACACATTCTTCTCTTTTCTTTTGCTTTGATTTCTTTATAATTTATTCCTCTTCACGCTTCGTTTGTGTTTTTTTTCCTGGTCTACTGAATATTTTCATATTAAAGGACAAAAGGGTTTGCTAAGGGGTAAAGAGTAAAGAACAAAAAGCACAAACATGCAAAAAAACTGGAAAACATAATAAATAAAAAGGAAAGAAAATCAATTTAAATAACTTGGATTTTATCAAACTATTTTTTATGATAAGTTTCTAAAACAATTCTTGATTAATTATTCATAAACTTCCAAATTACTAATAAAAAAACAACGGAAAAAAACATAACTATCTTTTTGATTATATACAAAAGGTATAAACAAGTCAACCAATGATTACTCTTGTCTTAGCATAATCTCACCCCTTAGTTCTTATAATAGTGATTGTACCCCTCCCTAATGTTTGTATCTTTGTGAAAGCAACCACCGCTTTGCCTGATAAACCCGGTCCATGTGCAGTGACAGACGGACGGCAGGCAAAGGCTCCAACCGGATGCCGAACTGGCCGAGCCGACGGCATGAGAATCCTCTTATTTATGTCATTTAGGGTTACATCTTCTTCTCGACCACCTGGTTTCACCACTCCAAATGGATACACCACTCTCTTCTTCTCATAAGCATTCTCCTCTGTGATGCACATGTGTTATATTAGTATATATTATGATTAACGCAATAGTTAGTAGTAGTAAGCAGAAAGTACATTGATCTGATCCCATACAATACATTCTTTTTGGAAAGGAGATAAAGATTACATACTTGAAGTGGACGAAGATGGTTCAGCAGAGTTTTTAGAATCTGAGGCGTCTGAACAAGTATTGATGGATGAATTTGGAGATTCACCTGCTTAATATATAAGAAAAAAGAGTCGAGAAAGAAAATTTACTCATGAAGATTATGAAACACATTAAAAAGAAAAAAAAGGATTATAATACATAATATATATTTTTGAATATATATGGGCCGGTGACAATAATAAGAAGTAGGTCTCTCACCTGCAAACTGACTACTCGTGCAACTATAATTCTCAGAGAGGCCCCAATTATTCTGCATTATTATATTCCACAATCAACCGAATTAGTTTTACAATAATTGAAAATAAAAACATATTGAACCATTATTCAAATGACAAACGAAAAAAAAACCAGAGTAATTATGTAAAACCTGAAAATTGTCAAAGTGGTTATTCGGTTTGTCCTCGGCGTTGAACGAAAGACGTCTCCGTTTGCTTTTCACACTGAACTCCATGAGTGCGTCTTCGAGGTAACCGGTGGAAACATCGCCGATAATATCCATCTCCGGCGAATGGAATATATGCTCCGGCGATTCATCAATGTGTCCACATGCATCTACAAGTACATTGCATGGCCAAATTCCTCGCATTATTATATGTAGTATTGATAATGTATTTTTCAACAAAATTATACATTATTTTGTTTGCATGAAGCCAACCTCATAGTACATATTATCAAGGCCAGCATGAATCATATCTATAAACATACATATATAATTAAACACAGGGTGTGTGCATGTGTTTTGTATATACCTAAATTGAAGTTTTGGTTGAAGAATGATCCAAGGTTATGGAGATCCCAAGTGGGGAGAGAGTAAAAAAGCTCGCTCATCTTTTTTATTAAATATTTGTCGATTGATTGTGAATAAGCGTATGGCATGTGGCCGCCTATTTATCTTGGTGGGTTGTGAGTAAAATGAATTAAAATAAAGAAAAAGGAGGGAAAAGTAAAAGCAATGAAGAAATTTAGAAGGATCAAATTTCGTACTCAAACACAGTCAACTGCGAAGAAAAGATAAATAACAACAATGGTTGGATATTATGTGCCATCAGGATTCATTTTAAAAGTATAAATTTGATTGGTTTATTCGTGGGATTGTGAAGTTATCATTTTGACTGCACTGTTTCTTATTAATCGATTGTTTTCTATAAATTTTATTTTTAAATATATGATTTTGGTATTCCGTCATTACAAATCTACAATAATCAAAACTAAGAAAAATGAGTTCAAAAACGAGCTTTACTTTACTTAGCGAGACTACCCTTCCATTTTGTAGATTAATTTAAATCCTACAATTATAGTATGGAATACCAATACTTGTATACTACATGTTACATATATAGTTTTTACAATTTGCATATCACATTTAAGTCGGAATTAAATCGATGTATTGATAAAGTGACAACACTCGTAAAAGCTTTGGTCATTATATAAAAGTATAAAACTACTTAAATAATTGATATTATTATAATGTCAATGATGACATGGTGTACGAAGACAAACTATAGGTGTTATGTCAATGAGAAATATATTGATATTGACCAATGTATAAAACAACAATGGAAAATATGTACATCAACGTTTTGAAATTTGAGTGGGGTTAGGTAATTGGGGGACTGAATAATGGCTAAAGGCGATGATACTATCATCATGATGTCTATGTTCTATTGCTGCTTATGCATGTTACTCATGGAAGAGAGAGAAATTGGTAGATACATGATGTATAACTTGATTTTAGTCATGTTACGTATTCTTGCTGTATTTATTGTATGAGACTACTAGTACAATAAATAAAGCAATGATAAGTTATTTTATATTTGGTTGTACATCTACATGAACGATAAACCATCATTAATATTTCTGATGGATTCAGAATGCGAAAGCTACTTAGCCCCATTTGTAACATTGTCCTTGAACTCGGCTTTTAAGTTTGAATTAGACTGATAGTGAGTACGTATACGACTTTATATACCTCTGGAACATGGTTGAAATAAAGTGGGTTTAACAATATATATCATAAACCTAAGAAAAACAAATCGATCAAAATACAAAACAATAATCAGGGCTATGCCTGTATATAATATATTTTAGTTTCAAAATTAATAACATAATTGAAATGTGAAACTTAATTGAGTAATCCTATTGAAAATGTTTTATTCAATCATATATATCCTGCACACACACAAATTTCACATTTTCTACAGAATTTTTCATTTGTATATAATATATGGGAAATGTTCACATTATAATTATGGAAACTATGTAGTAAATACAACGACAAGCCATAATTTATATACATGTACCAACCAAGGCAAGATGGTTTATTAAGGTCTTGCATGTTGAGTTGCTGACCAGAAAATCAAAAATCAAAAGTTAGACATAAGAGTATTTCAAATCTGCAGCTTTATCTGTGTTTAAATTCTTCAAAATAACTTTGCTTTCAGATTTAGTGAACAACCTGTTCTTCTATTATTAGGTACTTTTTTCCTAAGGTTTTTACTTTCATTTCTTCCCCATCGTGGGGTCATGTCATACCTATCACGTTTACTCCATCATTACCCACCTTTCTTTCGATATTTTGTTATATATATAACTCGCACACCTTTTTTTGTCCCATATATTTTATATGACGAGCATACCAATTATTAACTCGGTTTAAATTTTTAGAGATTATAAGATTACCGAAGCTAATGTTTGAATTTATTCGATGATAAGATTAGCTGTTTTGAGTTCACTGGTTTATAAGAATATTGAAGTTAATGTTTGGAACAATTCTCGTTTTCATTTGTTTTCAATTTAAAATTGTCACGTCACAAAATCTAAATTATTCGAACAACGCATTCATAACGAATAAGAATGAACTAGATTTTTTTTTTTTTTTTTTTTTTTGCCATCATGAAATGCATCGATGATTGTAAGAAAACACAGTGTTTAAAACACAAGGATAAAAAAACAGAGTCATAGCTCAGCCACATAAATGCATCAAACTCCTAAAATAAGGATAACTAGAGAAAGTTTCAAAACTCAAACTACAGAAAGTTAAACAACTGAATATTGGCGGGGAAAAAATGAACAAAAACCCTAGTTACAAACAAAACAAAGAGACTATTTAAATACTTCAAGTCTTGAACAAATAGAATATGTTTTCTTCTTGGTGTTATAAGAGCTAATCAGTCCAATATTAAACTAGGACGATTCACTTCACATTGTTGACAAAGAGAAGAAGAATAATTAGTAAGCATTTTATCAGTCTAATCTTATATGAATTACTTAACATTTGTTAACAAACAAATTTTACTTCGCATTTGTGATTAACCTTAATTATATATATACAATGTCTACTAGTGCGAGAAAACAAAAATATAATATTTGTCCTTTGTCTCCCAAAATGCTTTTATCGATTGCAATGCATATAGCCGGCATACGAATTTTCAGTGGGGCCGAATGTATGCATGCCGGCGGGGCCCATTTGGAAAATTAGAAAGATTGCTGCCGTATCATTTTGTGGGGCTTATTACTTCTTTAAATTCGACTTTGAATGGTCCAACCCACATTGAGATTTGAGACTACAAATTACAATCACTACTAATCTCACAACATATATATTGGTCAAATTTAATGATTGGAATTTACTTAGTTTTCTTGACAGTGATCCAGAAAATTTGAGAATATACTTAGTATTTAAGAAAAACTAATCACACAGTTATAAGAATTTGTGTTATTTTCTCCTTTATCAATAATGTTCTTCCGCAAGGTTACCATTTTTTTTTGCAGCATTCAATTGTTTTGTTATGTACTAATTTATATTATATCATGTTACTATTAATAATCAAGACGAGCAAATCATTTTTTTTTTACAGAATTTGCTAACACGATCAACATTACGAACGAATACAATTGTATATGAACCACAAAGATCCTCACGATAAAAAAAGACAGAATTATATATTCTTTATATACGGAATCACAATAAAAATATCGCATGTATTCAGAGTTGTGCCTGAGATTTCTCTAACTACAAGCAAGAAAAAAAAATTGGCCCCTTAAAACTCTTCTTAATGCAGTTTAACCTATAAATAATTGGTAAAAAAAAAGAAAAAATGACAGATATGTGCTTGACAAGAATCAAACTCAGTCAAACCTCTAACCAAACCTTCTTTCACCTCTTTACAAACCACTTGGACTAACTCAAATTTTGGAAAATTGGCCCCAAAAAAATATTTAACTCCTCTATACCCTGAAACACATGTTTCATTAGCCTGTGCTCAGGCACGGCTCTTGATGTACCATACTGAAATCGTATTTCCACACTTTAGTATAAATAAGTATTGATAAAATTTTGGCTAACCAGTAGACCAAAATGGACTTCCACACATTTAATTGTTTCGATGTTCGTTAAAGCTCACTTTTAAAACCATGCATTGACACTCGTCTACTATCTATATGTTGAATATGTTTCAGAAATAGTTAGATTTGTAAAACGCGAACCAGTTTCCCTTTCATACGTTGCATTGAAAATACTACCAGCACGATATTCAATATCTAGTATATACAATTCCAAACGATATGATTGATCCATGATATAAACCTCTTTTATTATTTTAATGGGTCCGAGTAGATTTTTCAAAATCTTATGTTGCAGAATCCTGAGATTATATACCAATATATGTACTGTTTAAACAGAAACCTTTTGGTGGGGGTAGATTTTAACCAAGGATTTTTTTTTTGCATTATGATACAAATATAGGACACGTAGAAACAAAAGGGTACAATAATTAGTTGAAAACAATAACATCCACTAAAACTACTAAACTAGTATGTAATTATGGATGATTTGAATTTTTTTTTTTTTTTGTGTGTTTGTCTGAAACTCATTCTACTTTTCCAAATCTTTCAAACTACTGCTATATAAAACTACCTGTGATTGCGATAAAAAAAATATTCAAGCGAAAAAATCAATTTCTAGGATCAGCCAAAGGAGCCATCGCGGATAAATTTCTACGTGTCACCTACCTGATGTCCTCTTGTAAATTATACATCCATAAACAAATACAAATTAAGAGAACTTTTGTCTTTATCGAAGATGTGCTATATTTGTCTTTTGCATGTGTGTTTGTACGGTTGTTCATCGGACGGTTCAAGATCGGTAATCATGGTGAATCAAACGGTGAAGATTGAAGCTCAGGTATGGCCTCGGTTTGGAGATTTTGTCTGTTGCTATTAACTGGACCCATTGCTTAAAGTTCAGGTCACACTTTAACCAAAAACACAAATGCTTAATTTTTACAAGAATGGGTAGAGAGAATATTTTTCATAATAATATTTAACTGATAACATTTTTTCCCCACACACATATTCAATTATTAATGAGGAATCAAATAGTTCATGTTTGGTAGCTAGGCATCCCATGTGAAATATTTGAAGGCCCAAATACAGACGTTTTGAAATATATATTTTACGTCTGCAGTTCACAGGCCAACGAAACAGTATTGAACTCGTTTTACAAACCTGAATATCCAATTTTGATGACGAATGTTTTGTAGAATGTGAATGATGGTAGCTTTATATCTTGTGTCTGTCTCGGTCTTTTTTGGATGCCTGATTATCTACACACCAACTATCCGAAACCCGAGATATTGAAAGCCGGACCGAACCGAATCTAATACCCAATGCCCAGCTCAAAACGTACCTTTTTTTTTTCTGGTTCACTTGTTGTGTAAACCAGATGTATTAGAATAAACCGGGTTCCGGTTCAGTCTAGTTACATTGAGGTGTCAAACTGTTAATCTTGAAAAGAAACAAAAAAACAGGGAAAAACCCTCAAACGGCGGCGTTGGCTCCCTCTCTGGCCATAGTCGATTCTTTTTTTTGTTCAAGCGCAAACGTTCTATCTCTCTCTAGCAAAAGTCGATTCCTTTTTTTTTGTTCTACTGGTTTCTGCGTTGAGATTGAGAAATGCGATCATCTTTGCGGCTTCTAGCTGGGTCTCTCTTAGAGAGCAGACGAGGGTTTTGTACGAGCTCCGATAAGCTCGTAGCTTCGGTGCTTTTTGAGAGATTGCGCGTTGTGATACCCAAACCGGATCCTGCTGTTTACACTTTTCAGGAGTTCAAGTAAGCCCCTCTCCTTCTGTCACTGTTTTACTTTTGTTCAGTAATGACGAGAAAGCGAGAAAAAAATGGAGAAAATGGTATAGTGATGTGATTCAAAGTATGCTTCTTTTTTGTATGTGGTGGAATTGGATAGGATTTGAGTACGTGAGCAGTGAAATTTGGATAAGGGTCACCTGTTTCCAGATAAATGAGAGTGGATTAGCTGATTTTGATCTTATGGAATGAGAAAACGTTAACATTTTGTCTTGATATGGTTCCTCCATTGCAGATTCAATTGGCAACAGCAGTTTCGTCGTAGATACCCGGATGAGTTCCTGGACATAGCTAAGAACAGGTAATTTCTTACCATTCCTTATTCTGTAATCTAGAGATTGTATCAAGTTTCTGCTTTTGTCAATCTTGTCTGATATGATGTGTCTAAAGCATAAATCTGCTCAACACTCAACAGTTTATTGTTCACTCAACTCTATGTCATCTTCTTTCTGACAATAACAAAGAATTGTAGATTCGGGTTTTTTCTTCTTGCAGCTCCGTGAGTCACGGTTATTGAGTAACCTGAGCAGCACTAACTTGACTGCAGTGAAAGTTTAGAACTGTTATGTGCTCATAGATATATATATAGTGAAGGTTCTGTGACTATTTTTAGCCCAGTTTAAAATTGATTTAAGTGAATACTGAATCTTCCATGAATGCAGAGCCAAGGGTGAATACCAGATGGACTATGTACCTGCTCCTAGAATTACAGAGGCTGACAAGAAAAACGATAGGAAGTAAGTTGTTTGTACCTTTAAAGTGATATGGGCTAGTGTTCTCTTTCCCTGATATAATCGATGATTTACTCTTGGAAACTGCTGGCAATTATAGGTCATTATATAGAGCTCTTGACAAAAAGCTGTATCTTCTCATCTTCGGCAAGCCATTTGGAGCAACTAGCGACAAACCCGTCTGGCATTTCCCAGAAAAAGTCTACGATTCTGAGCCAACTCTTCGCAAGGTGAATGATTTAGTGCCTCTATTTCAATCCATAAAAACATCATCAATTTCGTTCCCTTGCCTATAACTGTTATGTAAATCCGTTTTCTTCTGCAGTGCGCGGAATCTGCTTTGGAGTCAGTCTTAGGAGACCTCACTCACACATACTTCGTCGGAAATGCTCCAATGGCTCACATGGTTATACAACCTACAGAAGAAACACCAGATTTGCCATCTTTCAAGGTAACAACAACAACGAAAAAAAGCCTTTTTAAATTAGGTCTCATCGAATTGTTGAACTTGACGTGTTCTTTTTTTTCTTGTTGTGTAGAGGTTCTTCTTCAAGTGCAGTGTAGTTGCAGCATCGAAATACAACATAAGTAACTGCGAGGATTTTGTGTGGGTAACTAAAGATGAGCTTTTGGAAATTTTCCCTGAGCAAGCTGAGTTCTTCAACAAGATGATCATTAGCTGAGTCACACTCACACCACAAAACTCCTATTTGAATCTCTTCTTCATCATCACTCTAATAACCAGACCAAACCATGTCTCTGGATTTTTGTGAAGGATTTTTTTGTTGTTGTTGACAGTTGATCAGAAGTAGTTCAATGTAGTTTGGCTTTTTTATACATCTCTCGGATGCACATCACAAGAAAGAGTGGATCTTGAGAAGAAATCACATTTATTTACGCTACATCAGTTTCAATCTCATTTTTGTTACAAATCAAATTACAATTAGTCAACAAAAGAAAGAAATCAATTGTAGTTCCTAGCCCACTGGGCCAAGATTGAAGATGTTAGATTATTATTATTTTTTTTTTGGATATCGTCATCGTCAATTATAGAAAAAAAGCAATGCAATAAGCCCTAGCTAGTTTCGTTTCTGTCTATGTCATTGCTCTTACTCAGAAGAGCCAAGCCGTTATTTGTATCTTGTTCAGCATCTCATTCTCAGGCCAGCTTCTTATCGTCATCGCTTCCGAGTCTACTCTTACGTTCGTTTCACGGTTCCAGAACAATGGTACGATAGCAATTTCGGATTGATTGTTCATGCTGGGATTATCACCGGATTTCGAATTTGTTCTGCCGTTTGTTATGAGTCTGAGAATCGAACGTTTGTTTTCTGAATTCACAGTCTGAAGCAGAGAAGAAGATCCTTACAGAGGAGGAACTTGAGCGGAAGAAGAAGAAGGATGAGAAGGTTTGTCTTCTGATTAATTTTGCTTTTTCCAATTCGAATCAATTTCTTTTGTGTCAGTACAGCTTTTGATTTTTACAGTTTCAACGTTTAGAATCTCATAGACGAATGTGGTTGAATTATGGCTTGCTCTTTCGAAAAAACTGATGAGATCGTTGATAGATAGAATTTGTTGTTTTCTTGACTTAGGACAGTTAGTGCAACCGTCTTCACTATATCAGGATCAGGAAGTGTTCTATACTAATAGTTTGAGTAGTTCCCACAAATGTTTATATTCATAGTTTATGTTTCTTTCGGTACCGTTGTGGAATTGTATACTTTTATATACAACACCTTACATTTCATTTTGTTCTGTGGTGAGAGTTAGCTAAGTAAATATTATTTCGGTTTTTGGTTAATCTCATCAGTTTCATTATATTGTGTAGGACTTCAATTAGCCTGTATTCCAATACAATATCAATTTGAAATTTGATTGTAATTATAGGCTAGAGAAAAGGAGTTGAAGAAGCAGAAAGCTCTGGAGAAAGCGAAGCTGGCAGAACTGAAGGTAATCTCTGAGAAACTCCAATTATGCATCTCAGGTTCCTGCGGGATATGTATGTATGCGTGCAAGTCACTTCCTTAATTCTCCATTGAACAAGAAAAATTGTTCATGGTGTGCTTCTCGTGTAGGCACAACAGGCGAAAGATGGAACCAGTGCCAGTAAAAAGAGCACAAAGAAGAGTTCCAAACGGGATGCATCAGAAGAGAATCCTGCGGATTTTGTGGACCCTGAAACTCCTCTTGGTGAGAGGAAAAGGCTTTCTTCACAGATGGCTAAACAATACAGTCCTGCTGCCGTTGAGAAATCGTAAGTGTGTAGAGCTTCGATTGTGCTGTTCATTCATCCCACCAAAAAAAAAAATCCTCTAGATAATCTCTGTATTATAATTTGATTGGGTCAGATGGTATGCCTGGTGGGAGAAATCTGACCTTTTTAAAGCGGATGCTGGGAGTTCTAAGCCACCCTTTGTTATTGTAAGGCCTTATTCATTTCTTGAATTCATGTTTGTTCTGGATTAGACCATCTTTTTATTGTCTTCTCGAATACTTAAACTGTCCTAAAGAATTTCAGTTGAGGAAATCTTGAGCAAATGAAATTATTGATACAAGTCTGATTTTTTAAAAGGGTTTCTTTAATCCTATTATTGATTCGGCAGGTTCTTCCTCCTCCAAATGTGACTGGAGCCTTGCATATTGGCCATGCCCTAACAACTGCAATTGAGGTTTCATTAGCACATCGTTTGGTGTTATTGCTGTCTATTTTTTCCTCCTGATGATCAGCGGCTTGACATTTGTTGATGCAGGATACAATTATTCGTTGGAAGAGAATGTCTGGGTATAATGCTCTGTGGGTGCCCGGGATGGACCATGCTGGTATAGCTACTCAGGTTCGCCATTAACATCATTGAATTCTCCCTATCTCATGTCCCATATTACTATAAATTCAGCCTGTAAAGTGAACCTTATATTGGCATGCTTGTAGAATATTTAGTTTTTGCACATTGTTCATATTATTTGATTGAATGTATCTAGGTTGTGGTTGAGAAAAAGCTCATGCGTGAAAGAGGAATGACTAGGCATGACGTTGGCCGTGAAGAATTCGTAAATGAAGTGAGTTGAAAATAAAGATACGTTCATGAATCAATATCCATTTTTCATTGTTTAAAATATTTTTTGTGGTTGCTTATGATCATGGGAAAAGGTGTGGAAATGGAAGAACCAACATGGTGGCACAATTCTAACACAACTACGGCGTCTAGGAGCTTCTCTTGATTGGTCTCGTGAGGTGAAATTCAGTGATTTGACCTATTTTGTACAAATGTTATTGGAAAATTGGCAATGTTTAATTTATTTCGCCACTAGGTGGACTTATATGTAAATGAACCATTTATCGTCAATTGTTTCCGAGGGCTATCTGACAGATGTCGTTTCTGCCTGTATTTTGTAGTGTTTTACAATGGACGAGCAAAGATCAAAAGCCGTCACTGAGGCCTTTGTACGGTTATACAAGGAAGGGCTTATCTACAGGTATGTTTAAGTCTGACTTTGTTCTTTGACGCAAGCTATAGAATTTCCTTTGTAAAAATCCAGGGAAACAGGAATATACAAAAAAGGAATAGTACTATTAGTTTTTCAGTTACCCGGTCGAAAGAAAGCACTTTTAACTGAAAGGTATACCATGACTTGTGCAGGGATGTTCGGCTTGTAAATTGGGATTGTGTTTTGAAAACAGCCATATCTGATGTTGAGGTAAGTTAGCAACTGTTAGACTGTGATTATAGGACGGCATCCTTTTTATTTGGAATGTGTCTATATCTGTAGGTTGACCATATCGATATCAAAGAAAGAACGCCGCTAAAAGTTCCTGGCTATGAGAAGACGGTAGAATTTGGTCTTCTTACTTCATTTGCTTACCCTCTGGAAGGAGGCTTGGGCGAGGTTGTTGTTGCCACTACAAGGGTGGAAACAATGCTTGGGGATACTGCCATTGCTATTCATCCTGATGATGCAAGATACAAGCATCTTCATGGGAAATTTGCTATACACCCATTTAATGGACGGAAGTTACCAATTATTTGTGATGGAATACTTGTTGATCCAAATTTTGGTACTGGTTGTGTTAAGGTACATACTCGCTCTTATTTATTTGGATGCATATTTCTGCCCCTATTAGTTGATATTCTGGCTTCAAAGTTGCTTTATTTTTCTTTTGTAGATTACTCCTGCCCATGACCCCAATGATTGTGAAGTCGGAAAGCGTCACAATCTTGAATTTATAAACATATTCACTGATGATGGAAAAATCAATACAAATGGCGGGCCTGACTTCACAGGGATGCCACGCTTTGCAGCACGTGAGGCAGTTCTTGAAGCCCTGAAAAAGCAGGTAATTCTTTATTTCTTCGTTTAACATATCATGGCAACCTGATTGATTGTTGGTTTGATAAGGTATTGTTACACCATAGGTAGTTGGTTGTAAGTGTCTTTAAGATCTTTCCTTTAACTGTTTAGTCAATATATATTACAGGGGCTTTACAGAGATGCCAAAAACAATGAAATGAGGCTTGGACTCAGCCAAAGAACCAATGATGTTATTGAGCCTATGATTAAGCCTCAATGGTACGTCAATTGTGGTTTGATTGGAAAAGAGGCTCTCGATGTTGCTATCACTGATGAAAACAAGAAGCTCGAGTTTATACCAAAACAGTACACAGCAGAATGGAGAAGGTTTTTTTTCACTTATCATTCACTCTATGGTTCTATCATTACCCATCTATTAACAATCACAATGGACCTTAACAGATGGCTAGAGAACATACGTGACTGGTGTATATCAAGACAGCTTTGGTGGGGCCACAGGATACCAGCATGGTATGCTACTCTCGAGGAAGATCAGCTCAAGGAGATTGGTGCGTACAATGACCATTGGGTTGTTGCTCGAACGGAGGAAGAAGCTCGAAAAGAGGCTGCTCAAAAATTTTCTGGGAAGAAGTTTGAACTCACACAAGATCATGATGTACTTGACACGTGGTTTTCTTCTGGGCTCTTTCCATTATCTGGTCTCGGATGGCCTGATGAAACTGTCGACTTCAAAGCCTTCTATCCGACATCTGTCCTGGAAACTGGACATGATATTCTCTTTTTTTGGGTTGCTCGTATGGTTATGATGGGAATGAAACTAGGTGGTGACGTTCCATTCAGCAAGGTACGTGTAAATTCTAAGAATAGCCCCGAATAAATTAAATACATGCATTAAAATAAGAAGACTTAAACAGGGATCACACCACCCTCCTTAGCAAAATCCTTTTCGATGCCAAGTCTTATCTTGTGACATATTTGTTGTCTTTTCTAATAGGTTTACTTGCATCCTATGATACGTGATGCACATGGGCGTAAGATGTCAAAGTCTCTTGGAAATGTCATCGATCCGCTTGAAGTAATAAACGGGGTAACTCTTGAGGGTCTTCATAAAAGATTAGAAGAGGGTAACCTGGATCCAAAAGAACTGGGTGTTGCCAAAGACGGACAAGTGAAGGACTTTCCAAATGGTATCCCTGAATGTGGCACTGACGCTCTTCGATTTGCGCTTATCTCTTACACTGCTCAGGTACTATCCATTGTACACGACCTCTAATTTGCTTCTTCGATTTGTGATCTTGTAAACTAAGAATTGCTTTACTCTTGTTTCTTTTCTAGTCTGATAAAATAAACCTGGACATCCTCCGAGTTGTTGGTTACCGTCAATGGTGTAATAAACTGTGGAACGCCGTCAGATTTGCGATGATGAGGCTTGGCGATGATTATACCCCTCCGTTGACTCTAAGCCCTGAAACCATGCCATTCAGCTGCCAATGGATTCTCTCTGTATTAAACAAGGCAATATCAAAGACAGTGGAGTCACTGAATGCATTTGAGTTCTCGGATGCAGCCAACACAGTATATGCATGGTGGC